CCGAGGTAAATGGCTAGCAGCTCTCGACCAAAGGTACTATACCTAGTCTCGGGAGGCTTGAGGCGGCGAGAAAAGAACGCAAGCGGTCGCCACTCCCCTTCATGGAGTTGCTGTAACACACCACCTACGGCGAGATCGGAAGCGTCTACCGCGAGGCTTGTAGGTAGCTCAACAGACGGGTATGTAAGCATCGTGACGTTCGCGAGGTCCTCTTTGACAGCCGCGAAAGCAGAGTCGCACACAGGGGACCAATCTAACGCCTTTCGAGAGCGCTTAGGTTGCTTGCGCAGCAAATCAATCAAGGCGGCCAGCGAGGATGCGCACTTAGGCATAAATCGGCGGTAAAAATTAACCATGCCTAAGAACCGGCGCAGCTGGCGTAGCGAGGTAGGGCGCGGAAATTTGCGAATTACCGCGACCTTGTCATCCATCGGGGAGACGCCCTGGGCAGTCACATGGTGCCCTAGAAAGTCTAGTGCTTCGACTCCAAACTGGCATTTGTCAGGATGCACTACTACTCCATAATCACGGAGGCTTGTGAACAGCTGGCGCAAATGAGTCTCGTGCTGTTCGGGATTCTCGCTGGCAACAAGAATATCATCAAGATACACGAATACAAATGGCAGGTCACGGACGACCCTATCAATAAACCTTTGAAAGGTTTGCGCCGCATTGCGTAGTCCGAATGGCATGCGTCGGAAATGGAATAACCCAAAAGGGGTTGTCAGCGCGGTCTTCTTCACATCATCAGGGTGTACGGGGATCTGATGATATGCGCGCACTAAGTCAACTTTGGAAAATACGCACTTGTCTCGCAACTGTGCGGCAAAGTCGTGAAGGTGCGGGATGGGATAGCGATCCGGGACGGTCACGCGATTAAGAGCGCGGTAATCGCCACATGGTCGCCAACCGCCTGACTTCTTTGGCACCATGTGGAGCGGCGACGCCCATGAACTGTCTGAGGGCTCGACAATGCCCAAATCGAGTAACCGGCCAAACTCGTCTTTAGCGATCTTGTGTTTGTCCGGCGCTAAGCGTCGAGGTCGTGCCGAAACTGGTGGGCCGGTTGTGAGTATTCTATGTGTGACGTCATGTTTCAACGGACAGTTCTTAAACATGGGCCGAGTTACTTCTGTGAACTCGGCAAGCAAGCGCTTGTAGACAGAATCGGAGTCCACCTGCACTATTGTTAGGTTCAGCGACGGTAAGTCGGAGGCGATGCCATGTACGGACAGACTAGTGGTGGCATCCCAAAGTCGGTTGGTGCGCAAATCCACCAGTAAGCCGTAATATCTCAAAAAATCTGCGCCGAGGATAGGCTGCGAAACATCGGCCAATATGAATGACCACTTAAACGAACGCCGCAGCCCAATACACACTGTGAGCTCACGCTGCCCATATGTGCATATGCGCGTCTTGTTTGCAGCCTGCAAAACGAGTGGCATAAGGTGCCTCTTATCAGCGGTGTTGGCAGGAATTACGCTTACCGCGGCACCCGTATCGACCAAAAATCGTGTCCCAGAATCTCTATCTGTGACATAGAACAAGCGACCGTCACGAAGAGGGCCAGTGAGGGGTGTCGCGCCCACCTCCTGGCCTAGTTGTTTTCCGCCGGCTTGCTATATGTGCATGGCGGGCGGCACTGGTGAGCCTTGTCACCCCACTTCTCATGATACCAGCAAACTTCAGAAGTGCTCGCTGATTTATAGCCGGATGAGTCGCGCTTCCTGTTGCTGCTCATGCTTCTCATGCTGCTGCTTCGGCTCCGCATGCGACCGATAGTGGCGGTCAATTCCTTGACCAATTTCGTGAGCGCAGCAACTTGGTGCTGAAGAGTATTGGGTTCAGTCATGACGCCGCGCCACGTCCACTGTTTACACAACTAAATTCAATGTATCAGTAAGAAATGTGATTATCTAATGGTAAAAAAATTTTTTTTTATTAATAAGCAAAGGTAATCTAAATGTTTCTTATCTCAGGGGGATCACGTCGGGGTCACCAATTTAGAAAACTACATGGGGTATGGACTATGTTGCGTGTTAACTAGTAATCCCACATAATTCCCTTTTTTAATTAAACTACCAAAAAGCAGTATCCCTCCAGACAAGAAAACACTTAATAAATGATCACATCCAGACAAATTGATTATGGTTAAAAACTGGTTCTATATTCTATAATTTCACATAAGATACAATGATTACAGAATTATCAGAAACCTCTTCTGTCTATCTCAACAGTGACAGACAATTAAACTATCACTAGGCCCTTGGTAGTTACTATTAATAATCAAACATAGATAACTTCCAACAGCACATTAATGTAAAGGAGACTCAACTTAGTCACTATGGTATTAATGATTACCGCTGAATACAAGTCTCGAAATATCAGGAGTCTAGCTGTTCAGTACAACTTAAAACAGTACTAAAACAAGTCAGTTAAATATCATTCCCACTGCATGAATAATAACAGTCAAGAAAATACTACTCAAATCTAAGCTAGACAGCGTTTAGATTTACTTACATAGGCACGAAATATTGTGGTTCAAGAAACCGCTAAACAAATCTCTACTTGTGTATGTGTACGGAATGCACAACACGAGAATACAACAATATATCGGTGGATCTAGACTATAGCAGATCTAGATCAGTAGACCAGGCATAGGCCTAGAACTAGTGCAATTATAAACATGTAAAATATGTGTTAGTAAGCGTACGCACTCAACAACAGGCACTCAGTCAGTCAAAATAAGGCCTCACAATGATAAACAATGCAAAGCATAAATCACAATATAATTAACGTTACGTGAGTCATTGGAGTTGAATTCAAAGTAGATCTTCTTCAAGTTCTAGGTAGATGTAGAAACTATAGCTAGTCGAAAACAGTGGTCGACGAGCTGGTTGTCGATCGCGCAGGATATGCAGACGATGATCGACGCTAGGTGAAGACAACGATGATGACAACAATGATGAAGACGACGCTGGTGAAGACAGCGATGATGAAGTCGACGATGAAGACGACGCTGGTGAAGACAGCGATGATGAAGACAACGGTGATGAAGACAACGATGATGAATCAGTTAACAGATGAATACAATGATGATGCAGTCAATGTCAATAGATCAACTTCAGTGACTTGCGATGCAGGTCGAAGAATCAAATGTCGAGACAATATATATATCATATGAAGTCGATGATAAAGGTTGTCAAACAATAATGCAGGTGAGAAAAAACGTTAGATCATATTAAATGTTCTATTCTCACTGCTGGTGAATTAAAGTGTCGTCAATGTTGAACATCGAGAGAGTCAAAATATATCTTGCAAAACGTACAAGATGTAAATAGGTGAGCACGTCCACCGGGAATGGTCCGGGGACGTAGCAGTTCAATCCTCGTTGGATACAATTTTCTAGGTACAAATATCAACACAATGACAGCATGTGTGTATACCAATATTAAAACAGCTCACTGATTCCCGCACAGGAAAATCAGAAGAGCGCCAATCAACTACAGCGCGATTGGTTCAAAACAAGCGCACATGTATGTTAATAAGGCATGTGATCTAAATACTTATGAATAAATACGCGTACATCTATGTTAATTGGTCATGTGATCAAAATACTAATGAATAAACATCGTTATATAATAAATCGAGTTAAAACCAGTTCTGAGGACATGGCGTAATACCAAATCCTCGAACTCTCAATGACTTCTAAAGCGGCCATTTTGGATTAAAAACACAATATGTATACCAGTGAATTATAAATGAATGCACTGTAACATTTGTCGCTACATGAGCACTAATTTAATAATAAAAGTAACTTAGTATGAAGTTTTTTGTTCCCTTTAAAGGGCATATCTGAGCCATTTGCAAGTTGAATTGATCGAGAAAAATAAAATAAACGGAACAATGTAAGTTTCTTTAAAAAGTGGATGGAAAACAAGAAATTTAAATCGTGGATTCTCGCAAAATTGCATGATACTGTGATGTAAAATCAGGTAGGCTTCATGAAATGAACGACTCAATGTCATTGCCTCACCAAATTTATATATTTTCTTTTTGAAATTTCAATATTTTTTTATTTATTGGACTCGCCTATATAAAAAAAAAATCTTTCCTATATACATTCTCAGAGCAGAAAAGTGACATTTTTCTTAATTACCAAAACGGGTATAAACTAGAGTGATGAGCTGATGACACCATTGACTTGTTAATGTGCATATTATACAGCTAGCCTTTGTGATACGTATCAATATTTCATGAAATTATAAGCGAAATTTAAAATTCTGTTACTTTTTTTTATTATATCATATCCGATTGTGGTGAATTTTTATTGTGCTGTTATAATTTTTATTTTTATTTGAAATCAACTTGACAAAAGGCCTGTGTACATAATGCACCCTACTCTATACCGTTTCACACACATTGAAGGATTGGTTCATGTTACACTCTGAGTGGACGCGGGACCGCGGATAACCCCCCCCCCCCCCCCCCCCCCTCATTATTCCAATTATCAGCACGTAAAAGGCCTTTAACAAAGTTTTTTTTTTTAAACAAATTGTATTGCCCTCATGCGTCGACCGACCCCAAAATTTTGAAATCTACAGTCAGCTTTTTTTAAAAGTTTTTCTTTTATAACCGTTTTTTTAGATAAAAAGAATATTAAAGCATTCAAAACTGAGAAATATCAGCCCAAAGAAGGAAAAAAAAGAAGTAAAAGTTATTACAAAAAAAAAAAGATTTCTGACTGACCGACCCACATATGTTGTGGCACCTTTTTTAAAGGCCTAAATTGGAATCGCTTGATATAGGTCTAGGTATATCCCCCCCCCCCCCCCCTGGTGAATTTTTTTTTGTAAAAACATGCTAATTTTACCCTTTTTTTGGAGATGGACACCCCCTGGTGAAATCCTGGAAACACGCCGGGGGGGGGGGGGGGGGCTGAGTGTGGTGCCCGTTTGGCTATCGGGGTTCATAAAATTCGTTAATGCCAATTAACTACGCATGCGCGCGCTATTTTGGCCAAGCTAAGATGGAGTTCATCAACAGGGTGAGTTCCCCGATGAACCCGTATTCTGAGGACGCATTAGAGACCAAAGAAGAACTTGATGCGGCTCGGGATGAAGTTCTAAAGCAGCAGAAGAAGACGGCACGTATCCTTTTTAAATTTCATGGTAACTGATGGGAGGAAAATTCTGAAAATTGATAATACGTATGTGACGCTACTAACATAGTGACGGTTGCTAAGTCTTCAGCAGATGCTGGGCCGACGGGCCAGGCTATGAAAGGTCTGGGTTTCCGTTGGCTTTGTTGCTGTATCCACGCACGTACGTAGCCAGCGTGAGGGATTTAACGAAAAAGAGCTGTCACCTTTGCCGTTGATGAAATATAAGCATCAAACAGACTAGACAGAAATAACCGTCTGATTTGGGTCATTTCTTTAATAAAACTGACATTTGTTGACATTCCCCAATACAATAATAGTAGGGTGTCTGAACGATTTTTCAATTTTCAATTTGGGATCGTTTTTCACCATTTTTGTTTGATATTGGAATAACAAATGTAATCAGAATAATACCTTTCAAATTTCAAGACTCACCGATGTTTCTATCAAAAGATACAGCCCCTCAAAAATTGTGCAATATTCATAGCATTTTGGTCAGAATGGACAGAAAAGTGGTTCACGCAGAGTTATAATTTCTGCTCAAAAGCTGCACAGCTAATGCACAGCACGATATGCAAAGTGTGGAGCAAGGGTATTTTCAAACTGTTGTAACAAATGATCCCTTGGGACTAGAGAAAAAATATGTGCATGGATATATTCTTTACAGCTGGCCCAACTTATCCCTCGGGGGAGCAGTTCGTGAAATTGGTAAATCTCCGAGTTACCATGGAAACGATGTTTAAATCGCTGTTTTGAGCAAGATATTTTTAGAATTCCGGGGGTGGCCCCCTATGGGGAATATGGAGAAAAACCTGCTCTTTCATATGACACCACATTTATTGAGTTTCACCTCCAGGATCATTTGTTATAAAGGTTTGAATTTCAAATTTTTCATAAAACCATTGACCAATTTTGCTTGGTCGCGCAATGCATGTAGACCACATAGGGATGTGTGCAATCTCTATGGGAAAGATTTTAGCACACAACATCGGGTGCGCGATCAGACACCCTAATAATAGGAGGTCTAGTGACTTGGAGCCAGACGTAGACCCCTAGTCGTAGTCTCGGTGGAACAACCGATGATTAGACAGACTGAAGTTTTCGGTCTACAAACAGACTAACCACCATGAATGTTTGTAATTGATGATTACTGTCGATCATTATTATAAAGTTTCAAAGGTTTCTGAAAGTGAAACCAGGCAGCTGTAATTAATGGAGACTCCGTCTCGCAACAGCTTCCTATTTCTATTATTCTAACTCCTTCTGTATCAACAATTATGGGTGGCATATCTCCCGAAAGGGATTTCCAGTCATGGTTGGTTGGGGCTTTTGGCCTTGGCTCTCTCGATTGAAGACCCTTCCAAACTGGCTTGATAGTGCAAACGCTTTGTCTCGGGCATTCGTGAGAGTTTGAGCGTTGAGTTGACTTTCAAGGTTTGAATGCCGACATCCTTTCTTGTTGAGCGTATATATATCGCCAGAAATTCTTGGTATTCGCGTCCACCGTCAACTCTTTGATGTATTGCCTGTGAGTAGTTGATTTTTTTCAATTATCCAACCATGATGTTGAAAAAAAATCCAAAAGGGAAAATTGACAAATCGTTCAGAAACCCATCCCTAGGCTATAGTCCTACTTCATGAGAACAGTGGCGTGATTGGAACAAGCTTGAACTGGAGACTATCGCTCACACTGACTCTGTCAAATTTAAAATAGCCCTGACGTCCTCTCATCTACAAATTAATTCACCCTTTCCGCACCTCCAGTTAAAGCTTAGACGAGTATTTTGGAGGACCAACCAACCAAGTACCAAGTCTAATCTGGAAACTTCACATTAATGTTCAATAGTTTACTAATTCATCTATAAGTGTAAGCACTAAGTCAAGTGTAATACTAACAGTAAAGAAAACCAACCTGTCTAGACGTATAGTGTCTATATATGAGCACCATTCATCATTTTGTAGCTCACCACCATTTTTTTGCCATTAGATAGTCAGAGATACAAGACAACCATTAAACTTTATAGCTTCAATATTGAAAAAATAAAAATGTACAACTTTTCAGTAAATTTTTTGTTAACTTATACTTTTCTTTTTATAGTCTGATTCTGATCTGTCAGCTTAATTGTCCATGAATAGACAATAATTTGTTTGTGTGTAAATCACTTTTGGTCTTGACCTGGGTATTTTAGATTTGTACCAATCCTTAACCAACCACATCTTTCAGCATTTCTTGTTGGGAGTATAGCTAAAGTGAATGATCGTATTACCAATCTTGATCGTGAGCTTCAGGACCTAGCTACTGGTTTAGTCATAGAAAGCAGACAGTCATTTGGTGAAGATGAATATCCTCTGATCTCACCACGCTTTGATGAGGGGCCTAAAGCAGGTAGGAATTTAGTCTTCTTTTGTCCTTTTTACCTTGCTCATTTTATCTCTTCAAGAGGTGAATTGTACATTGGTGAACCTTTTTTTCCTCCTTCTATTTCTTTGATTGCATTTATAGAACTTTGCAAATTTTTCAGACTTATATATATTTTCCTGCTAGACGTCCAGATTCAGACTTAGACCAAGTACACAGGAAGGTTACAAAGATTTTTGAAGGAAGGTACATTGATCTAGATTGTGATTATTGTTGTTGCCTTAAGTATGTACAGTATGGAAATCCGAAATACTGAACAGAAATAATGACAATTAAAAGAAACAAACAAGCAAACAAAAGAAATAAACAAGAAAAACACAAATTTGTTAAGTTGAATAACACTAAATTGTATGTTGTTGTTGCTGTAAAATGCAATTAATTTCAGGTGGTAGATTCTGTTCTTCACAACTAAATCCTAAAACAGAAATATTGACCAATATTAAACCTTGTTTTGTTTTAGCAGTATTTAGCCTACAGTAAGTCGTAGCAAAGCTCAATTCTAATCTTTTGGCTCGTCTATGGATTGGTTCTGTTGAATATGTTCATAATGAAAGGTTTAACTCTTGTTAGAACTAACAGTATTGTCTGTACAATCATATTAATTTCATCCATGTGCATTGTAATAACCAATATATTTGTTTGCTTGTTTGTATTTCGTTTGCCAGACATAACACGTAAGTTGGGATTTAGATGACACGTCCTCTCTTTACTCCTGTGCTTTCAGACTAATTTTTCAACTCTCAGAATTGATTTCTTTTCTACATTTAAACCACATGACTGCTGTTGTCAAGTAGCTATAGAATGGGACAGATTTACGGGATGCGTATATCCTGCATGAAAAGACTGATTGATGACTGCTCTTTTTCAAGGAATAACTTTCCGAAATTCCATTTAGACTTCAACCTTTAGAATTTGTTCAACTCTGTCAAACCGTTAAAGTATTTTTACTATTTTGTCAGATGTTTGTAAGAATCCAGTCAACAACTGCATGCTATTACAGTGATACAGTAGAATTGAAGTCATGCTTATTGTATCACTTTATTAACCATATTCACTTCACAGTAATTAATCCAGAAATATAATGTACAAGATCTGTACAAATTACATTCTCTATGTAGATGAATTTGTTAAAGCAAATTGAAGTGGTATTAACCATAGATATATAGGATCAAGAGCTACTTAAAAGCAAAGAAAAGATAAACTTCCATCATTCAGAGAATTCATTCTTTTTTATTTTACTTGCTTGCTGTAAACTATGTCGTGGCCCTATCTTCTTCATCACTTTCCTACAGAATTTTCTTTCTCCTCTGTATTGATTTTTATTAAAATTCATATTAGATCTGTCAAAAATTTGAACTTTTCAACATGATGTGTTTAGATTTTTAAGTTGTGTTTTTGGTTTTGATACTTTTTATTCATTTATTTAATTATGATTTTCTCCTACAGTGTTGCTGATAAATGTTACATTGCAGATGCACAGTATTTGTAACACTTTGCATTCTGAAATGTTTGTCGTAGTAGTTTTCAATTCTGCTATTATCTCTTCTATAACCTCAATACCGTTAGCTGGCACATTTATATTTTACTCCTTGTTTCCTACGTCAATAGTGACTAAAATAGCCTTCACAATCTTGCAACATTTTAATTTGTGATATAGCTTGATGCATTTTTTTGCAAGGCAAATAAATTGTTACATGTTCTTCGAAATCACCTGACCCTTTACAAAGAAATATACAGTGTACAGTTGTTTTCATTTATGTTTGCCAATGTTAAAATCTGTGATAATTGTATGCTGCTGTTTTTTCTTTCAAAGATTTTTTGTGTAGTGCAGATGAAAGTAACAAAAGAAATTGTTTTCATAATCTAACATTCAGTGTTGATTTTGTTGATAATGTGTTGTTACATTCAGTGTGTCTGTTATGAATTCAAGATATGATTTGATAACAATTTTGCTTTGTATGTGTTAATCTTCAGTTTTTCTGTTTCTGTTGCACTTCACCTGCATGTTGCAATGATCAACTTAAACAAAAAATCTGTTGCATGTGTCATTTACATTAATTACCAAAACTAACTTTGCATGAATATGTTGACTACCGGTATGCATTTATGATCAGAGAGGTTGTTATCAGTCAAAAGCTAAATTTTCAGAAAACATTGATTTAGAGATTTATTTTAAAGAGTGTTACAAGATCAGATTTATTATGACTTGAAATGGCCTGTGTTAAAATAGACAAATATTGTCGATCATCTTGATTTCAACTTGTTTCTACTTTCTAATCAAAGAAAATTTTAAAAAATTCAGTGTATGATAAGGAATAAAATATTTCAAAAAAAATCTTTTAATGAGATCCACTTTTCCCCTTTTAAAATAATTTTCATTTAAAAAGAAGATCTGAGTTTAATGTGTTAACCTTTGCCCTCTGCTTGCTTGCATGCCTGCATTTATCCCTTCATTGCTTGGGATATTGGCTTGTATCACTGATTGGCTTCTGCCATGTTGGGTCCCTCACTCATTTACAGCTAAAGATGTCAAAGAACTCAACCAGTTTGCAGGTGTATATGCTGTCAAGTCAAGTAAGCTATGATGTTTCTCCTTGTGCTATGCTTTACATACACATCTCATAGCCTAGAGAGCATGGAGCAGGATTCTTTTCATACCATGCATACATTAGTTTAAGAAATTCTTATAATACTTTTACAGTCAAACCTGTCTATAAAGGTCACTCAAGGGAAACAGAAAAAGTGGCCACTGTAAGACAGGTGGCCTCTCTAGACAAGTTTTACAACACAAATTTCCTTCTCAAGGCTAAGGGAGACAAAATACATGTCCACTATATACACAGGTGGCCTTAATAATAATAATAATAATAATGATAGGCATTTGTATAGCGCCGTCTATCTAGACAATGCTATTCCGAGGCGCACAAGAAAAATAGAAAGAATGAGAAAGTTTGGATGTCGGAGAAATTTCGGATGAGTGTCATACTATTGTTATTGTTAAAAAAGATGAGATTTCAGCTTGGATTTAAAGGTCTCTAAAGGAAGTTATGATTCTCAAATTAAATGGTAAATTATTCCAAAGACAAGGTGCTGCAGATGAAAAAGCCCTTTCACCACAGGCTACTTGTGTCTTTGGGATCTTAAGAAGATGCTGGTGTGATGCACGAGCTGGTGTATAAGGCATAACAAGGTTTTGTTAATAGTTTGGTGGCCACTAAGACAGGTTTGACTGTATACACATTTGTTTGAGAAATTATAAATTTTAGCACACGTACAGTATTTGACATTTAATTTTGAAAGGACTTCATGGTATTGGATTCTAGGAAATAGAATAAGAATTATTGCATTGATTTTCTTTTTAATTTGTTTTTTTTAAACTGTTAACCAGCAGTCCTGTTTCAAATCATAAATTCAGGAACCCATGTGATATTATACCGCTTAAGAAGACATACAGCACTGTTCTAATATTCAACATTGTCATAAAACTTGTATTGTTGAATGTTGGATGGTTATGGTATATGCTTTAAATCACAACCATTACATGTAATTGTTTCATCTATTCCATATCACTCATTTTAAAAACACAGTACATTCTCACGTTAATATTTCTGTGATTTATTTTTATAATATGCAGATATGAGAACATCTACACTGCACATGCATAAAAAACTTTTATCCAATAAAAGGCTTCAGTTTGAGCCAGAATATGCTGAATTAATTATAATCATGTATATATAATATGGAATTTTCTGTTTGGATCCTTCTTTTTGCCCACTATACTGTACACATGTGCTGTTTATGTGCAAAGAAAAAATGCGTAACTTTTTTTCATTCATTGTCTGTAGGGTTACCATTTAATGTAATGAGCCTATTTGTGTGTGCATATACATAATACATTGTTGGAAACGGATTACTAAATATGTGGGGATTGTGAAGGTTTCATTAAACTTTCTGCTTCATCGCTTTTGTGATTAAACTAAAATGTTGCCATGATGGTCAGAGCTAGGGGCTAGGATACATTGAGCTCTTGATTCAGCTACAAGTATGTATCCTAACTTATGTAGTAAAAAGTACATTTGAATTTATCTGATGAATGAGGTTGAATCGTTCGTTTTAATCATTGATGGATGTTTTACTTGCAGTGCTACAGGTTGATAAGTCAGATAAAGGAAAGCATCTCTTGAAGAATATGTCAGGAAGCAGAAAGGTGATAATCAAATTAACAATGCTACCTGTATTAAGTAACCTGTATGTCATATTAGTTATGGTGTTTTCTTTGTTTTCATTCTTACAATTTAGATAAGGTATACCAAAGACCAAAGAGAAATCCTACTTAATCTTTTAAGGCTTGCTCAGATGTGAGGTGGTAAATTACGCCCCCAAAAGGACTATGTTTATTTTATGTGAATGGCAACTTCACGCTAAACAATCCTACACATATTCACTAAGCTCTGTGTTATAAAATGCAGGAGGGTGAAACGTGTTACACTTCACATTTCCATAGAAGAAGAAAAAAGATGGTGGTTTTTTGGCCACCTCGTAACTGAACGAGAGACTTTAGGCCATTTATAATTGTTTAAATTAATTTTTTATTTTTTTGAATTACCATATTTAAGTGGCTTTTGTTGATTCTATAAAACAAATATCATGATTGATTTCAAACAGATCTTGTGATGGTAATGATGTTAAATAATTTTATTTGATTTTATTTTATTTTATTTATTTTCCCACTCAAATATCCATAAGTTTAAATGAAATATATAAACTATACAGTATAACAATATATAATAGAGCAAATATGTTCCTAATAAAATAAGTTTACAGAGTACATTTAAGTTTGAGAATAAGACAAAATATTCTAAATTGCTTGATTTAAGTAAGAGGGGAAAAAGGGAAGCTAGGCTTGTTGAGTGAGATTCCCAGTATCAATTGGGTACTAGACCATCATCAAGGTGTATAAATAATGCAAATTGAAATTGTAGATTGTAACTTATTTGTGATTAATTGCCTTTGTTTACCTTTGTTTGTCACATTGTCATCCTTTATATGTTGATAATACAATTCATATAAAAAAAATCATTTCTTCCTTGAGTTTAACAATACAAATTGTTGTTTTTTTTAATTATTTTTCATCGGTTATTGAAGCAACAAAAAGACAAGACTGGGACCAAACCAAGATTAGTTGAGGTAAGAATTGAGTCTGTATTTTTTTTTGTTTTCCACATGCAGAATTGATAACCTATTATCATTTTCATTTGATGGACTTATGCGCATGATGCCAGTAATTAGTATTATAACCCTTCAGTATCGTGGTACCAAGTTAAAAATTGCACTGCCCATTGAGTATTATATAAAGTAAACTTAATCTCTTTATGTACATGTAGTTGTTCATTGATGCCAGTATTCTGGCTTTGCCTTTATTTCAGGACTGTTTTATTAATAGAATGGGTCTATAGAATTCCTCTCGAATCATAACAGTCACCCATAGGAAAGAAATGAGCCTGCCGCATACTCCTGCGGCAGACTTGCCGCAGATCTGCAGCAGACCTGCCGCAGACAGTCATCTTTTTGACATGCAAATTAGTTCTGCCGCAGACTTGCCGCAGACTTGCCGCATACTCTTTCAGTATAATGAAGAGTCTGCGGCAGGTCTGCCGCAGACTTGCTGCAGACTTGCCGCATACTCTTTCAGTATGATGAAGAGTCTGCGGCAGGTCTGCCGCAGACTTGCCGCATACTCTTTCAGTATGACGAAGAGTCTGCGGCAGGTCTGCCGCAGACTTGCTGCAGACCTGCCGCATACTCTTTCAGTATGATGAAGAGTCTGCGGCAGGTCTGCCGCAGACTTGCTGCAGACTTGCTGCAGACTTGTCGCATACTCTTTCAGTATGATAAAGAGTCTGCGGTAGGTCTGCCGCAGACTTGCTGCAGACCTGCCGCAGACTCTTCGTCATGAATATTCATATCTCATATAGACCTGCTGCAGACCTGCCGCATACTCTTTCATATCCAGTACGTGGCAATAAAGTATGCATGTAGAAAAACCAGTGATAAACTGATTGATACTTCATAATCAATATTGGCAATATCGATATTACCAATTAGGTAATACCAATATATATCGACATTACCAATTAGGTATATTCTATTCTCAATTGTATTAACTTCATCACATTGATCATTTGAAGTGTATTCAAGAGTAACATTTAAAGTGATACAGGCTCGTACACATATATATATACTAAATATGTATATTGTTTCTTGGTTAGTAATCATAGTTTCTTGGTTAGTAATCAATATATCTATTGCTTAAACGTGAATGTAATTGTAACATGATCAGACAAAATAATCTATTGATTAATAATGGCAAAAGGAAAATAGAAATCACAAAAATGATGTGCATTGACTTAATTTGCTTAACAAATCATGATAAATGTATTTTTCTGTCACACGTGTAAAGTAATAATGAATATGCATGAGATGATTGGTTTCAATTGGCCCTATTAGACTTTAATGGGATTTCCTGTGGCAGACCTGCCGCAGACTGTTCCTGTGGCGTACTGGTATGCGGCAAGTCTGGAGCAAAGTTTCGCCCTGCCGCAGATCTGCCGCAGACTGTTCCTGTGGCATACTAGTATGCGGCAAGTCTGGAGCAAAGTTTCATCCTGCCGCAGATCTGCCGCAGACTGTTCCTGTGGCATACTAGTATGCGGCAAGTCTGCAGCAAAATTTCATCCTGCCGCAGGTCTGCCGCAGACTGTTCCTGTGGCATACTAGTATGTGGCAAGTCTGCAGCAAAGTTTCATCCTGCCGCAGATCTGCCGCAGACTGTTCCTGTGGCATACTAGTATGCGGCAAGTCTGCAGCAAAATTTCATCCTGCCGCAGATCTGCCGCAGACTGTTCCTGTGGCATACTAGTATGCGGCAAGTCTGCAGCAAAGTTTCATCCTGCCGCAGATGTGCCGCAGACTGTTCCTGTGGCATACTGGTATGCGGCAAGTCTGCAGCAAAATTTCTTTCTGCCGCATACTTCGGCATACTCTTTGCCGCAGACTAAAAGTCTGCGGCAGGTCTGCGGCAGATCTGCGGCAGGTCTGCGGCAGGTCTGCGGCATACTTTTCACTTTCCTATGGGCATGTTACTAGCAAGAATTTCAAATGTATCTTCTTTTTCCAGTATAGTGCAGACCACAGTTGGAGTATTATTGTACCTTGTACTTATAAAATGACGAATGTAAAGTGTATAGAACTATGAAGGAAAGTGCATAGACAAAAATTTAGGGGGGGGGGGGAAATGGTTTTGTACTAATTACTTTCCTTTTTGATATCTTTACTAATTACTCTCCTTTTTTATATCTTAGCTTCATCAGTATCCAGGCTATGAATCAGATCGTCTTACTCAACTCCCTGAAGTACCAGCTCGAGTCATCCTCAATACCGTTACCAAAGCTCAATTAGATCTGGAGAGGAAGCCACATTACAAGATTGAGTTCAAGAGACTATTCCATTCCAAGATGTCAGAAGCCATATTATTAGTAAGTCTGTCTGTAGGCATATTTTTTTCATTTTTATTTCATTTTATTTTATTATTTTATAATGACGTTTGCCAATAAAAATGTTGATAAATTATAATTTTTCTTTGAGTAAATCATCATAGTACTTGCTGAGAAAGTATTGTTTTATTGTATGCAGAACTGTTGGTGTTTTGTTTGTGCCACACAAATCATAATTTGTTGTTTGTTGAGAGTGTAATCAATATATGGGTCTATTCATTTATTCACAATATGCCCGCCTCTGTTTAAGTTTCAATGCTATTAGTTCTAACCTTAAATGACTATTTGAATTTCCAGGACACATTTTGGTACTTGTTCCTGCATCGATACCACCCTAGTAGAGTAGTCCAGAGTAGACTCTTCAATCGTATCTCTCACAACTACGTCAAGTTACTCCTCTCAGCCAAGCAACCCAAGTATAGAGATGTCTTCTTCAGGGTACGTAAGCATGCCATGCAATGTAGCTAGAAATAGACAATTGTTTGATGTATCCTGGAGCTTGAATTGGTAAGTAACCAAATGGCTTAAAGAGAAGGTTGAGTTCTGGGAAGAGGTGACAAATAATTTGTGAACTTTATCATTCTTATTATGCAAGTGTGGAAGAACATTAAGACATGTTCACTGAAAAGCATGGCTCTTCAAATGCCTTCATATTCTAAATATGTCGTGTTCATCGTAAAACTCGGGGGGTAGGTTTTTTACGCCATATGTTCGTGTAGTCCCATATACATCTTTCTGTGTACAGTGCTTGGAACTTTACCAAGACTTCACCAATTAATTTCTTATCATTTTGATGATTCTAGAACCTTGCAATACACACAAATTCTTATATGCTAGATGATCAACCTTTTCTGGTCAATTCCACACCGTTTCTTTCACAATGCAATCGCATGACCAGAACTTAACTTCATCTTTAAATTCACAGATGAGTCATAAATATGACAACAAATTTTTTGAACAGCTGTTTGTCCTTCGATCCTCTTACTACCGGTATCACATCATATTTAAGTAAGTTCTACCGGACTAAAGGTTAATTAAGTGAAGCATACTACTGGAAATCTTAGAATCTGTAGTTTTGGAAAAATACTGACTCAAAATATAGTGATGATCATGTGATTTATGGTATTTCTTAGTTGTCACGTCACACTAAAGTTTTGACATTGACGAGTCATTTTGTGAGTCGATCATGAGACATTTTGGTCTGAATGCCAGGGAATGCCATAGTACGTGTACATGAAATGTAATTTGGATCCCTAACCGATCTTAATTTTAATTTCCATTCAGTCTTATGCTGACATCCTAGCCCAAGCTGTGTATGCAGCATACTGTGCAGCCTTCCCTAACTCATGGAGGCAGTTTGATGATAGCTTCAAAGAGGACCTGTGTGGACTTACATCAGAATGGGTGGTTGGGACTAAGCAGGCTCCAAGACGATGGGCTGTATGGAACTTTGATGATCTTGAACCTAATGACATGAAGAAAGATGACTTCTCAAAAAGGGATAAGAAGAAAGGTAAGCATCAGACAATGTAAAGTCATTTGAGTAATTACCAGACTTTACGCTAGGTGCTAAGGACATCAAGGTCCATGGTTCAGTTCTTAAGTAAGAGTAATATTTTTCCTTTTTTTTTAAAGAGATAGTGTAATAAATGTCTTCATATTTGTTTTATCCATATATTAAACAATTACTGTTTTGGTGCAATACTAATTTGCTGTCAACATCTCTTTTTGGGAATCAATCATGTAATTTTTTTGTTTCATAAGTTTCCGGAATTAAGTTGTTTTGGGATAATTATTAGATACTTTGCTGTGAAGAAGCTTGAGTTGGTCTTGTCATTTTGAACAATACATTGAGGCACAAAAAATCTTCTCAATAATATTTCTGAATGAAAATATGAAAATGAATTAAGTGGTTTCGCTGAAATGTATTATATCTTTCAAATGTGTATTGTCTTGTAGGTGGAATGCTGAACTTTGAATCAAGTTCATCTAGCTCGAGTCAGATCTTAGCTGATGCAGGAGGTAACCGATCGACCATCGCAGACGACGAGAGCAGCCTCATCTCAGCTGTAGCTGACGCTCAAAGTATCAGCTCTATATCAACATCATGCCAACCTAAAGACAAGTTCAGGAAACAGAACAGCACATGTGATGTGACAAAGAACACAAGTAAACCTGCTCTGCAAACCATCAGCGAATTATCGGCAGAAAATTCTAGTCTAGACATGTTGCATGGTGGAGGAGGAGGAGGATGGGAAGGAGGGAAGGAGATAAAGGGGAAGACATGCACATCAAAGAAGAAGGGTGTAGGATCTGTGGTGTCTAAGAAAAGTGATTCTAGGACCAGGGTAGGAGGAAAGTCTTCTGACCTGACAGCAAGGCCATCTATATCAAGAACCAGCATCAACAAGAAAACAGAGAAGAAAGAGGTAAGTCACTATAAGATGCGAGATTTAGATGAGTAATGAACTGCACACCATCATTGACATTGTTTCTAGATGATATAACATTGTAAACCTTATCATTTGTTGAATTGAATTTTCCAAATGTGTATTCAAATGTAAATCCTGGGAATGATCGACTTGATGGAAAAGGAACTTCAACATACTGTAATTACCGTACTAAAATTGTGAATGGGAAACCTTGCTGTTCTATTCCATTTTTCTTGAAATTCACTTGTTAAAAGTTCAATGTGCTGATCAATTGATAGGAAAAAATGCTAATATTCAAGTCTTATCTTGCCTACATGCAGTCCCATCCAGCGAGGGAAGGACCAACATTCATCAAACATGTATTCAACGTGGAGGGTCGTAGCCCCCTGGTGGCGCACTTCATGAAGCAGCAGGGTCTAGAGAGAACAGCAGGAATGGATGTCTTACTACAGAGGACAGAGATTGACAAGCTACCTTCATCCACCGCTCCAACGTATCAGGATATCATCCAAGAAACCTTCCAGAAAGTACGGCATATGAAGGACACCTATCAACACATGCATGAAGAGGGTGTTAAAGAACATACTCATTTCCTCACTCAACAGAGAGCAAAGCTTCATGACCATATGAGGTAGGTATCTTAAAGTCTCCTTTAAACCTGGCACAGTTTAACTGCCTCACAAAGCTGCCACTGCAAAAACAAAATGAAATCATCATCATTTTGCAGTTCACACTTCTGTATCATATGAGACGGATGTTTAAAGAGTACATTATTGTAGTGCACAGTTGCCCTTGTGTCACCTCCACTTTCCATGATTAATTTACATATGAAATCTCTTTGTTTTGCCCAAGGTATTTCCTTTAGGCTGTCCGAACGAGACTTTGATTACTTCTTATGTTTCATTCCCTTCATCAAAGTCATTGGCCAGTGTTGTGAAAGTGGTCTAAACGTGGCTAGACTTTCAGTCGGTACAAACTATTGTAATGACATAAATCAAAACCCATTTAGTCATGAAGGTGAATTGAACTTAGTGAGAAGTTAAGGTTTTCACTTTGAAAGAAATAGTTACATGCTAATTTGTACTGCATAAAGAAGTTAACACTATAAATTGTTAGACTAATTTGAATCTTTCAGAGGTAAACTTCAGCCAATAGTTAGTCTACTTTGAAAAATACAGGCCTTCATGTTTTCAGATAGTTGGCCAAGAATCCATCTGTCTCGTTTTTGCAAGAGTTTTCATTTTAAAAGAAGAAGAGTTTATAATCAAGCTTAATTCAAGTATGCATAATCATATGAGTATGAATTTGATTAGATTTGAGATTCTAAGGATCTAAGTAATGTCATCATGTGAAGAAGAAAAAAAAATTGTTACTACTAAATCACTAAATCATGAGAACATTTGAAGCAATTGAAACCAATCTGCTACTGTGGATTTGAGTCTCCTGTGTGTCCTCTTGATGGCAGGTTAGGTAGGCAAAGTTACTGGTAGTCACATCCCAAGTCTGGTAAATGGTGGAATTGGTAGAAGTAAATTTCAATGTTTTTGTTCTTCTTTTCGTTAATTCTAGGAGAGAGAATGCTCTGATGGGTCATCCTAGAGAGGTCAAGAAGCTGAGTGATCTCTTAGTCCTAGAGTTACTCAAAGACCAAGGTGAAGTCAGTACAGGAGCTGCACAGGCTGTAGAGGAAGCATTGCGGTACTATGCTGATCAGGATTAACATCAGAACATTTGAGAGCCTCTGCCATACTACAGAACACCAGAATGTTTGAGAGCCTCTGCCATACTACAGAACACCAGAATGTTTGAGAGCCTCTGCCATACTACAGAACACCAGAATGTTTGAGAGCCTCTGCCATACTACAGAACACCAGAATGTTTGAGAGCCTCTGCCATACTACAGACTGCACATGCTGTAGAGGAAGCTTTGCGATACTATGCTGATCAAGATTAACACCAGAACGTTTGAGAGCCTCTGCCATACTACAGAACACCAGAATGTTTGAGAGCCTCTGCCATACTACAGAACACCAGAATGTTTGAGAGCCTCTGCCATACTACAGACTGCACATGCTGTAGAGGAAGCTTTGCGATACTATGCTGATCAAGATTAACACCAGAACGTTTGAGAGCCTCTGCCATACTACAGAACACCAGAATGTTTGAGAGCCTCTGCCATACTACAGAACACCAGAATGTTTGAGAGCCTCTGCCATACTACAGAACACCAGAATGTTTGAGAGCCTCTGCCATACTACAGAACACCAGAATGTTTGAGAGCCTCTGCCATACTACAGAACACCAGAATGTTTGAGAGCCTCTGCCATACTACAGAACACCAGACTTTTTGAGAGCCTCTGCCATACTACAGACTGCACATGCTGTAGAGGAAGCTTTGCGATACTATGCTGATCAAGATTAACACCAGAGCATTGGCGACCTCTCTTATACAGGTTACTTGTGGTATTTTTGCAGGTACATGTCAAATAAGATAATCCAAACTTCAAACTGGTCCTTGCATATACATATTGTTTTTTGAAACATTGATAGAAATTGAGTTACAAGGTTTTATCACTCCATGGATGAAATCCATCTTCTGAGTGAAGTATTGCTATGAGATGAATACGTTATTGAAGATTGGCAGGAACTGTCTATAACAAACTCTTTATGTGGCCTATTTATTTGAACTCGACAGAAAATGTCCTAAAGATGTAGGATTGAAGTGTAAATGTCAAACTACCCTAGATATTTTCTACCAACTTAAAAGAGTAGAATTACTGCAGGTGATACTTTTTTTATATTTCTTGTGATGCAAAAAACAATATTCTTAGCATGTGATGCCCGTCATAATTTATATGCCTGATTATAAATTTATACTTCTTTCTTCCCACATACGGAGATCAATCTTTATATTTGACTGAACCAGTTAAATGTATGTTAGAAATTAGTTAAATTGATTCATGTCACAGGGTGATATTTATATAATATTGACTGGCCTTGAGGGGTAAATCAGAAATATTGACCAAGCTCAGATCATATTGCCCCGAGTCGAAAGACGAGGGCAATATGGTCTTAGCGCGGTCAATATTTCTGATATCCCCCCGAAAGTGAAGCCAGTCAATATTTTTATTGTTATCCAAATCAGACATCTAGAGCAAATACAGACATCCACCATGACAATCTCAACAACTGAACAAACTTTGTCAAACCAGCACTGTGCATCCAGTGCTTGACACAATTTTCGATACAGTGCAAACTGTGTGCATTTGGTGTAATTATTACGTCACAATAGAGTGCGCGCAAAGTGCGCAGGTTCTCGTACGCATAATAGATGCGCCATGAAAATGACAAAATACGGCGCAGTCAATACAAGATGCCCGGCCGGATGCGAGACCGTGGAAAATACCAAGGTATATTTTCACTCGTCTCTACACGCAAAGTCAATACGCGCAGGGAGACCAAGGAAAATACAAAGAATATACCCCTCCGGTCCCACTGCTAGTGAAAACTAGGGCAATACGGTTTTGTAAATGACCAGCTCAGATGTCTGATACGGGTAATAATTAACATTAATCATCAGTTATTGTCATATATTACCAATTGAATTGGAGAAAGAAATATGATTAATAAAATACCACTCTCTATCACCAAGCATTTTCCCCCCAACAACTGGCTCATTATAGCAGTGAACAAATTCTTACACTAATAGTTAATACTAATATTTTTTTATTTTTCTGTTGGTTTAGAACCACCTTGATATGTGAAACATTCCATTTTGATATTAGTGCACAAGATTTATTCCAAATTTTATAGAGGATTGTGCCTTTGATAAGAAAGTGTGTGACTGCTACATGTATATAAAAGCCCTTTAAGATGTTCTATTTTCTAGCGCATGCAATAAAAAAATCTATTGTGTTAAATATGAATCATTTTCAGGTTGTTGTATATATATATATATACATGTATAAGATAATGTCTGTTATAAACTGGTGGTGGCAACTAATAAGCCTGTATGCTGGGGGCATGCTCGGGTTTAAGGTACAATTCAAGTTCTAAAATGACATTACACCAAAATGCAACATATTCTATTTCCCGCTGCTATTAATGTGCATATCAACAAAGGAATTAATAGATGAATTGTTATACATCCCTGGAAATGTCCAGTATAAAATACAGTCAGGGGAAATGGAAATCAATATTGAATAAGAATAATTCTGTTTGTACCAGGTTGTAAATAACTCTAAAATGAATATCATAAATAGGGATTAGGGTCATTGGTTATTTGTCACTACCAGTATAATCATGTTTCCCATTAGTGGACTGGACTCGTGTAGAATAATGTAAGTTGGATAGTACCTCCAGAAGCTAGATCAGGAATGCTCAGACGATGTCAAAGATGGAACAAGCCTGAGTGAGAAATACATTGTGTGCTGAAAGGAGGGGAAGAGAGAGACAGAGAGACAGGCACAGAGAGAAAGAACAGAACAGGAGAATTGCAGAAAGACCAGTTAAGAGAAGGGAAAAGAGAGAAAGATGGAAGTAGAAAACAATAAAAACAAAGGAATATCCTGAATAGGAAGTCAAGAAAAGAAAAGAAAGGAAAATGGGAGAATGAAAAAAGAAGAAAATATTACAAAAACAATTAAGTTCAAGATTTCACTCACACAGATTTTTCTGTATCAAGAATATGTAAAGTTTTAATGCACCATAAACACCTGTACACATTGAAAAGGGCAAGAACATTGGTAACACAAAACTCTGCATCATGAAACAAAAAGGTCTAAAATCCAATAAATAGCACAGATGCTAAAACTATTTTATAAATAACATCAATCAGAATTATTTACATCCAAATTGCAATAGAAAATGTCCCTTTCCATCAAGTGGCAATGCATGTACATGTAGTTTGCACCGTAAGCGGGGAATGTCCATAAATGACATTTGGTGCAGTGCTGCTATATATACCGGTACACATGATGGGATAATCTGTATCGATTAATAACCTTTACAACAGAGCATACAAGATGAAGAAAACAAAAGCTGTGTAGGCAGGTACCCCGCCTTGCAGTACAGATTAATATTAATTGGTCCAAACACAAAAAGGCCTTAGCAAGGTGATTAGTTCATCTAGCATACCGGTAAACAATTGAAAATATTGAAGATAGATTGCACAATCACAACAGAGGATGTCGATAAACGTAAAAACATGCTAAATATTGATCACCCCTAACATTGCCTTACATATTTTCAGGTGTTTTTCAGTTATTTGTCACTACCATGCTCTCCTTTCATACAACTTCTTTCTTTTTTTTGAATAAAACAGCACCTAATAGACCAGTTCACGGTTAGCACATTACTGCAATGACCCTGAATATCCACAGATCTCAAAACCATGAAGAGGTCCCACTTTGTACATTTTGAAATAATCACTCCTACAGCGATGGAGGTGCTATAGAAATAGCCTTTGTTTCCCCTTTTCAAAGAATACTTCCACCTGTGTATCATGGAGTGCACTGAATGTGCATGAATGAATAATGTTACATAACTTTCATGAGCACGAATCCAGTATTTCGTCTCCGTTAATTTCAAAATTTGTTCTGCAATGACCTTCATCTGCTCATGCTCAGACTGCAACCGTGAACTGGCTTATTCTTGTCCTCCCAAATTACTGAATACACTGGTTACATATACACTTTAATAAAAAATACTGGTGATTTTTGTTTCTTCAGGAAAGGGAGGGGGGGAATGTTTCCTTATTCGGTAGCCCACTAGTATATTCTCTTCAAATATAATCTAAATTCATTAAATTGTCATTCTCCTAGGTAAACATTTCATGTGAGAGGCCAATACTGTTCCAACATCTGTACCTATCAAAATTCAGCTTCTCAAATGTAAAACACGTTTTAAATACAATTAAACACAACTCGTGAGTTAATTAAGGAAAAAAGAAAAATTTCTTTTGTGAAAAAAGTAGATAAATATAAAGCAAACGCTGTTTTTGATTCTCAAACACTGTAGCAAGCCAAACTCTCATCTAATATCACCATTTAAATTCAATTTTCTGTTTTTGTCCAATGGCATGCAAACGTACTGTATTACCTGAGAACAGTAATTTTACAAGATTTTATGTGGTTTAAAATACATATATCAATCCATGTAGAATAACAGGACAGCTGTATCCAATAGCTAGAGATTAAAAGAACAATGTACTATTAAGGCTCGTTCAGATATGATGCAGAAAACCACAGGATTTTATTAATGAAGTGTAATAAGATTCACATTTTTGTATCTTATAATACAAAACTCAGTGAATACGTGCAAGTCCTTTGCACTTGTTATTAATTTACAGTTTTAAAAAAATGGCAGCTTTTTTTTGTGGTGATTTACCACAACATAACTGAAAAAGCCTTTATAATTGTAACATTCAGTATAGTCCAAGTCATAGTACTTCTAACATACATGTACAGTAACAAAATAACAATAACACTGTAACATATCAAAAACGAATCCAACATTATCATTTCCATATACAAGTTTTATAAAGCTCATTAAGATAATTCTTGTTCTAGTTCATTTGAGCTTTAGAATCATAAATCTACATATCATCATCATACATGTATGCTCCGCAGAATGGAGCTAATGGATGTGCAGTCATGCAACCAGTGTATATTCAAGAAAATAGGCAATTTTTGTATTTTAATCATACGTCTTTGCGAAATGCCTTGATACGAATGATTTGTTTTTTCCGGTTACAAATTAATGTATTTCAAAAGTCAGTATGAAATTGCATGTATTACATTATGTTGCTAGGTAGGGCAAGCCATTTGTTTTCCTACCTAGCAACGACTAGTGTATGCGATTCACTCATATTCTGACTATTGAAATCCAATTATTCATATTTTCGCATCAAGGCACTTCACAAAGACGTGTATATTAAATTTGGTTACATTACAAAAATGGCCTTTTGCAAAGTTTTGAACATTCTTCAACTACATCTATACAACACGAATTTAAGTCTACAATCCATCCAAAATTTCAAATGTTATTATTATCATTCTATCAATCAAAACTATAAACTCTAAAAATCTGACCAGAATTTGTGTTCTTTCCTCTCCTGCTGGGCACACAAGATAAATGATGTCACATTGACAACATTCCCAGTACATGCAAGTAATCTGTATGGAATGAGCTGATATTGCTAGCTGCCGGCCATAGCACCATCATGCATACATCCATCAGTCACACTGATCAATCACATCTATCAAAGGCAACCGCAAAGACATGACAAGGTCATGAAAGATACATGGTAAATGCACAATATAACACCAATATTAATCTGGTATTGAATGAACAGTGGTGATCTACATATACAGATCCGTAAAATGTCATAATATACAGGTCAGTGAGATAACGGACTAACTTTACATGAAACTCAACATTTTAAAGCGATACTAAACTGCTGAACATTCTGCCCTAGCGTACTGTTTATTGCACAGCGCCATCTCATGGTCAATTTGCTGACAGTGCATAACCCGTTACCTAATTTCCACTTCGCAACAGAGGACTTGATGCGAGAACCAAGAGTGCATCTAGGGGAGCAGTGAGTTAGGGGACCATACTGCTATAGCTGACCTGAGATGGCGCTACAGAGAATTTTGCGGTAGTGCTTCTAGTACAGTATGGCTTTAAGAAACAGAAAATGTATACACCATCAATGATAACATATGGGCTTGTAACAATAACAAATCATCATTCTTGCCAAGATTAGATGAGTGAATATTAGAAAGATTCAGTATATCCTTATCAAGGGCTATTCTTCTCCCGACTGCTTTTAATTTTGGGGCCATACTGCATGGAATCTGCAGAGACGTGACAACCAACCTCACTCTGAATAATTTTCAGACGACACTGAACTTTGCCAGAGGTTCATACACACACAGAATTATAGTTCAGAATTTCACTGAATTTGATGTTGGTGACATAAAGAACCCTCACAGATGATCAGAAGTAAACTAATCACATAAGCAGTGCTTTTTGTTTGATTTGATCTTGGGTTTTATTTTATACACTGTACATTAAATGTGATACAAACTGAAAAGTATTTTTCAAAATCTTGTATTACTTTCACTGAAAATTGCATGGAAATCACTTTCAATTATATTTGCCAATACTGAAGAAGGAAACCTGACTGGTTACTGAAGGCTATTCGGTGTCCAAATCAAGTTAACCCTACATCACATCTGTCATTATTGGCTTCAATTGCTATATATTTAGAATACATGAAAGTCGTAACTTAATAATTAGTATAAACGCGTAGTTGCCTGGTAGCTGCCTGGTGGATGTAGTATGTGCTATGCGTACAGTTTGAATTGATCCTCTATATCTTCTAAAGAACCGATCCCAAATGTGTCTTGTTGGTTTTGGACAAGCTTGAAGATGGCCTCTAGCTGCTCTGATTGAATCCTATCACAAGACAAACAAACAGTCAAAGCAAATGAGTCAGTCAAAACATTTCAAAATAAAGAGCATAGTATAATGGCATGCAGGTCAAGGGTGACAAAGGGATCAAACAACAGCAGAAGAATGACCAGTGGAAGAAAATACAAAGGAGGACAACACTGTAAAAACTACTTAAAATATTATATGACTTGAATGATTAAACCAGTACTTGTGTACCCAAAAATTTGTTACGACATCACTGTGGTGTAATGCAATCATAGATAAATTTCAAGGCTTGCTTAATGATAAGACTTTAGGGAGTGGGAAAGACTGACTACCTAATGATTATAACACGACAATAGGAATCAAAACAGACACATTAGGTACATGATAGTATTGACAAACTTGAACTATTGAACAAGATGAATGATGTACCTGACTCCATCATTTTAATTTCATTTTTTTTAAAGGAGCTTTTACACTAAGAAACTAAAATTCTTTAAAAAAAGGAAAGAAGTGAGGTACTGGTAGTCGATCATGCACTGTCATTCAACAGGTTTAAAAGAATTCTTGTGGTGTTAGGCTAAAGAAATAAAGCATGAAATCTAGCAACAAACCTTCTCTCTTCTACCTTCTGTTCATCTGACATTCTCTTAGAGACCTCTTCAACCAATTTCTTGGTTTTCTGTGGACCGGATAGATTTTTTGTCTTGGACTCGATGTCGTCCTCCTCTTCCCCATCACCTCCCTCTTCATTGGTCTGATTGCAATCTAACGGCTTGATGTCATCGTGGTTGATGAGAAGATCTTTGATGTCATCTTCCTCTTCATCTCCCTCCTCATCTCCGTCTTCATCTTCCTCCTGGATTGAAGCCGTCTGTGATGAATTATCCCCATCTCCTGACGATGCTTGTAGGGATTTATCTTCTGTTATTGACTGAATACACACCAAAATAGACAAACTGAGTAAGCTTCCATTGAGGCTTCAAATAAAGTCAACACACTATTGACAATGCCAAGGAAGGGTATAGGGTCAAAAGCTGACCGGCAATAACAATTTCCTACACTTTCCGAAACAAGCAGGAGTGCCTAGCCGATTTTGAGAACCTACCTGTGACAACGGTCCCTTGATATGTATGTTTGCTTGCTTGTCAGTTATTTTAACTGAAAAATGTCCACCTATACATGTACATGTTAAATGTGTTATTAAATGTGTAATCTCATTGTGGCAGTGCATGCATGATCACTGTCTTTCAATTACATAAACGAGGTCAGACAGGCAACATATTATGGTACACATGAAAATGAACACGGTCAGGGAAACATACACATGCACATGAAAGAACATCTTTGATTATTATAAGAGCTCTGAATCTCTACCTCCACAAACAATTGTGTTTGTACATGTAATATTTTTTCAAGTAGAAATACTTCAAAACTGAAAAGACGATAAGACCCGGCCAATTAAGCAATTAAAGCTCACCTTTGTTTGAACGCCATCTGGATGGACAGGACAGACATCTTTTGTAACAGTCTTCCTGTAGACCCACTTGAAGGAGATTATGAAAGCCAGAAAGGTGACCAAGGCAGATGTGATGTAAAAGAGAATCTCAGATTCTAGAGCTTTCCTCGCGACTTTGTCCATCGTTATTGCTTCATTCATCTACACATCAGGTCTGAAAAAAAAAAGAATTCAAATGATTCCATACAAGCGAGGGTAAGACATCATCTGCTAGACTGCTACAGAAGTGGAAACATACTACATGTATATACAAAGATTATTCAAAGTTAGTAAAGCTCATACAACAGAATTAATAGAGAGTAGAGACAGAGGGTGCAGGAGAGTAGATAGAGAGATAGAGAGAATGTGAGAGAGGGAGAGAGAGAGAGAGAGAGACAGACAGAGAGACAGAGAGAAAAGTAGAGAGAGAGAGAGAAAAGTAGAGAGAGAGAAAAGTAGAGAGAGAGAAAAGTAGAGAGAGAGAGAGAGAGAGGAGAGAGAGAGAGAGGGGAGAGAGATTTCCTTCGTTTCAACAAGTCCATAGCAAATTGTTTGAACTGCATGGATAATTATTAAATAAAGGCAATTACCGGTAGTTCATATTCATTCCAGATAAAGACCAATGGCAAAATGCATGCAAAAAATGGTACATGGGATCGATGAGCGATTTACATACTGTACCTGTGGAAATTAAAGGTCTAAAAGAGCTCTTAAAATCTTTTTTGAATGAGCTCTGGTGAAAACAACAATAAATCACATAAAAATGTTTACGAATTTTGCTCCCTTTTACAACTACAAATTAAAAAGAGTGCTCTGATATATACAAACAAGTATTATTGACACAGTTATATTGTACATCATGTCTTATGAGGTTCTCTTGTACTAGATATTGCTCATGCCACATAATTGAAGGGTATTTGAGTTTATTGGAGCATTACCAATGAATGTGTCCTTGATCACCAAGGAATTTGTAGACTATGAAACGTTGCTAAGCATCATCAGTCTAGAAACAGTGACCATGAAAATGATATTCTATACACAGCTCTGTACATGAAGTTGAAGAAAAAAAAAGTCTCATCACTTTCAAATGCTGCTCTTAATGATAGTTTACTACATGTATGTACTGTACAGTACATGTAGATCAAAGTGAATACTCATGAATATCAGAGTGAGGTTCTTGGTTTTGTACTTTGCATTTTATTTCATGAAAATGCATGTTTAATATGCTACGCTTGCTATCTCCCTCATGAAAGAAAGAAATGGGAGTTTCACATACATGAAAGCATGCAGCTGAATATCATTTATCATACTGTGATGTATGTGGAATCAATCTACAGTAGTTGTGAAACTGGAATTTCATTTAAAAGATGAGATTAATCATAACCTTTATTTTAACACATTGGCTATATATGGTAGGAGTTACCCAACATTCCTTTAATTAAATAGTTGAAGAGTGCAGATGGTAAAAGAGTATTTAGGAGGATACATGATGTACAAATTAAATACATGTATGAGTAGGTTGCACTGGTACACTGTACATGTATGCAGATCTGTCAACACCACTCCACTCCATTCCATTGATCATTAAATCTTGAAGGTTCATCTAAATAGTAGGAGATCTATCATCGTGATATTATTAGGAGAGGATAAACAGAAGATGAGAAGCAGACATCTATCCATGAACTCCATTCCCACTGACGTTGATTTACGACCATGCACAATTGACCATGTGATGGCCACTCCCATCCAATTTAAGGGAGGTCTCAACACTGAATTTGCATTTCTTTATACCTGTACATGTATGTAATGTAGGCCTGAGTTTTAAGGAAAGGTAAGATGTTCGAAAGATTCAGTAAAAATTAAAAATACCACTTAAGAAGTTAAAATAATTAATGTAAATCTCTTTTGCATCTATTAATTTTCCAAAGACATAATAGGAATAAACATTTTTTTTTTTTTTAAGAAAAAAAAAAAAAAAAAAAAATTATGGGCAAAAAAATTAATGAGTCTTAAAAAAACAACACCCAAATTGAAGATAACTTGATGAAAATTCATACACAGAGTTTGTCATGACTCATGAAACTTAAAAACTTTTCACAGCAGTGAGGGACTATATGCAAAGTATACATACATGTACAACATACGATTTATATGACACACTTTATGCACCCAGTATTGTACATGATGTGTGAATTATCATCCCAGCTAAATTTGAAAAATCTACTCTGAAATTCTCTGACATGTTTGTCTTTAATTGAATCCCAGGAGGCACGCAGGATGAAATGGTTACCATGGAAACAATTTGTATATCTGTAGGATGCATGAATGCATGTAATTAGCTTTGTATCACAGCACACAGGTTCTACTATTTACAATTGACATGGTGCTAATAGACTCAGCCAATATCACTGTTTGAATTAGACTGGTACTGGTAGGTTATACTGTAGATGTACATAATTTCTAATGCTTTTATGTCAATTTACTTGTTCATGTAGACCTACATACATGTACATGTACATGTACTGTATGTTCTATCATGTACATGTATACTACAAGTAGTTTTTTTTTTAAAAGAACACAATTTTTATCCCACGATACATTTTGACATCACAACATGCATGTAGAATATCATAATTTTGTTAAATATTTTTTAATAATGATATTTCTTACCGTACTTATCTTATGACCTTGGATCAATAATAATGTGAATGCATGGAGACCATTATGCATATTATGTACACCTACTGTAGAAAAGGTACATTAAATTTCTTACATGTAATACTAATTACCCCACCCTGAGTATAACCCCTGAAAGTTAATAAGACTACCGGTATAGGCCTTGTAGAGGGTAGATATTCCAGGTAAGTCACACTGTTTTGTAACTGAATACACCTTTAATAGTAAGAAGGATACCAAATACTTAAAGAATTAAAGTAGATATAAAATGTACTATGTGTACATGTAATAAAGACTTGTTCAGATATGCAATGCTAAATAGCTGCAAAAAAGTCCCCTCATAAAAAAAGTGTAAATGAATGGCAACTGATCACAACACAAGTCCTAAGTCTACCGGTATTCACTGAGAGAGCATTATAAGATACAAAAAGCTGAATTGGATTGCACTTTAAACATTATCAAAAAACAAAACAAAATAACAACAAAACACTCTTGTATATCAAAGGCTACATGGAAAAAACATGACCTACAGGTACAATATGAAAGGGAAAAATGTACTTATACATTGTTTTTCTAAAAGAAATGTGCTTCTAGATTTTAGAATTTTAAAAGTAAATATCCTCTCGTAGGAAATTAAAATACATTTAAAAAATACCAAACTTGCCTATTGTGACCAAATACAATGTACATCTTTGATGACCTCTAACTCTCTAAACACTAAAAATAAAAATATGTGACATTTTGTTGGTTTTGTAGTGCATGGTCATATTTAATAAGGGCCATTCAATCAACAACAAAAAATGATTCGCAAGACCAATGTTTTGCAGCATATTAAAGCTGAACTTCAAATACATGTACAACACATACAATTATTGTACATGAAATGCAAATAGTGGGGTTAAATTAAGAGCCAGGTGAAGTGACAGACATTTTGCCTGTTTGGAGCCAGAAGGACATTAATTCTGTGTAAAAATGATCCAAGTCAACATCCCTCTGGCTTTTAAAGGGATCTGGTAATTTTGTCTCAGATTCTGAAACAAAATTCTGGATTTAGTTCATGATGCAATGATAATTATAAACCTTTAGGTCAGTCAGGAACTCAATGACTTTTACAAGCCGATCGCCTGCCTGATTATCAAGATATTTATGATTGGAATTACAAATTTTGAAAACCGTTCGCCTGACGGTTTTCATAACACTACAGTCTATTGGGCAAAACGAGTATGGTATAACCGGTCACTCAAAGATATTTACTTTTTTGAGGCACTTCTTGATCATTTTGAAGCGCAATTTTTTTAGGGCTTCAATATTACACTGTATCACAGACACTGATAACACGCAGGGCCGTGTATCTCAGATTTAACATTGTTAAACATCCCTTTAATATGCAAGAAAATATGTACATTTGTAAATTATGTACATGTATGATGTGGCTACATGCCTGACATGTACATTGTACATGTACTGTAGTAGTAGTACATATTTTTGTAATATTTCACATCTACATGGGAAAATAATACAAAGATTTTGTTATTGTAACATTCTGTTCTCATTTCTACCTCTATCATCCATCTGTACATGTATGTTGTAACTGATTCACAAGTACGGTAGCAGTCAGGTAATACAGTGCATGGTTATTGGTCACGTTGGTGCATACAAAAGACAATAGCAGGTGAATGAAATACTTCATCATCACACACACGTTGAAAGGAAGCATTAGTAAATTAGAATACATTTTAATAAGGTAATTAATAAACAAACTTCACATAATACTTCAAGTTATCAAGAAAATGTATTTCTTGGGGTGAAGTTTCCTTTAAAGGGTGACTAAAATTACAAATTCATGTTGACTTTTGTTGATCTGTAATAATGTATACATCATATATCTTTTTTTATTACTTTTGTTCTACCTTCTACGCTCCATTAAAGAAAAACTCCAAAAGCAAATTACTTTTGTGACATCGTCATGCCAGTCATTCATCAAAAGACAAAGGAAATTGGAATGTTCATTCCCATCAACTGACCACCTGTTAACACCTGCATGCATGTATATACACAATGCCCACTAAAAAAATTCAATTAATTCAATTACATTGTAAGCAGTTGCTATGCCAGGATTCACCAAGCAATACCATAAAGGAGGGTTTGAAATGGGCTATTATATGAAAACATACAATGCTATTAAATGCAATGGTACTCACAGTGGGTGAGGACATACATGTACCACGGCCAATTTAGGAAAATGAGGCCCCAAAAATCCGGTCCAAATAGATATAATAATTTACCAAATATCAATTAGGCCTAGATCTAGTAGGCGGTTTCTCGGCAAAATTGGCATCATGACATCACGTATTCGTCAAAACATATTCTTTCACATGATTGGTAATAAGAGCTTCCATTTCATTTTTTGAGAGGGGGGCGCGTTTCCAAAACTGGTTTTTACCTTTTAATACTAGACCCTAGTTGTAGAGTCCAACAGTGATATAAAACCCTGCCTAAGGCTAAGCCTAGGCTAAGCCTAGGCTAAGCCGCCCTAACAACATTAATAAAATATGGCGGTAATTAACTAGAACTTTAGAAGAAGAAAAAAATAGTCACCTTTTCCAATATGGAAATAATGTAAACGTCGTTGCAAAGGTGAGTGAAATCCTCCAACGTTCTGTATATCATCTGCCGTTTACGTCTGCTGAAGATATGAAGTTCTCACCTGGCCCGGCGGCGCGGCCCCTAGTTGGGCCCTGCCTGCCTCGCTCGCAGACGTCAGACAAACTCAACTCAGTGTTTACACTCGTACCGTACCTCCCCGTTCAACGCAGTACACACGTTACTACACAAGAAACCTGCACTGAACGTCGTCGCGATCGTCACGGTCGACCAGATCACGGTTTTATTCTCTCCTTACTCCTCGATTCTTAGCCATGAGTTGATTCTAAAAGTCACCTGAACATGTTGTCCGCATGTAGAATATTTATAATGCAACCTGCATTAGAGTTAGAATGCTGAATACACCTGCAATTGAAGCAATTATCTGGACTATTTTCCTCGGCTTGATCACGGAGGTTCGTCAAACAAATTCTACTATGGTGTCTTTCAGACATCTGATAAAAATCTAAAATTCAATGTCCATCACAAAAATACCTCACCCTGGCCTCTTACACTTCGCGAGTCCTCTCAATTATCGTCCTCATCATCGTCCTCATCATTATCATCACCATCTTCATTGTCATCATAAATAATGTCATCTTGTCATTCTGCCACTGTTTCTGAGCACTTTTTTGTTGTTAGAAAATATTCAATTCAATTCAATTCAAACTTTATAATATTGATTTCAATCCAAACATGTTTTTTTTTTTTTTATACATTGTCTATATTTAGCGACAAATAAGCGCGCGGGGGGGGGGGTTAATTGCAAGCACTACTTTTTTTTGCTCAATGGTGGGGAGGGAGGGGTATGGAGCACTATTTATTTTTATTTTTTACTCAACACCCCCCCCCCCCCCCCCCGCCTATTTTTCTTCATCAGGGATGGGCGTCGTCGGTACAATTAACGTTACCATCTTTATTTTATTTTTTTTATTGGGGGGGGGGGCAGGGGTGCGGGCCTGGGCCAATCCGCCCCTGATTCAAGCAAGTCCAAGTCTTCATACCCAACCCTCACCCTAACCCAAAGACTATCAGCCTATATACTCTTAATGAAATTAAATGAACATAAACATTATTAATGGGGTATAAGTCTCCATATTATTATTATCAAAATTAGCATTAACAATATTTTTAGTATCATACTTTTATGTGAAAGAATGTGTAGTATTACACCTAATAATTACATACTAAAGATATCATGATCAATATTATTGTCCTCATTGTCATCACCATGATCATCATCACATGAAGAGGCAATTTTAAGTTGTTCTAAGAGAGTATATATATCAAAGTTTGAGTTCTAGTCCTTATGTATAGAATGTCTCTAAACTAAGTATGATTATTATCATTGATAATAATAATAGTAATACATGTAGTGGGTTCTTGTTTATAGCACTCATGTCTGTCAAACTCGAGACTCATCGCACTCCACAATTATTCCCCTGCGGCTTTAGCATGGCTAACATTATGGCGCATCATTATTAACTAAAATATTGTCATCATTATTCATCATCACCATCATCATCAATATCATAAAGAGGAAATTTTAAGTTGCTCTTAGAGAGTATCAAAGCGTTTTCTTTTGCTAGCAATCTGAACAAAATAGGATTATTTTTTTTTTGGGGGGGGGGGGGAGTTCCAGACCCAGTGGCGGATCCAGGGGGGGGGGTTGGGGGGGTTGCAACCCCCCCCCTTGGGCGGCCCAAAAAAAAAAAAAAAAAAAAAAAAGGGAAAAAAAAGAAAAAAAGAAAGAAAAAAAGAAAGAAAAAAGAACGCACGCTGGAGAGAAACCCTTTCAAGTGCAAATATTGTGAGAAGATATTCAACTCATCTGGTAACTTAACCAAACACATGATAACTCTGGATATAACTATGTATTAAACTGTTACTTGATTTAAAAAGACGTTATCATGCACTGCTTTTTATGGTCTCCATTGTGTTAATAGATGCCAGGAAAACATCACTTACGGGGTTCAAATAAACACCCCCAAAAAAATCGGCTCGCCGCTTCGCGGCTCGTGGACGATGCTCCGCATCGTCATTATTTTGGTCAACCCCCCCCTTAGCAAAAAGCTAGATCCGCCCCTGAGACCTTATGTATAGACCTTTATAGAATGTCTACAACAAATTGTTTCTTGTCAATTATTTCTTTATTCAATACATTCAAGAAAAGATACACATGTCAGAAAATAGAGCAAGCAATGGTTTACCATTCATAAATATTAAATATAACCTCAAATATCTTGATATTTCAGAGGCTGAAAATAATATGATGGACTTGTATATCTTGTCAACTAAAATCTCTAAGGATGTTCAGTTGCCAAAGTAAGCCTGCAGAATCTTCTTTTCAAAAATATTAAAATGACTGAATACTTCTCACTCATTCCTAAAGAAGTAACAAACTGATTATTTTTCTTTGTTGCCAGGTCTACTTTTAACATTTCATCTTAACACTATCTTCTTCTAGAATTCAAACATACATAAACATTGACATATTTCTTGATCCTCTTCAGTTCTAAAGGGTGAAGAAAGATCCGAGAGACAGAGAAAAAGAAGGGGGAAGAAGTACTGAAAGGGAGAGAGAAAGAGAGAGAGAGGCATTATTGGAGGAAATCGCCCTCTAATTCAGCTCCCTTTAGAAAACAGAATTCATGTAGACTTCGCAACTTGACATTTAATTCCTCTTAAGAAGCTTGATAACTGGATTTCACCCTAAATCATTCAAACGTCTGTATACGTCAATTCTTTAGTCTCATAATTCTTAGCATTGCAAGGCTATGACACTTTGAACTCATATTATAATTATCATAGTAGCACATGTGCATAAAACTTGTAGTTGTTACAAAAATTATGTAAGGCATGAAATTAACAGGCATCAATAGATAATAGAAAGCTATACATTCCTTTTCTTTAACTTTGTAAAACGAAATATACACCCTACAGTGCAAAAATTAAAGTTCACTTTTTTCTGAAATTGAAATTTTATGTCAAAAATTCATGATCATGGGGTGGGCAAGCAAAATTAGAATGAATAAATGTAATACAACAATGAGTGGTATACAGTAATAGTCAGAATGCAAATGCAAGTACATATATTTATGATAATTGAAAGATATAACTTTTTCCCATATACCATAAATATTCTCATTCTCAAGTAAAGGATGTCTAATTTTTAGGCAATAATGGGTATGTGTATCCTTTTGAAAAAACTTTCATGATAAATGGAGACCTGCTGATGCTAATAATGCTGATTTTCTTACATTCAAAGGCGAGTGCTAGCTTCAATGGTATAATCTTTTGCACAGGATAGTATCAATAAAATGCTATATTTTGGGCTTGCTTTAGGTAAAGAGCCCATTCAACCTTACGCTCTCCATTTTATGATTGACATAAAAGGTCATGTGACATTCAAACAGTATGGCTCATTTTCATAAACATTGTACACAAAATAATTTAAGGCTATGATTTATAAACGAAAATTGCACTGTGAGACTTTTGATTGATTGCAAAATTTCCAGAGATGGCGTCTCCCCTAGCATTAAGGTTAACTTACAATAATATAGCAGAAAAATGAGACACAGATACATGTACATGTTTGTCGATAAAGTGAGGAGCCATATCTTATGAGAGTTTGCTACAAGCGGTCTGTCTTGTCTTCAAAAGTTGGTTCATCTACATGTATATCTACAAAATCATATGCTGTCAGAATACCCTGGACAGATACTAGTAAATGTTCACAATTTCTCTCAATAGTTGAAGCATCTATGAAGGTCGAAGGTTGCCATACTTTGCAGTAAACTTTGAGTATGCTGTACAGCTGAACACAGCAGAAACAAGTAAATGTTCTGTATCGCCCTCTATAGTTGAAACATCCTGGACAGTGGCCTCCTTGTACAACCAGCTACAGAAATAAAAGATAAAGGAAAACCAATTAATCCATCCATCTATCCCTATATCCAGGCGTGTACGCAGGATTTTTTCAAGGGGGGGTTTTAACATTTATAAATCGGGCCAAACATTTCGCAACGACTCAGCCAACCGCTGAATAAGCGGGGGGGGGGGGGGGGGGGGGGGGGGGGGGGGGGGGGGGGGGGGGCTAAGAGGACACTTTTTTTTTTTTTGGTATCGAAATTTGAAAATTTGACATTTTGCTCCGCTGGGGGGGGGGATAAGGTCATCTTTTTGAGGTCAGCCATGGGAATTTTTTTTTTTTTTTTTTTTTATTTATTTTTTATTTAATACAAAATACAAAAAACAAAAAACAAAAAACAAATTCCAAAAGGGGGGGGGGGGGGGTTACACACAAAAAAATACCAAAGGAGGGGTTTGACCCCCCAAACCCCCCCCCCCCCCCCCCCCCCCCCCCCCCCCCCCCCCCCCCCCCCCCCCCCCCCCCCCCCTGTGTACGCGCCTGCCTATATCCATACATTTTGGTTATCCATCAGGTTGACTCATCAGTCCAACTATCAAATCTATCTATCATTTCACTCATATTAATTAATTTCTCCATCAAATCCATCTTTCCATCCCTCTATTTGTCCATTATATCCATCAATCAATCTCTTTGATCTTTCCATCATCAAATGAAATACATCCATCCATCTATCAATCTCTTTGATCTTTCCATCATCACATGAAATACATACATCCATCCATCAATCTCTTTGATCTTTCCATCATCACATGAAATACATACATCCATCCATCAATCTCTTTGATCTTTCCATCATCAAATGAAATACATCCATCCATCTATCAATCTCTTTGATCTTTCCATCATCACATGAAATACATACATCCATCCATCAATCTCTTTGATCTTTCCATCATCACATGAAATACATACATCCATCCATCAATCTCTTTGATCTTTCCATCATCACATGAAATACACACATCCATCCATCTATCCTAATCTACAACTGATAACAAAGAATTGGGATTTCTCACGGAGGAGCACTGCATTCAATAGGAAAGGTGGATTTTCCAAACTGACAAATTATCCACAACACATTGTGTCCAACTATTGTTTCAAAGGTACATGTAAAGGACACTGATATAAAATTAAACCAATTTATATGGGATTTACAAAGAAAATCACACTTTCAAATGAGTAACCTTGATCAACACCACGTTAAGTAGATGAGTATCATTAGTTTGTTACTCTTTTCAAAGTCATTCTTCAGTATTTACCCTAGATGTGTTCCAGCCTGTGGTATTCTGACATCACACATAACGCTCTTAGTGACTTCAACCAGTTTGACCTCTATGACCTCTGTTAACTGGTTTAATCCAGTTCCATGGGTGGCTGAAACTGGATAGCAATTATCCAAGGCAGCAAATTCAGACCTTTTAATAAAGAAAAAAAAAATCAATTTATCTTGGGACTACAATTTCTCATGTGTTTTTACCCTTTTGTAAACATAATATTATAAACAATTAAACTTGTCCACAACAACAAAAACAAAAAATCAGCAAAATACCTTATAATTTCTCATATCCACAGTGGTAAAGAAAGGGTTAAGCTAGTTTCTCTTCAAACACAATGTCATTATTGGCTTCAATGTGATATATATAATCATCCATTCCAAACTAAAGCTCCTAAAAACTGTAATTGACACAAACATTATTGGTCAAAGAAATTTTTAATTAATAGAGAAATTTCAATTTGTCTTACTCTCTTCACTCCCAATTATCTGATGTATTTCAAAGTATAGGGAAGTTTCTTACTTGTTGTGTAGAAGGTCAATCTTATTATTGACCTCAATCATGTTGTCTAGAAGATGCTGATTGACCCCGAGGTCATGAAGGACACCGATGACCTCAATCTTTTGATTCTCTGATTCAGGATGACTAACATCTCTTACATGCACAAGAAGATCCTAGAAACAAAAAGGAAAAGAAAGATATAATGGCAAAATACAGTCCTAAAATATCCAGTTGTTGTCCAGTCTAGTTATTGACAATGCCAAATATATATGTCTGTATACATTTTTCATATTTGTGTACATACTACATTGTGTACGCTGATTAAAGAAGGAAATAAATCTTCAACCTAAATATCTTAAATATCTATTGATCTATTCTAAAATAATAATAATGGACAAATCCAAATACAAAGATGTTCATTTTGTCAAAATATTGATTTGATTAGCGCATCTGTCATTTAATACTCAATGCTTAAAGGAATTACAAAGTTTTGGCATGGGGTCATGAATTTGGTTCAAATTAACATATTGGAAGCATATGTGTTCCTACAATATTCATTGATCATTGTCGCGGTTGAAATCGAGTCTAAACTTATGAAATTATAAATAATAAACTCTTTATGTTGTATAGCTCCCTCTCAAGGTTAAGATATTAATTTAGCTATGAAACAATGTTTCTTGACTAAAATTGACCGATTAGCTATTCCCGTTTGGAAATTATATATCAAAACTACATATTCTGAGATTTTCATGGTCGCACCTACGATTGTACAGCCAAAGGCGCTATTTGAAATTTATCAAAATTTACCGGGAGCACCGGTAAATTTTTATATTCAATTTTTCTCGAAAACAAAAGTGTTTTAGGGGCTAATTTTTTTAGTGCTTATGATACATCCGCAGGGGCATCCAAATATATCAAAATTGTAAAGATTCACTATCATCCCAATTTTCAAAATTTCCCAAAACTTTGTATTACCTTTAAGGAGAGTAATACAAATGAGAAAGAGAAATCAATACAGAGGAAGTAACACAGAAACAATCACACTGAACGAGTCAGAACGAGAGAGAACGAGAGAGAAAGAGAGATAGAGAGAGCAATAGATAGATTGAGAGAGAGACAGACACAGACAGACAGAGATGAAATGCAATAACATTATCTAAAAGACTGCTAAATACTTTTGTTAAAAGGCATTGATGAATATGATCAAAGTTACACAACAAGGAAAGGAACTTACAGCACACAGGACATCTTCTAATGTAGCAGCAAAAGATGCAATCAATTGATGAGGAAGATGAGAGATGAATCCTACAGTATCTACATAGATGACAGGCATTCTATTAGATAGATAACCTGCATGAGATGTTACATCGAGTGTTGCAAACAGTTGATTCCTTGGCTCCAGTCTTGTGTCTCCTGTCATAGCTTTTATTAGAGACGTCTTTCCTGAAGAAAAAACAAATATACAGAATGCCTGCACTATTGCTTGCTAGGTGTTGAATTTAAGAAAGGTGCTAGTCAGCAGCACCCCCCCCCCCCTCCCCTCCCCCTCCACCCCCTTCCCCTGTATTTTGTTGGAAAAATCTGTGAGTTAATACCTAAGCAATTACTTGATACACTAGTCTTGAAGGGCCCAGGTTTGATGAACAAGCATTTAATAATCATCAATAGTCTAAACTCACTGGCAGACACAATAGCATTACTATTTGAAAATAATTGTTTTTATTCTCAGTATTAAAATCAACAACAACAAAAATAGACAAGGAAAGCATGGAAATGCATGTATTTTTAATTTGATGTAACTGATTTGCTTAATAGATAATTGGATATTATTCCCATATTTGCAATTTGTTCACATTATCTGTGTAAATCATTGAAGTGGTCCTAATAGTCATTGTGTTACCTGCATTGGTGTATCCAACAACAGCTACATGTGGAAAGTGTTTTCTCTCTCTGCCTTTCCTCAACAATGCTCGCTTTCCTTTCAGCTTCTCAAGAGCTTTCCTGAGAGCGCCCTCTTTGTCTCGCAGCTGACGTTGTTTCTTCTCCAGTAAGGTCTCTCCTCCACCACCTATGTACTGCTGAGCTCCACTCTGTTGGTCTAGGTCAAAGGTCTCCTGGTGTAAATGTGATCTACAGTGTGATAAGGAATCCAATGTTCAAAAATATTCAGAAGGGCATAACATTTCATTTACTTTTTTCTCAATAAGGCATTCTCAGATGGAGATTCAAAAAGTAATCAACCTCTATGGAATGACTTCTCATAAGTCACTTTGTACTTTAACCTGTTGGATAACATGTTATTTGGTAGGACTCTTATTCTCAATAGAAAACCCAGCCCATAAGTCATCTTGGGTTGAAAGGGATAGATAAAAGGTGATGGTTAAAGAGGTGCTGCAACCTGGTAAATATTGAGAAACTGGGTGCTCTGACACTTGTTTCAAACACGACAAAGTTAGAAATAAGTGAAGTTATACAGGACAGGCATTGTAGGATTTATTAAAAAATTAAATCGAAGACATGAAGGAGAAGAAGGAGTGCGAGACACAAAAGCAGAGAGAGCAAGAGAGAGAGACAGACAGATAGATAGACTGATAAAGAGTGAATATAGAACAATGTGAAGGAAAGAACACAAATCTACTCTAACCTTCTAAAATGTAGCTCTGCTAGAGCTATTTGTAGCTTTGCTTCCTTGGATGAGGCATGTTCCTTGAAGATCTGTAGAACAACCTCATACCTAAAAGAAAAGAAAAGATGAGCCAGGTAAGATGCTAATGATCAGTGGAATAAAAATGAATGTCAAGAACTTCAAATATTGTTGTTATAAATAGTGATCGGGTTGTTCAATGTACTGCATTTAAAAATGATCCAGAGTAAAATACTGCCTAGAGATCACTTTTCTGGTGCTATATAAACCTGAAAACTGACATACAAGATCAGAACAAGTTCAGTTTTACAATTACAAGCAAAAGACTGCACGTCTTAGAGACCTAATGAATGGTCATACAAATTTGGGTTGTAAAGGGGCATGCATTCTATATGAGCTTCATACATTATAGTATGTGAAGGTTTGATTAATACCTATCGTAAACAGGCAATCCCCATTCTTCCTCCATAGTCTTCTTCTGTACACCACTCAGTCTATCAACATTCAAGAACACACTGGTTATATCTGGTTGAGACCGGATCTGGGCAGTTAGCTCCTCAAAGGTTCCTTGTCCAAACATGTACTTCTTGCTCAGTGACTTGACAGTCATCAGTCTGCTATCGAACAATGACCAGTTCTGAAGTGTCTGGACGAATGATAAATCAAAGTTTGGAAATAATGCATATATTGAGTACGGTACTAAAGTAAGCTGGGTGGCTTCACAGTTTCTTATGAATTATCAATGTTTCTTATAGTTTAGTAAAGTGATGCGGGGTGAAATATAACTTGGTGCATTTACTTTTAAGTTTGGAACGAAATAGGGAAACTATTGAACTGAATCACAAACTTAGAACATGTTTAAAAACAATTTTGGTCAATGTTGTCTGTAAACTGTTAATTACCGGTAGGTAAGAATTTACAATATTCTGCTGAATCCTAATGAATACCTACTGTAACTAGAGACTGTGCTTCAATCATCTTCAGCTCACTGTCTGACTTGTGTCTTCTCTCAGTCTTTATAACAGGTTGAATAACAAGAACACGATGACCTTGTAAACCCTGATGTCCTCTATTCACAAGCTCATTTGCATATTCAATAGCTTCCTCTCCATACTCCTGGTCCTCATCGATACCATCACCCGTCGTCTCATCAAATCTCCTCTCGTTCTCATCTGGAGTTCTACTCTTCCGTTTACGATGGAATACTGGTGATTGGTGTAAGCATCTCTTTGTTGGTGAACAATGTAGTTCTTGTACAGTATCATCTAATGAAAGCAAGCTGGAAAATATTTGAGGATACCGAAAGTAATCCCTTGAAGACACAAAACATGATGATCTCCTCGCATTCATTAATGTCAAAGATATCGCACTCATTCTCATTGAATTAGATATCTCAGTTATATTCCTCTGTATGCAAAAAGCTCTAAAAGGAATGCACATTGCATGCCTGTGCCTATTAGTGTTCCTACACATAGATGAGGGCACCCGAAGAACCGCATAAAGAAGTCGTGCAGGAATTCTTAGTCTCTCTATATTCATTGTGCATGTATGTTGTATGGTGTCAGGAACATGAAGTACTCAATCGGTATGAAATGAATTCAGATTATCAGTGCCCCTATTTAGTTGCAGTAAGAAGATCATTCCAAGGAGGCCTATAAGACTGCAATAATTACACTTTTCCGTCTATTCATATGAATAGTATTTCAACTGGTCCTTGATTTGATTTGCTGCAAACAGGTCAGTCTGAGGTACATGTAGGGGTACATGGCTAGATGCAAATAGATTGAGACATAAAAACTCTTGTCCTATTCATGGTGGCACACACAGGCTCCAAATTACACCTTCCACCTATAATGAAAGAGAAAAGAAAAGAAAGTATTAAATTTGATGCCAAAAGTAGAGAGAAAATTTCCCGGCCCCCCCACTCAGAGGTCGAAATGACCGCATGCGTGTTGCCAAAATGTCCGGTAAAGGGGTACTTTTCGTGCGACAAAGTCCGGCCCGAGAATTGTAAAAAAAGGGGTGTATTTGACTTTTCACCCGGAGATTTCTTTAAAAAGGGGGTGTTTTTCTTTTTTCCCCTCATCTCTTTGGACTCCTGAGAAATTATTCCGAATTTAGGGGGGTACATTGAGCATTTTTCCTGATTTAGGGGGGTCTCCAAGGCAGGAAAAGCCCGCGAAAAGCCCGCGAAAGGGGGGTTCGGAAATGTTGGCAGTCCTCAGATAGGGGGTGCTTTCAAAAAGAGGGTACGAGCATATGCGTACCCTAAATAACACTGAGTGGGGGGGCCGGGGAAAATTTAAAGAATGTAATGTATTTCATAGATCTAGATTCTTTTCATGAATTAAACTTTTTTTTTTAAAAGAGAAAAAAATGACAGATGACTGGAGTAAAAAAAATTGGACTGCAAGAGGTGTCGATCATGATGCATTGCGAGTCCCCTGTGGCAGGACTGTGTCAACCCTCCCGCATTTGGAGGGAGTCTCATTCTCCTGTCGTCCCACCAGGTCGTAGCGGCAAGAGGGGGGGGGGGGGGGGGGGGGGGGTTGAGTAAAAAAAAAAAAAAAACATTTTTATTCATCCTCAAGACAGTCAACATGGTCAAACTCAAAACAAGAGCCAAGGGCAGCAATGAAGGCAAAGCCTTTTTTTTTTTAGTGCCAAAGTCGAGAATCTCCTGACATTTAATGTTCTCTCATGACATGTCCATCATTCCATGAACAAATGTGACTTCAGTCACTTCACAATGAAAGTAATATTTTTCCGGCGTCATCTTAAAGTTACAAACAAGCATGAAAAGGATACTTTTCTCACGATGGGCTAGGCTCAGCTCATCCGGATCCACAGGCAGCACGGGATAGGCACTGGGTGCAGGTTAGGTCCACGTCCGACGGATCCGACGGCCGACCCTCCATAAGCACAGTGGATCTCCAGCGCAGCAGTTACGGCTGCGCGCTGCGGTCGATTGTGCTAGTGCCAGTGCCAGTGCCAGTGATCCTGTTGAACTGTTCCCGAGCGAAGCCGTTAAGTGCTCATAATACCTGACTTTCTAGTTTAAATCTGCACAAATAACATGACGATGATAATGAGAACAATATATAATTTCTTTAGCTGAAACGATGTTCAAAAATCTAAATATTAACTTCATTACCTTGACTTGTGAAACATTATTCAAGCGTTCCATAAGCGCAGCATACATGTATTTGTCTATGGAAAGCCGCGTGTGTTACCAGTATACGTCCTATGCCCATCGCATCCCAAAAAGAACGATATATCAGCGAACGGCGCGGCAAATGGGATGAGTTGAGGTTTTATTATCCAAACGTTCAAATACATTAAGATAACAATAATAACAATAGTACATGCATTTTTAGCAAATATTTTGAATGTACAAAAGGGACCAGAAAATAGCATTAAATGCTAGTCATGTTTGCCTTGTTTGGTACCTTTATAATCTACATTATCTTAACAAATTAAAATGTACCGGTATATCAAAATTATACTATGTGAATAATTCTACTATCTAAGAGAATACGTGTTTGTATGTTTAAATACAAAGCCTAAACTTGTATTGAGCATTAATACTTTCATACACTGTCTTCAAAATTAATATAGAATATATTAATAATAATAATATTCGGTCTTTGGAAATTACTACCCTAGCTTTAGCTCCGGCAGCCGATATCTAATAAAAGAAGAGAACCTGTGTTAAAAGGTAAACACAGTTATTCTATCAACATTTGTGCTGTTATATTCCTACGAAAAACAAGAAACTGAAGCTTTTCCCTAACAGATAAAGATGATTCATTCCAGAAGCATGCGCATCTGCATGTATGACACAGAAAATGTACCTTGTGTTGTTCTTACTTTAGGCATATACTTAGCTTTTTATTTTCTCTTTACCTTGTCTCATTACAAATCTGCTTTATACGAAATAACAGTTCTGAATAAGGGATTGTGGCAATTCATTATTGAATAATAATGATGCATATAAAAACACAAATAGATAGTTTATGTATTTAAAACACAATAATTTTAACTCCTGGAACATCGGTTTTGAATAATGATATAGCTCTGAGTGCCATGTTTTAGCTTAATAATAAACATTTCATATTAATTTCATAATTGCCTCCCCAAACCTCAATTCCAAATATAATATGTGGTTGAATTAATATTTTATACAATAAAAAATAACATATTTCTAGGTACAAACTGTCTCAATCAATATAAAACACCGTCTTTTTTCTAATACACTCATTTACTCTTTCAATATAAGATTTCCAATTAAGTCATTGAGTCAAATTTTGATCCTATGAATGATGCAGCATCCACCTTATTTATTTGTGTTTTGGCTATTTTCAATACTCCTTGAATTACTACTGGTTGTCTACTCCTTCTTATAATATAAATAAATGATTAGGATTTTTTAACAAATTAAATGTAAGATTAATTAATTTGCACCACGTGGACACTTTATCGACTCCATCCATATTTATTACATCAAGTGGAAATGTATGAAACAAGTTAGAATCATCAGCAAAAAGTCGAAAATTCAAATAATCTGTCGAGTTTGGCGAATCATTATTTTATATAAATAAAAAATAACGGTAGGTCGCAACACTGACCCCTGACTGAACACCACATACACGTTGTCATCTGTCGTGATGAGCCATATCCATCATAATTCACAAACTGAAAACTATCACAAAAGCGGCAGTCCCCTAATTCCACAATGTTCTAGTTTACTAGCCAGTATTGTCTGGTCTATATCGTTCGTATCAGAAGCTTTCTGAAAATGTAGGAATACGCCTATACTGAGAGCCAGTCATATACTATCCTTATCTAACGATGTTAGTACATCATTAACTAAATTGATTACGTTTCTTTCAAGATAATCAAATAGCCTCTTGTTTACTATTTTTTCAAATACCTTTGCCAGAAGAGGGAACCCTAAGATTGGTCGGTAATTTTGTATTTCTCTCACTTCTTTTTTTAAAAATAGGTGAAAATTTAGCTAATTTCATCGCCTCTGGAACCAGACCCAGCAACATTGGCGGATCCAGGGGGGGGGGGGGGGGGGGGGGGGGCACGGGCCCCCCCCCCCCTTGAGAAAAAAAAAATCATGTAAAATCACGTGATTTTTACCTTTTTTGGGGGTTGGGCCTCCCCCCCCCCCTGGCGCTCAAGGGGGGGGGGTGCAAATTGAATTTTTTTGAGGATCAAAAAAAAAAAAAAAATGTGCTCACTACCTTTCTCAGTCTTTCTTGATTAGATTGTGCTTTAAACCCCTTCAAAATTGTTTTTCCTCTTTATTAGATGTAGTTTTTCACACTGCGACCTCGCAAATGTTTAAATTAATTACATACAGACCATCAAACCCAACTGCAAAGTATGATGTAAGCATCTTGGCCAATGTAAAGAGAGACCCAAACATTGAAATCATCCCCGATAATGTAATCAATCGCGCCTGGGTGGGACTCACTATCATCTCGTTGCTCAAAGTGTGAAGAACGTTAATATAAGCAATCAAGTAATTTGATATAGAGGGTATAGATGTAAAGTACTCTAGCCTCATAAGTAATCAACATAACAAAAGATAGTACACCATAGTTGAAACGTAGTTTGTAGGCCCACATCTTGACAGTTATCGTCAATATCTGCACCGCCCCCCCCCCCCCTCTATGACACCTGGAGGTAATGCATATTTATTTCTGCCCCCCTCAAAGTTTTTGCTCATTACGTCACTGCTAACAAAGTAAAATCTGGGATCATGTTCAGTGAAGAAGTCTAGTAAAACAGCAAGCACGTCTCTTGCATTAAAAGACTGAAACAAGTTGATTTTTTTTCTTCATAAAATGAATTAAAAAAGAAGAAAAAAAAAAAGAAGCTACAGGACTGTCCTAGCTGCACGTGAAAGAAAATTATTAATAATCCAGACGGAGTCCGGACGGAGTCAACTTATTTGCAAAGCAGACGATCCGTGTGTGTTGTTACCCTTTAGTCCAGATGCATAATAATATTGTAGATGTTGAATAAAAAAAAAAGACATTTCACAGTCAAATGCAAAGAGCTGGATTATCTCGTAATGCAGGCCAGGCAGGCGTATGATGCAATGATACCGAAATAGATACAAAACTTGAATATTCATGTTGACTAGAAATATAGTGCATGCAACCGAGTCGTATTCTCCCTCAATATGGAACATTTTCTTTATTGCTGCTTATTAAGTATCGGCTTATAATTATGGTGATGTATAATACAGGACATAAGTTCCCAATCATCCCTCTCTCTCTCTCTCTCATTGTATATGATTATCAAAGAGTTTGAAAGGCTTTCCTGACATGGCAACAATGGGAAAATTCTTGGAGGTATACCCTATCTTTGAATAGTAGGAGCTATTTATACTCATCTGGGACGACCACAGCCTTCAATTTACCTATACGAATACAATAACCTAAGGCTGTTCCGTCATTTCAAGAGAGAAATAAAAAACAATTCGCTCAAAACTGTATACTGGAATATGGAAATTAAAAATACCACTATAATTCTCACTGCCCCTCACTCAATCCACCACCTCCCCGCCACAGCCCCCTATCCCCCCCCCCTTTTCATACAACGAATCCATTAACAAATTTTGTTTCAGACTCTTTTATCTTATACAAATATTTTCTTAATATGATATAATTATCTGCCCGAATTGCAATAAAAAGTTATCAATATCGGGCTTTTCTGCTAAATATTTAACTTGATATGTCGATCTGGTTTCTCATCGCATGCACTTGACTAATATTGATTGCAGTGGCAGATCCAGGGGTGGGGGGGGGGGGGGGGCGGGGGCTCCGCCCCCCCCCCTTGAGAAAAAAAATCATGTAAAAACACGCTCGAGGGGAGGGGGGGTGCAAATTTTTTAATTTTCGAGGACCAAAATATTTTTTAAAAATGTGCTCACTACCCCCCCCCCCCCCCCCCCCCCCCCCCCCCCCCCCCCCACTGAGCGACTCTTTGGCCGGCGCGATTTTCAAATTCTCGGGAGCAAAAAAAGAAAAGAAAGTTGGGCCCCCTCCCCTAAGAAATCCTGGATCCGCGCCTGATTGATTGTATGGGGTGTATCAGATCCTCTTTCCATATGTTTCTCTATATATCCTGGTTATCCTCTCTCTGTATGACTCTAACTGTGTGCATCACGTAAACGAAAGGTCAGAGAGAGAGAGAGAGAGAGATGTTTTTCTCGTGATTTTTTTTTTTTTTTAAATCGTGATTCTTCTGCATGAGCTACTAGCTATGTTTGCAATAATGTGTAAACATGTACGGTTTATAATGCTACTGATCATTACAGCGGAATATTCACCGATATTTTAGCAAGTTACAGAAATTTAAAAATTATCTAATTTGTTATGTCTTGAATTGTTCTGTCTTTGTTTGTCAACAGGAATGGACCCTGCATACATTTAATATTATCACCCGTGACTGAAACCAACACACAATTAATATCACGGTATTAGTCTCTTTTTATTCCACCAAGCTAAATTTTGCTCCTTGCACAAATGCACTTCTCAACATGAAATATTTCACTAAATTTGTTTTGTTATTTTCGCTCAAAATTAATTCAGCCATGCTCACTCTTAATCACTTCAATTATATCTTATTTAACATCGAATACAATGCAGTTGCATGGGTTGTTCTTTTATTTTGTTAACTCGGCAGAGGCCACGGTCATGTTCAAGCATTTTCGCTTACGACATGTGGTCTCCTGCTTTTTCCTTTTGTATGAAACTTTTATTTTAACTAGAAACAAATTTTGTCAAACTTACATGCTATTCATCATATTTATTTGTATGTTTCTTTGTATTGATATGAAAAAGTGGAAATAAAACAAAACAAAACAAACAAACCCTCGGGGGGGGGGTACTCACATAAAACATACGGGGATGTGCCGCTCGATCTAATCGGTCACTTAATTTTACACCTACAATCCCTATATAAACATGGGTCCCGCTTTTAACAAAAATATCCCTAAACATGGGTCCGTTTTTTTTAAATTTCCTAAATTTTTGGGTGGTTGCATAGCAAACACCCGAAAATTGTGAAAAATGGGCTTTACTTCGAGAAAAATCCCCCAAATATGACCCTTTAAAATGGATAGAGTTTCTTCTTCTGATTAAGCCTGCCTCCTTCAATTGACTGAAAATTCTTGCAAACTATGTGCGTGTGTGTGTTTCGAGGCTTCAGCGGTCTACCCCCGTCCAAACCAAATCTGAGTACCCCCCTCCCGGGTTTTGGCCTCTTGACCACGTAACGATATTTAAAAAAAAACACCCTGCTTCAACTGGTGACCGGGAATTCCCCCAACCGCGCGCTCTCTACGACTACGTCATGTTCAGTTCACATAATGAACACAAAGCGATTCGACCTCCAAGCGGTCATTCTTTGTGACGCTATACATGTACGTGGTGCGTTCGATGTGCGCTGGTTAAAGTACATGTTACATGTCTTCATTGCGGATATCGGTAATGGGACAATAGGAGGACAAATATTATATGAAATTTCATATTTAAAGCAGTCAAATCACAAAGCAAAATGTCTAAAACGTCGTCCGTGCAGCCTCCCGCAGATTATGTCCACCGTGGAAGTTGGATGGTGAGTACACTGACAAAAGTGTGATTTTTAAGCCCAGTCAGCAGTGGCATACAGTACGCACGAACGTGAAACGAGTTTAATATTAATCAATGCAAAATTATTTGCGATATCATCATGTACCATGTGTACCGGTACACGAAGTTGCAATATATGAGAATGACTAAGCGTTGTTGCATGATCAAGCAATATTGATATCATGTGTGAAAACGTAGTGGATTCATATATTATCAATTAATTGATTGAATATGTGATGAAAAAAGGTGGTATGATGAGTATATGACTGAAAATAATGGTGAATGAGGAAGCCATAGCCCATACATATTAGATCTATTACATGATAATAAATATATGCACTCAAATCCACATGGCCAAAAGTTGTCAATTTGTCTCTTGTAAACAGCAATCTTCCTATCATTAAAAAAATGAAAATATTTCCAAATCAGGTTTCTAATATGTATGTGTTATTGTTATTAGGTGTACATCATACATATATGTTACAGTAATGGTTCTCAAATTTCAATATATAATTTTGCATCTATATCTGAATGTGTTCTGTTCCTGGGCCTGATCCTTGAACTTTGAAGTGGGATATTGGTGACCAATATCATTAATAAGTGTTAGCATGCAAGATAGAGTGTACAATTTTTTAATTGAGTCGCATAATATATCTGTTTCTCTGATATATGCATGTAATCCTTTTTTTTTACATTGTATTGGCCATTATACTGAGACTAGAGTCGCGTCTTTCTAAAGCAATGACACTACATGTATGAACAGCAATCATAGATGTATCAGCGCTACATAAGCGGCCATTACTATTTTTTTTTCATTACTCTGTGTGCTCTTTCATCATGTAGATTGAGAAAGTTGAGAAAGTTACAGAAGACCCTACTGCTACTGACGTTAGAGGTGTCGAAGGGTAAGTAATTACAGCTAGGTAATACACCATACATAGGAAAGGTGTTTTACTCTATTGTACTTTTTCTTTTCTCTCTCGATCTCTCTCTTAATTCTATTTCTTCCCCATCACCATTTCCCCTACATAACTTTCTTCCTTCTCAACTTTTCTCAGTTTTGTTCCGTTTTGCGCTTAATTTGCTCTCCATTCTTATCTTCCCATTTTCTCCTTTTCATATATCAATCTATCTCTTTTGTAAATATATTTCCCATGTGTAATCGTTTCTAGGCGTATAAGGTAATTTAGTTGTTAAGTTTTTTTTCTTCTTCAAAGTAATTAAAGCATTCAGGTATTATATTCTGTATATATATATATATATATATATATATATATATATATATATATACAGAATATAATACCTGAATGCTTTAATTACTTTGAAGAACAGAACATGATTGTACATAAGTAAATTTTCATAGCATTACTTTAGTTAAAGGTAAGTTTTGGTATGAGGTTTGGTTCAAATGAACATATTGGAAGCATATTTGCGATTTTATAATATTCAATGATCGTTGTCACGTTTGATATCGAGTCTAAAGTGATGAAATTGTAAATAATAAACTCTTTATGTTGTATAGCGCCCTCTCAAGACTGGTATTACTTTAGGTTTAAAACAATGTTTCTTGATTACAAGCAACCGATTTGCTATTCCTGTTTGGAAATTATATATCAGAACTGTATATTCTGAGATTTTCATGGTCACAGCTACCATGGAATGGCCTAAGGCGCTATTTGAAACATTTGAGATTTACCGGGAGCACCGGTAAAATTTTTATTATTCAATTTCTCGAAAGCAGAAGTGTTTTAAGTGCTAATTTTTCTATTGCTTATTATACATCCATAGGGGCATCCAAATAAATCAATATTTTAAAGAATTACTATCCATCCAATTATCAAAATTTCCCAAAACTTTGCATTACCTTTAAATGAAAAGAATTTTATGTTGAACATTAATAGTGCACTTCAAATTATGTTTGTTAATAATGATGGTAATGGTAATGGTTTTATTAAAAATTCATTTGCAGCCAGATGGCTGAATTGCAGAATTTTGTACATTGTAAAAACATACAAATTTATACAAACATAAATCGTATCAAGACATACCACACATTGAATGAATTTTCTAAATAAATCAGTGTATACATATATATATATATATATATATATATATATATATATATATATTCAAATTAATAAAATTAATAAAATTCGCTTAACAGCTAACAGTTGCTGAATGATATTCCACAATCATAGTGCTGGAGGGAAATATAGAAGAGAGGTAGGGGGATATTAGTGCAGACAGCACAGGAGATCCAGGAAAAGTGTGAGATACAGAAACACAGGGAGAGAAAGGGAGAGAGAAAGAGGTACAAAGCGAGAGATAGAGAGATATATTAGATAGCTTAGACAGATACCGAGATGTGATTGGTCCAAAGCTCGTCACATGATATCAATTGCGAGGATCCAAATTGTTATATTTTCCTGGTTGGTTATATTTTACCGGCCGGTGAAATGAATATATTTTTAATCAATGCATGTCGCCCTCTTGAGGAATGTATAATTTTTTTTTTTGTAATTTTTTTTTCTTCCCGAAAAATGCTTTTTTGGGTAATTTTTTTTTATAAATATTTTTTTACAAAAATTTTTAAAAAAAATTCGGGCAAAAAAAAAAAAAATCAAACCAAGGCTATCTAATATAACAGTTATTGACTGGCAGGGGGTATATATAACATTCTTTGGACCTGAAGGGAGTTATATTTTCCCTTGTGTCCATATTTTCCCTCAGCGCTGCGCGCTTCGGGAATATATAACCACTTGGGAAATATAATTCCCTTCAGCGGTCCAAATAATGTTATATTACACCCCCTGCCAGTCAATAACTGTATAATATAATAAAAGATAATGCAGAGGATGATAGTGTGTATCAGACATATCAAGAATAAGGTAAAAAGTACAATTTCGACAGAGAGAATACTGGTTGCAAAAATTAAAAAATTACATTTTAAATTTTCATTGGTGAGTTTATTATGGATAACATATCTAGTAAATTAAAAGGTAGGTATGCAATCAGATGAAATAAAATATGGTAATTTTAAGATTTTTCTTGTAATGTGGTAAGTATGTTTCAATCATTACAAAAGTTAACCATCATCTTGATTTACTTAATGATATTATCATTTTCATTTATCAATTATCAAGGTTGTACAACCGTCTTGGTAACAAAAAGTTATATACTATTTTAAATAAAATAAAATAATTCTACAGCACCTCTACCTCATCACTTTGGGGATTAGTTTACATGTTATACAAATGTGTACATTTTAAAGTGATCACTGCTGTGAATTTAGCAAGTCAATTAGGTAGGGAACTGGACCGTTACGAAATCGTTTGGTTTTACATTTGAACTGTTCTCTGGTATTTGATTTGCGTAGGCTTCTAATGTTCTTACAAGGAGGTATGAGGTAATTAGATACCTTCTTGTTTGAACAAATTGATAATCTGCTGTTCCTGTTACTTTAAAAAAAATCTTATGTACAAATGTTTGTGAAAGAAGAAACAAAATGAACTATGAAGTTGAACTATGAACTATTAAAATATTATCTCTATTAAGCGATTCATTGCAGTCTTACATGTATGTGATAAGAGTGTCAGAAAACAAGATATTTAAGTAGTTATTGAGTTATGGTAAGGCGCCTTGGATTAATTCGAGTGGCAGTAAACACGCGGCTTTATGCAACGCGGCCTAGTTTGCGTGAAAGCCACAATCGTCCGCACCCCTCCATTCAAAAGCCGGACGCGAAAATCCCGCGTATTGGTGCATACGTTTCAACGACTTAAGAACAGAACGCGACCTACTCATAGTGCTTTCAACCGATATCAGTCGACCGCCCTCTATAGTCTGCCATGTAACTCTCAAACTATGCAGGGGCCGCGGAAGCGGGTGGCTGGGTCTTACACGTTTTATGCTCAGACCTACCCCCCCCCCCTAGCTATATGAAATGAAAAGAATGTAACATAGTTACACAGGTAATAAACAAATTTAAAATAAGTGGGGAAGTGTGACGTCATCAATAATCTATGTTTTGAATTTCTCAATTTTTCTTAATTTTCTGAAAGAGCAACAAAAATAATGTCCTAATATTTATAACAATTGAATATGTGAAGTATTGGCTGAGATATGACCATCTGAATAAATATATTTCCTATGGGAACTCAGTGTTATTTGCTCTGGCTCCTAATGATTTTATCTCGGACATTCAACGTTGCCTTTGCCCAACTCCGCGCATTATACAGTAGTTTATTGAATAGACACCCTACCCAGTCCCCACCCCCCCCCCTTTTTCCCCTCTCCCCTCTTTATCAAACTCGCCTTTCATGCTATGGTAATACGTTGCGTTAACATTTTATGCGCCATTATGTTAGTGATTGTGATTGATTTTGAGCGAAAGAATGGTAATTAGATGGGGGAAAAGTATTAAACAGGAAAACAAGACACACAAAATCATATTGCCAGTTGAGGTTGACATAAAAGCAAGCGAAGGAAGATGGCTTTCATATTTAGAGTTCAGAAATAAACAATATGAGTGAGAGGGGTTGGAGAGACAGAAAGTTGGACGAAGTCTGTACTGTATTCATCATTATGATATTTGTCTCTCTAATCACCCCCCCCCCCCCCCCCGGGCTCTTTTTTTTTCTTTCTGTTCTGTTTGTTTATATATATATTTTCGCTTAAAGGTAAAGACCAGTAATGGTCATGCGATTGCATTGTGAAAGAAACGTTGTGGAATCGATCAGAAAAGGTCGATCATCTAGCATCTAGCATCTGCAAGGTTCTGGAATCATCAAAATGATAAGAAATTTGGCTCATTCTTCGTAAAGTTACAAGCACTATACACAGAAAGATGTATATGGGACTACCCTATCTCTCTCACCAGACCATGAGAGAAATAAATTTACCAAATATATGAATTAGTAGGCGGTTTCCCGGCAAATTTTTTATCATCATGTATTAGTCAAAACATATTCTTTCACATGATTGGTAATGAGAGCTTCCATTTCATTTTTTGAAATTGGGGCGTTGCCAATACTGGTCTTTACCTTTAAGTATAATTTCCGACGTATATTAACACCATCAATATAGCATAATGAACATTTTTTGTCATATCAGTTTGATGCAACAGAGAATTATATTCAAAAGTTTACTTCTGATAATTATTATTGTACTGTTATATTCTTCTCTCCGTTCATTTTAGCTTCTTCCGAATTTTTACGTTATATTTCTTAATCTCTTGATGAAATATAAACACCAGAAGCTAGTAGTTAGTGGTTGCAAACAAAACACTGCAACTGATGGGTTCGAAAATCAAAAACATGAATAGACTTCCTGCTTTTTCACTGCAGATCATAACAAAGCGAATGAAAATGGGCAGACCGTAGTTCAGATAATCCGGCTATTGTTTTTATCATTGGAATAATCCACCAGCTCCATTTTCTCACGCATACATGCCGGTGAATGGACTGTCGTTGTTGTTGTTGTTTTATTTAGGCAAGTCAGTCAGTTTATGACCATTATTGCCAAATAATATGAACAATTTTGTTTTAAATTCTAATTTACGTATGTGGGCAGGTCCAAGCTATTTGCTTTGTGACGTACGGGACATTCAGAGACTTTAAACAAGAAATAACAATGGATGACATTATTTATATGGCTATCTTTTGGTATGAGTCTGTGGCTATTATGGGCTAGTTCATTTGTGGAAAGTTTTAGTTCTGACCAATTCATAAATTAATTTTTAATGTAATTAATGTGATGCGTGACGTACGGGACCAGAGAATTTCTGACTTTTTCAAAAATAAGTTCATCATAAAAGTTCTCTGAATTTATTAAGTTATGAGGTTTATGGTAATGATATCTTAATTCATTATGGAATCAAGCATTAATCACAACTATTACCATATTTTTCTGACCTTTCGTTGTTATATGCACTCACATAATATGCGTGTATATTATGAATAATATATAAATAATATTTGTTTTTAAGATATATGATTATATATTACATTCCTTGGTCACGCTTTGCTTAAAATAGATTATGATTATGTCCATGATACGGACAGAATGAATTGAATGTGTATTTTCATTATATTATATTGCAAGCAAATGGCGGAATAGAAAACAATATGAAAGATGTAGATGGAAATGACATTGCCAGATATAGACAAAGAGAGACAGACAGACAGAGAGAGAGAGAGAGAAAGAGAGAGAAAGAGAGATGAGAGAGATAGAGAAAGAGAGAGAGAGAGAGTGAGAGAAAGTTAGACGCTTCATTATAATTGGCTGGTTGTTCAGATAATATTGTAAACAACTGATTGCATTTTTAAACAGGTCGTATTATTTTTAAACAACCCTTTTAATGAGATCACGATTCAACGTACTCCTAAATAAAAATAAAAATCTCTGTTGCATCAAAATAAAATTATACGTTCATTGTATGTTATTGACAGAAGTAATATACATCGGACATTATACCAAAGCACAAAAGGGTTATCTATAGAAGAAGGTGGACAACATTATAAGAGAAAGAATAACGATTTCTCTTTTATTTATACAAACATTAACAGCATAAATACCCTTACAAAAACAAAATAAATCTTGAAGAGAGAGAGACAAGAAAAATGTGAAAAGCACCCAACAAATAAAAATAAATAAATAATAGGATTCTAGAGCGGAAGATAATAGGGAAAATGTAATAGTTTGGTGGTATTGGCAAATGTTGACAATAATAGTTTGTAAGTAAATTAACAAAGTATATAAAATCAAAAACGACACAAAATATTTAAAAGATTTTAGAACTACCGTTATATAGAAGGATTATACGAAAAGAGTTATGTCTGAGGCCTACCTACATCTATGTTACGTAAGAGGAACAATGAACTTGGCCAAAGGTAGAGTTAGTTGTCATGGTTATAAACTCGAACAATAGAAGGGCGGATTATGAGGTACTAGGGTGATTGCCGTCATGAGATTTCTTCAGGGCGAGCGCGGATTACGCTGCTTCCAATGCAGAATGCGGATATAGAGGCAGACTGCACCCATAATGGGTGGCCAGTGAAGAAACAAAAGAGAGAGTGGGAAGAAAAGAGAGAGAAAGAGAAGAGAGGGAGGAAAAGAGATAAACAGGAGCAAGAGAAAAAAATTTCCTTGGAGAGGGCTTTATACCAAGTTCAAAGAAAAAAATAATATGTAAAACCTTCCGTAAAATGTGTTTTGCCTCTATGAGTTAAATGACAATGGAATAGCATAGTCCCCAAACAAGAATTCATGAATCAACACATTGGCTTTATGGCCAGCACGCAATTGTTTATACCGGCGAGAGAGAAAAAAACCCACTAGTCTTTATTTCCATTAATTGCTGGAGAATTAAATTTGAATGGGGCGCCCATAACCGGTGTGTCTAGATTGACACCTCCAAGTTACCTCCCCGAAAAAAATCTACTTTTTAAAAATTAATTCAGCTATATATACACAGAAAAAACGTAATTATTTAAAATGCTAACAGTTCATTACAATACAACAGCTTGTTGAATTTTTTAAACAGGTCTTATTACTTATAAACAACCTTTTTAAACGGTGTTTTTATTGTGCATAATAATCCGTTCCAAACATACAGAGTACAGTGCTAATTAGACATGAACTCAAGCTAAGCTAAATAACTTAGTTTAGCCGCAGAGGGAGCTAAACAAGTATGACAAATCTTTCAATGGTTGAAAAAATTTTGGCTTGAAAAGGACGTCACGGTGTTCGGACACACACAATGCATCTTCTCGTGGGCAAATCGTGCATCCGGGATTAACTCAATACGGCTTTGATGCATGCGCTCTCAGGTTAAAAAGCTGCAGCTTCTCGCACATGAGAATTAATCCAAGGCGCCTAATATTGTCACCAAAGAAAGCATGACGATTTCAGCATAAAACATGTATGCATGTACATGTAAGTAACATCAACAATAAGCGAGTTCACGGTTGCAGTCTGAGCATGAGCAGATAAAGGTCATTGCAGAACAAATTTTGAAATACACGGAGACGAAATACTGGATACATGCTCATGAAAGTTATGTAACATTATTCATTCATGCATGCACATTCAGTGCACTCCATGGTACACAGGTGGAAGTATTCTTTGAAAAGGGGGAACAAAGGCTATTAATATAGCACCTCCATCGCTGTAGGAGTGATTATTTCAAAATGTACAAAGTGGGACCTCTTCATGTGTTGAAGATCTGTGGATATTCGAGGTCATTGCAGTATGTTGCTAACCGTTAACTGGTCTATTACAACAGTGCAGACTCTTAACAAATATGTGAATAATACTTGTTTACGATTAGTTTATGCTTTCTCTAGTAATTCTCAAAATAACGGAGAATCTGAAGTACCGGTACCAGAAAAGAGTGAACTTCTGAAGAATGCCATGATTATTGAGTTTTTCTTATTCTGCTGTTGCTACCTACCCCCCCCCCCCCAACGAGAGAGGGCTTGCTGTATTCCTAAAGTAAATGATGGGGGAATATATATCCCCTTTCATGATACTCTTTGATGTACGGTACCTCTGCTGTATCTCTTTAGTACTCATGGAGTAAACCTCATTGTATCAATATCCATAAATATTATGATGAATTTTATCATACTTTGTGCAGGGCTGATTTTCAGCTGACTGATACAGGGGATATCTTCTGGAGCTTGCCTGCTGGTGTAACCACGAAGCCATACTTTGTCAAGAACTTTGACCTCTATGAGGTAAGGTCGGGTCAAGTAGCACCAAGGAAGTTCATTCAGTTGAATTACCAGAGCTACTTTACTTGTTTGTATGTTTGGCAAGGTCAAATTGCTTATGCAAAGCTTTAATGGTAATTGAATTGATGTACATGTAATTTGTAATGCAAATTCTGTTTCCTTTACTTATCAATTATTTTCTTCTAAACCGCTTAGGGACAATTTGCAATTTGCGGTATACAAATATCTTATTACCATTATTTACTATATCTTATATATTAAAGGTAAAGACCAGTATTGGTAACGCCCCAATTTCAAAAAATGAAATGGAAGCTCTCATTACCAATCATGTGAAAGAATATGTTTTGACTAATACATGATGATAAAAAATTTGCCGGGAAACCGCCTACTAATTCATATATTTGGTAAATTTATTTCTCTCATGGTCGTGTGAGAGAGATAGGGTAGTCCCATATACATCTTTCTGTGTATAGTGCTTGTAACTTTACGAAGAATGGGCCAAATTTCTTATCATTTTGATGATTCCAGAACCTTGCAGATGCTAGATGCTAGATGATCAACCTTTTCTGATCGATTCCACAACGTTTCTTTCACAATGCAATCGCATGACCATTACTGGTCTTTACCTTTAAACACTTTTATGCAATTACCAAGCAATGACATTTTGTTTTTGTATAGTGGCTTTTTTTACATGCTCGGGTCCTTTTCATCAATGAATATTATGAATCTAGTATAAATGTGAACTTAACTATCAAAGCTTGTCCAAACTGCCTTTTTTCCACGAATGTACGACTTACACATAATGTGTCTGTTCCTGTCGCAGTATTTGTAAAAATCATTACATGTTCTCTTGATATCAATTTTTTTTTTACAGGTTATTGGAGCCAAGTTTCATGCAATCAAGTTCATTGGTAGCCGCAGTGGAGACAAGATTGTATTCTTTGTAAGTTGTCCTTTTTTTCTTCCTTTTTTTGTTGTTTCGTCGTCAATATAATGATCTGTTGTGGTAGGTGAGAAGAACGGAAGAAAGAAATGTGTTACATGAACACTCTGTATCAGGTCAATCATTTTCCTTTTATTAAAATGATTCAAGATAAATGAATCTCTGGGATACGTGAAAATCTTAATGGAGATTTGGTGCAACTACTGTACAACATCTCTTAATTATTTGATGTGTCATGATTTTTTTTGAAAATGAGCTTTGCATTCTTGCAATTGTTAAAAACTTTTCTATTCCCCGTCCAGTCTTGTGCCAGTAGAAACACTAATTCCATTTCTTATGTATGTGTGTATGATTGTCTTTCAGGCTTCTCAGAAGAGCCCAAACACTCTACAGCTAAAGTATGAGAATGAATTTGTCTTCCATTGTGAGAAGGTAAATTCTTCCTTTTGAAGCCTTATTTTTTAAAGCAGACTTTTATCAATCAGGTGGGATCATTTTAAGTCTCTTATTCCTGATAAGAATCCTTGGTAGAGGTATCAATGGGCAATACAATGCATTTTTCAGTTTCAGTTTCAGTTTCAGTTTCAGTTTCAGTTTTATTTTTCATTTCCAACAGAACAGAAATTTTGACAAAAAATCAGATATACAATTCAATATTCAATAATATAATACATTTTACATGGGTTAAAGTTATGAAATAGAAAGTATACATAAATTTCCAGGATAACGTTTTTTTTAAAGGTTTTTAAAGATCGAGGAGGCGAGTTGGCTTAGTCGGTAAAGTGTCCGTCTGTCGGACCAAAGATCCCGGATTCGACTACCACCCAGGCGGATGACTGAAGCCTGCAGTGTGTGTTAATGTGCCCCTTCCCTTGTTCATAGACGCAGGTTATGTCAAGTGGAAAACACTCCGTCCCTCGGATAGGACGTTAAATGGAGGCCCCGTGCAGAGTAGAGTCACTACCTTTGCACGTTAAGAACCCACTGCACTATTCGTATAAGAGTAGGGGGAAACCCCGGTGTAGTGGTCCACCTGCACACACCCCCAGTATAGTACAATAATACTCTGTAAAGATGTCTGTACTCAAAAGGAAGAAGAAGAAGAAATGGAGGGATCACCTGAAAAGTAGAGCTTGTAAAACGTGGATCCCTCAAAATAATGACACACATGATTTTTTGTAACATGTAAATAGATTGACTTGAAAAAAACAAAAAAACATATACTCTCTCTCTTAGGTATGGAAGATTGAGCAAGCCATTCTGGAGCCATACAGTCTCCTCAGAGCTTACAAGGATGGCTTATTCACTGATATGGAAATCAAGGCGGACACTGCCAGGCCTGTGAGTATGACCTCCTGTAACGAGCCTGTTGACTGAGTACTGAGTTCTATATTTCTCTATATACTCTATATTTAAACCTTCTGGTTCCAGTAGGGAAAGGGTTAAGATTGTTCAGAAAGCTCAATGATGTGTAATTGTTGATCATCTGTTTTTCCTAAGTGATTCTAAGAACCTGGTGGAACTAACCATAAGTTCTATCACATGAAACCTATTGTTCGCCGATTGAACTGGCTACCCATGAGGCCTAAAATAAAAACTTGTTGTATTGCCCTTTAGGTGCCACAACATGGGTTTTCAATTGAATGTTTCTTTTTTCTTTTTTTCCCCGCCCTCTTTTGGCTGATATTTCTAAGTTTTTAATGCTTTAATACATGTGTTTCAGCGTCATCATTCCATTCATATCTTTTTTAGGATTTTGAAACTAGGGCAGAAGACAAGTGAGAATTTGAGAATAATTTGATATTATGCATTTATATCCCATTTAAACAAACAAAATGCATATTTTTTTATTCATTAATAACAAATAATTTTTAAAAAAAGATTAAAAAAAAAAAAACTTTTCTAAAATGCCGACCGTAGATTTTCAGATTTTTGGGTTGGTCGCAAAGGGTAATACAACAAGTTCTTATTTTAGGCCTGAGGTCAGGGGTCGCTAGAAAATGCTTCTTCTCACCTTCAAGTGCATTCACCCTCTGGTTCCTCCCTACCTATCTGAACTCATAACTATCAGGCAACCATTCCGTTAGTCCCTTTGCTTCTCTTAAGAAGCTGAAGAGTGATGAAATCATTCATACATGACTTGACCTAAGGAGGCGCAATAGCTCAGTCAGTAGAGCAGTGGTCTCGCAATCCGGTGACCCGGGTTCGATACCAAGACGATGCGTTAGTGCCCTTTGGTAAGGCATTAATCCTCACTACAAGGTCTTTCGGAGAGGACTTAAAGCCGTTGGCCGTCTGGTTGCTTACTTACAAGCATTAATGCTTTCTTAGCAGTCGGGTAAAATAACCATCACATCAATCTACTATTCAATGTAATACAGCTAGTATATAACCTATCAATGTTCTGCTTTCTTTCTATCTAGTTTGTTGTGCACAAGATCATCCTGAAATCTACCTGTCCTCAGTTAGGATGGGATATGAGCCCCGCCCCTCTCAGCGGCACCCCTGAGGTGGTTCTGTCGGCCATCATTCATTTCCTCTACACTGAGTGCCTCCCAGATACCATAGATGAGGATTCTGCTAGGAAGGTCTTGGAGGTAGCAGGGAAGCTGCCTGGCTTTGAGAGACTGGCAAACCTGTGCCAGCTATACCTGCACAATTCAGAGGTCAAGAATCGTGAGTTTGTTTGTTTGATTTTATTTCTGCGTTCAAAAAGATACAAATTGAAATTCAAAGTACAAAAATTCGAACAATAACAAATACAATTAATAAAATGTTTCCAAAAGTAAATGAATAGAAAATCATGTACAATTATATCATACAATAAACATGTATGAAGCATACAAATAAGATAAGAAATATATAGTAAATATTTTCCAATAAATTAGAGAGATAATTTAGAACGCAGGAGACCACCATCGTGAGCGGTTAGGCTGGAGATGGATGGCGGCCTCATTAAAAAAAAAAGAATTGGCGACATAACTCTCTTGGGAAAACTGAATGATCAAGTGGGTGCAATGCAAGTGCAGGTGCAGAAAGAAGAGATCCGATGGGTGGTAGATGTTAAGGTAAGACTGGCAAGCATGTGCCAGCCATACCTGCATAATTCAGCTGTCAGTATAAAGTAGGGGTTGGGATAGGAGGAGGGGATTAAGAGGAGGAGGGGACTGAGAAAGGGGTAACTGAGAGGTTACAGGAGGGGGGGGGGGGGGGGTGAAAAGACGGAAGAGGGAAGAGTTCATGTAACATAAATAAGCGAGGGAGAGATGAAGAGAGAGGGGTAGATCTATGTTGAGATGAACAGATCAATACATCTAATGAGTAAACAGAAAACAATATATTTAAGTGATTAATATCTCCTCTTCAGAGATCATCAACCTTGTGGATGACATCCATGTCTGCGGTGATCGTCTGATCCAGCTCTTCAGTAGCAAGAGCACAGAGGGCTCCAGCGCCAAGGAGAACATCATGCTGGAACCTCCTAAGTTCTCCTATGCTGTCAGACAGTCTATAAAGGAGGGAGCAGTTGGTAAGATCTCATAACCTTTCACCCCTTTTGCAGGGCTCCACACAGACTCTTAGGCCCAAATTCACAGCGGAGGTTTTCATTACCATAACCCATGGTCTAAAGTTAGCGCTAAATAAGCATGACACTGTCAGAGGTACAATATTAGACGGGCGCAAGGCAAGGTACTCTTATTTTGCGCTAATTTTTAAACTATGGGTTATGTAATTGAGGATTTAAACCATGGGTTAAGTTGAACCTCCTTTGTGAATTCGGGCCTTTTTTTTTTTTTTTTTTTTTTTTGGGGGGGGGGGGGGGGGGTCTGGATTTTCAAATTCATGGGCCTATTTGTATTGAGCCCTATGTAGAACTTCTAAAATTGTAGAGGATCTAGACGTAGATGTTGGGCGCCTCTTAGTGTCCAGCCCTGCCATCTGATAGCTTGATCATTTACCTACATGTAGGGTATCCATCCAGGGTAGTGTTTCACAAAAACTAAGATTGACTTTAAGTTGGACTTAACTATGGCAGGCTGTTCATGCCACTGTTTGCTCTCATTGTTTACTGGTATTGGTCTCTCAAGGGACGTACAAATTATAGTCACTAATCTACAGAATGTATTATTGAAGGAAAAAATATCATCTAAAGATCATAATTGAGAGACCAATAGTGAGAGCGACCAGTGGCATGAATGGCCTGCAATAGTTCAAGTCCGACTTAGTAGATATTAGTCAAATGTATTGATATTTATTGATAAGCTGTACTAGCATCAATCGATAAGCTTATTCATTGATAAGCTGTAAGATTTTCTGAATACAGTTTTGCTGTAGTTGGGTTTTACAGAGACAGGATAGGAAGTGGTTGTCCATGGTCATATGATTACCAAGGTAGACTTTGTAAGTCAAAAGGTTTGAAGATCATGAGTATGTGTGATTTGTTCAACAAGAAAAGACAACTTTCATATAAAAAGTATCACTTGAAAGCTTATGACTATTTGTCACTCAAGTTTTTCGCACAGTGAATAGTACAACTGATGTACTTGAGAATCTCTCTTCCTTACAGCTGGTATGAAGGTTGTCATGATCTGTGATCTGTTCAATAAGAGGAAGGCAGAGATGTCGAAAAAAGAGAGACACGATGTCATGGAATATGTCAAGACCAGGTGAGTAAATTCAGATCTTGAATAGCCCCTTCCCCAAGAGAATGAGAAGGGGTGAGGCCTGGACAAGTATGACAATCCATAGATGGAATTTTGCACAAATTTGTAATATCAATATTCAGCTAATGTACATGAAACAGTGCCTTTGCATATATTGTGTATACATTGTGTGTGGGTAAGCCTGAATCCAATGACCGGGGTAATAATATACTTACATGTATCTGTAAAGCGCTTTGTGAGGGCCTCCGGTCCTGAAAAGCGCTATATAAGAACAAGCTATTATTATTATTATTATTTACATGTTGGACATTGTTGCCCTGGCTTCAGTGTCTGCAACTGTTATTAGCATAAAGTGTATGTTAAGCAATAGATCCAACAAGGTTTCTGTGTATACCTGGGTCAAGAGAGACAGTTTTTGATAAAATGCTTCCTGAAGGAATGTCTATTCTGTACGTACACAAGGTTTTCACCTCTCAACTCTTTAAAGTCAAGCGAATAAACCACTATGCCACAGCACTCCAACAAACATATTTTAAACAGGAAAATCTATGACAAAATTTTGTTAAATTGTTAAAAGATGTGAGCTTTACTTGTGAATATTGCTTTCTAGTTAATAGACTCCATCATATTTCTCACTTTATTTAACTTAGTCTTATGTATTATTCTCTTTGTTTGTAAAAATAAAAATAGATAAAATGTAACATGCAAAATGGAATAATATACAATATGTGAAATATGAAAGTGAACTGAAACTGAAACTAACTGAACTACCGGTAGTTAGAAATTTGCAAATTTGTTGGTCATTGCTTATATCCTTACAACTGGTGGACTAGTTTTGATACGACATGTCCACAATTATTTTAAAAAGTCAAGATCTTTAGTATCGATTTGAGTTCCATTGCTTTTGTCTGCACCGTCCTTACCTCTTTACAGGCTTCTCGGCCGGAAATTGCTAAACCGTTTGACAAAAATTGAGTGAAATATTATCTTGCAGCATCCAATAGGTGGTTTGAGAGGCCCAAAGCACATGTTCAAATTGAAAGTGTGAATTTAAGTATTCTTGTCTGGTAGAATTTGCCATAAATATTTTTCTGAAATCTCCCATTCTCTGTATTTACATCAAGAGTATTATTTTGAAAACTCCCTTTATTTGTTTATACAGGTTACCTATCTTTGTGAAGCAGCTCTACAAGTTCTATGAATCCTTCAAAGAACAACTCACTCAAGATATCAAGCCCAAACAGAGTGATGACCTGGCAAGGTATCTCGTACCGGAGGTAAGTCTGTTCCTTTCAATCCTCTTCAACCAGGTTGCTTTAATTTCAGTTGGTTCAATTAAAATCTGTGCTGTTCTATGCAACTCCTTAGGTAGCTTCAAAAAAAGTTTGGTGTAGGCCTAGCAAGAACTTCTTTTTAGTTGGTTCAATTAAAATCTGTGCTATACTTTGCAACTCCCTTGCAACTTCAAGCAAAGTTTGGTGTAGCAAGAATTTTGTGGGTTGATAATGGTAGTTCATTCTGTTATAGCAGAATTTCAGGACCGTAGGCCTTAAGGGATGTATATCATCTATTTCAGTGCAGTTCAATCTAACTCAGTTTAGTTTAGGGTGGATTAAGATTAGACTATTCTCCTTGATATCAGACAAATCAAGTTCCCCTTTTCAGTGTTTCTTTGGACTTTTGATAAGTACTTCAACTATCCATATAATAAGCTAAGTTACAGATGTGGTACAAACGAAACCCCTTATCCATCATTTTCATATGTGATGACGAATCCAATCTCAATCTCTTATTTTTTGGCTCATGGTAAAGGTGGACAAGTTCCATTTGAATTGATAAGAGTATGATTTCTATTTATTTTTATTCATTTTCATTCATACAATTCTAGTTGTATTCTATCAAATCCATACATTTCATATGTCATGACTAGTCTGATCTCTCTCTCTCTCGTATCATTCTGCTCTCTCTCTCTCTCTTTCTCTTTCTCTCTCTCTCTCTCTCTCTCTCTCTCTCTCTCTCTCTTGTCCTCCCTCCCTCTCTCTGTCCTGTTGCAGATGGATAAGTGCCTTGACATGACTACAGACATGGTAGAACAAGGCAAAGATGCCCTGGAGATGATCCTCAGACGCATGAAAGCCAATGAAGACAAGAAGCTTTCTACCAAGGATTACCTCAAGTTCATTGTAGTCAATGTAAGTTCAACGGGATATACCCATCTTTACTTTCCTGCTCCACATTTTTCCTTTACTTCTTTTTTTCCTTTCTGCATTTTACTTTTGCCTGATATTCATTAAATCGTTTTCATATCGACATGTTCCTAATGTCTTCCTTGCAATCAAGTAACTTTTTTATGATCTTGAATTATTGTTAAATAATGAATTGTAAATATGATGTTTTTAATCAAATATGATGTTTTTAATCAAATATTTGTAAATCATGCATGCAATTCAGCCATTGGCTGCAATATGTTGATGATTAATACCTTACCTTACCTCACTCATAAATGTTCACTTTAAGAGAAAGCTGTATCAAGTAAACTTTCATAATTCTAATGTTCTGCATTCTCCTCCAAGCTCTTTATCTGTTATATTTTATTATTCATAGAGGGTGGGGGTGGGGGGGGGGGGGGGGGGGGCTCCATCAAAGCTGTCATAATTGAACAGCAGTAAGTCTTGCCCATCATTCCAAATTGTAAGTCGTACCATTGGATTGGCATTATTGCGAATACAAAAATGCAACTGTTCTATTGAGTATAGTGTATCTCCTATTTATACATTGTACATGTTTGAATTTTTATGCAAACCAAAGAAAATATCCCACAAATATTGACAAACTAGATGATTTTTTTTTTTTCAAACAAAATACCGGTAACAGTTTGACTTTGCATTGGTTGCGTTCACACACAGGCAATGTTCAGGAAGGAGATGGCCCAGTTGAAGCTAGCCCATGAGAGGATGTGTGAACTGTTCCAGAGCATGTTATGGCGTCAAGAAGGCTTTGATTGCCTGTCAGAAGCTGATAAAATGTTTTCTGTCAACAAAAATATCGAACAAGTGGTGGAAGAGGTCAGTACTCTGATTTACTGGTTATCAAATGCCTAGACCCCTGGGCCCTGTTTCATAAAACTTCATATCAATAACAAGTTACAAGCTACTGTTAAGCTACTGAAATCATGGCATCTGATTGGCTGAGAGCAAACTTGATATCAATAACAAGTTACAAGCTACTGTTATAAGCTACTGAAATCATAGCATCTGATTGGCAGAGAGCAAACTTGATATCAATAACAAGTTACAAGCTACTGTTATAAGCTACTGAAATCATAGCATCTGATTGGCTGAGAGCAAATTTGACATACAAATTTAGCAGTTGTTATAAATAACAAGTTTTATGAAACGGGCCCCAGATTGGTAAAAACTATGGACATACAAGTTCCTATTGACTTCTGTGTCACAGTTTCTGGGCAGTAGTTGCCCAGGCAATAGCTCTTTTTGTAAGAGAATTATTTTAACCAATGCCCCTCAAAGCAGTCAAAATATATCTGTGTATTACTGCAGTGCTACCCTGTTCAATAAAACACATAGAAAGAGCAATAAATAACAAAGAAAACAATTATATGATCTATATTTGTGTGTTTTTATCTTTTTTTTTAGAAAATAAGAACCTACTAGTAATACTAGCATGTGGTTGCCCTTGGAACATAAAGGTTATATAAATGTAAGGATGTGGCATAGAAAACATGACTTTTCAGAACTTATACCTCAAAGGGGAGATGTTCCTGTTTTTCTCCAATTCAGGAATTTATTGACTCCAAATTTAATCACATTTAAAAAATGGCTACCGTAAGTCTGAATTTGTGAAAATACTAGTATGCAATCATATGTGCTATATTAATGTCCTTGTGTTTGTGTGTGTCTGTGTAGTTCCCCATTATGCTTCAAAAGCTGGAGGCCTTGGATAGTAATGTGAGTGATGGATCGATGCGTGACTGGAGATTCAACTTCAAGATGGGCACCTCCAAAGTCGTAAGTACTTCATGTTTAACATGAATCTTGTGTCTTACGCAGCCATGGGTTTTCTTCTTTTTGTGGGTTTAATGATATTGGAAGGAAAGAAATGTTTACAGCTATAAAATGGCGACATTTATTCATATAAAAAATAGTTATACAACTTAAAATTAGATGCATAAAGATTATTTATCATAATGTTTTGCTCAGAAATGTTCAGAGTTGCCCTTCTGAAGAGGTCTAGTTTATTACTTGATACCACATTCAAATCACCGATCTTGATGGATTGAGAGCATCCGAAGTATAGTATACAAATAATACACAGCAGTGAGGGCATTATGAAGAATAACCCACACAAGGTACCTTTGGAACAGTCTAACACACCTGAAGCGGTAGCAGAGGGTGTTTGGACTGTTTTCAAGGTACCGAGTGTGGGTAATTTTACTACTGCCCGAACAAAATGCTGTGTATTATTTGTTTTATAAGATTATGTTTATTTGTTTTATAAAATGATGTTTTATAACATGATTTTACTAATGACCGGTCATTATCCAAATTACGTGTTAGGCAAAATAAATGCCTGGTCACGTGTATGCTTTTAACCAATTATTTGATAGGATCCACGTCATCATCTTATAATATTCAAATAATTAACCACTCTGACTGGTGGACAAACTATCATTGTAGAGGTGATCTTAGGGCTACTATCTGCCTGAGCTGATGGGGAGGGAAGCTCCTGAGATCATCAAGGTGATGATATCTCATCCACTTGCTAGAATATAGGAGTTGATCATCTGCTGTAAATCCCACACGGACAATACTCTAATGAGAAGATGAATGATGAACACAACACTAATACAGTACAGTAGTTAGCCGCTACTGCTTGCATGTTAATGCACATACATGTATTGACCTACATCACAATGGCCTACGAGTATTTTGCAGAACCATGGCCCATTAGCTCCAATGGTGCATGTCTATGCGGTATCAGCGAAAAACGCCTGTCGCTTTTAATATATGTGATAGTTTGCTATCACAATGATCATCAAAATAAGTAATCTATCATTTGTCATGTGACCACATTTAGACCAATTGTGATGTAAGATTCTTGGTATGTGGTATATAACGTGTGATCATTAACCTGTGTCTGACAAAATTTTCCTGGTTAACTCTACAGATGTGGTCCTTTGACAAGATCATCACACATCGTGAACGCTTCAAGCCGATCGTAGCCCGTCTCAACAAGCTCATCGGCCGTGATGCCTTCACGGATGGTTTGCTACAAGTCGGTCTCTTGGCATCCGTTCCAACAGATGAGGATGATGAGCCAAGCACCTCAGGCACTGTAGCGTCTGAAGCATCCCCCATGGAAGTAGACACTGAGGAGACTTCAGATGACATCATTCCCCCTCTACCAGTCAAACGGGTAAAACTCCATTTTGCTACTTTTCCTCTTTCGATTTACCATTTGAGGTACCGGTATTCATCATTGGCAGCTGATCTGTAGTATTTTCACCACTGTTACCTTTTTGAGACATAAGTGCTACATCGATTGTGTTTAGCTTTCCAGATACCAAGCGTACACATACTCTAGATCTTGAAACTTGATGGCATCCTATGGTTTCCAGTTTCTTGAATTCTTGTAACAGTTTGAAGTTCCCATTGACTGCTGTGTAACAATTTCTGGGCAGAAGTTACCTAGTAGTTGCATGTTCCTTGTCTTAGATTTGCAAAAGGTTCATGCCTTTTTCTGTCCTTCATTTTGATATTATTTTCTGAACTATATAGATTTGAACAGCGTATTTCAGCATTGTTATTGTGATCAAGATCGAACGTATATATATCTTTTGCCATTCTTTATTTCACTGACATTAAATCAATTTGAAACCAACAAAACATTGACTATCTTGTATTTTTAATATTTTCAATCAAACTATTTGAAATATATGCATAAAATGTAATATTATCACTGAGAGCAAATATGTTCAATTTGCTCCATCTATTAATGCTCTTAATTTTACATTAAAAATAAAAAGGGTGAAACTTAATCATCTTTTTATTGGTATTATTTATTTTAATTCTTGATACTTATTATTTTGCTTCAGCCATTGGTGTCTGAATCTCTGTGCGTTCCTCCCAGTGCTTCTGAGAGTAAGCTAGCCAGAGCCATGGGTGAACTACTGGAGTCTGGCGTGGATACTGACATGTGCTTTGAGGTCATCACAGTCACAGGTAACAATAACCAGGCCTAAAAAAAAGATGTTGTATTGCCCGTTAGGTGCCAAAACATGGCTCGATCGGTCGGTCTGAAATCTTTTTTTTTTTATTTAATTTTTTCTTCTTTTTTGCTCCGTCTTTTGGCTGCTTTTTTCAGTTTTGAATGCTTTAATATTTGTTTTCTCTTTAAAAAGCCGACCGTAGATTTCAAAATTTTTGGGTCGTTTTTTTGTTTAGGCCTCGATCATCATCACCTTCCTCACTTTATTATCATCTGACTGGTGTTTTATGCCTTGGCTATAGAAGTTGGTGTTTAATTAGAGGCATTGATGTGGCTTTCTCTGCTATCCAGTTGGTTTTTCCTTCCTCTGTTTCATCTTTTGTGATATGTGTTTTTACATGTAATAATTCTTTGTAAATGCTTGTGCGCTTGTATGTTAATGTGCATATGTCTGTCTATGGCACATTCACTCATATAGATGTACAGTGTATGCTCTTAACACATTGACTTCATTCCCATAAGCGTAATACAGGGAAGACCCAGTTCTAGTATGAAAGGGGTTAGGTATGATATGTAGTCTAACCAAAGGGAAATAAATTGCAGTATACAGATGGGAGTAACAGAAGCACATGTTATTGTTGTTGTGGTTACATTGTTATCAACATCATCAATATAATTTAGTTCACTTATGGTAGTAGAAATTCAATCTATTACACCATTTCACTGTTAAAAGAGTGCGCATGCGCCGATATGGGCGCCATTTTAATTTGCGAGTAAATATTGCGAATAACTTTTATATTATGCAGCATGCAAAGCGTATGTGTTGATGATGTGAGTGCGCAGCGCAGGCAGCGACGCAACAATACATGCGCGTCTGAAAACATTGATGATGCAATGCTTACTCACAAATTAAAATGGCGGCCTTAACATGCAGTGAAGGGGTGTATCCAATCTTATCCAGGAATTTGTAAAGTACCAATATCTAGTTGCCTTTATCAAAGGCGCTGATGAGACCCACAACTACTTAATATCTGTAGTGGTAGGATTAATGTTAGATGGGGCAGCATAAGTAATATTTATCATGTATGTTTGCCATAGATGAGCCTGTAGTGGTAGGATTAATGTTAGATGGGGCAGCATAAGTAATATCTTGCATGTATGTTTGCCATAGATGAGCCCTCGGATGACGCCACCCAGGAGACAGAGAGGAAGGTAGTCAGACACCCTCTTATCTATGCACATTGTGCTATCATAGCATCCAGGTGTGATTGGTTCAAGAGAGCTCTCATGAGTGGAATGAGGGAATCCATTGACAAGTAAGTCACTCTTTTTTCCTTCTTTATTGTTGTTATTTCTCATTTTTTATACTCATTTCTTATACTCATTTATATTATTATTACAAAGATTTTGAATTTCTCAGCGGCTTGCCAATTTAAAGATTTTAAAGCTCACTTTCCTTTTAAAATCCCTGGCATCAATTGTAATAAAGTCATAAAACAAAAAATAGATACTCTGTGTGCAGAAGTTTTAGGCCCTATTTACTCATGCATCTGGCGTATATTTTAGGGCATTGGATCAAAAGTTATTGAGCTAAATCACAAAGGGTTATAGAAATACTCACACCTGTCAGATCACTGCTCTATAATATATTAAGCTTACTGGAATTGTATGTACATGAACATCCTGTTATGCTGTAATAAAGTCACTATAAGCCCTGATAATATCTGTCTGTCAAGAAATGAGGAGTTGGTGAAGTGCTTTGCATTTTGCAATAGAATTAGTTATACAATCAAACCTGCTTTAGTGACCACCTGTCTACAAAGACCACCTGTCTATAACAAGCACATATTTTGTTTTCCTTGAAAAGGGTTTCTCATTGAAACCTGTAGTAAAGGAACCTGTCTACAAAGACCACCTGTCTGCAAAGACCACTTTTTGTGTTTCCCTTGGGCGGTCGCTGTAGACAGGTTTGACTGTAACAGAATTTCAATTTAATTTATAATGGGTTTAAGTGGCTAACTTTCCTTTGTTTTATATTTTTTTTTATCATTTCAATCAGGAAAATTGAGGTCCATGATACCGATCCAGAGATGTTCAAGCAGTTCCTAGTCTTTCTCTATTCAGGCCAGATCAATACAGCTGAGATGAACATGGATCAGATAGCTGATATGATGTCTCTCAGTGATAGATATGAGGTAAGCCTTTTAACTCGTACAAAATGCTTCCAGATTACCGTATTTGCCGGCGATAAGGCCGCCCCCCCAACTTTGACATTTCAAAGAGGGAAACAAACAAAAACAACAAAAAAAAAGGAAAAAAAAACAAACGGACAAAACAAAATAATCGTAATTTTCTCTTACAACACTATTTTTTTTTTACAAACTGATACCAAATTCATCAATATTCTTATAATTTACCGGAAGTTTAGCTAAAAAAGCGATCGCAAAAAATAAATAATGATAAAATTGTTGGTAAGAAGTTTGAAAATGTCCTGTACCATAGTGGTATAGTTTTTTTACCGTTTCTAGTCCCATACGTGCAAATTTGTGTTGGTTTTGACTTTTTTTAAATATTTTTTTTAACTCTTTCGTCGTTTGTGCCTTTATATGGACTAACAAGTCTGTCGACACGTACAGAAGAAGAAGAAGAAGAAAAGGCCGCACCCGACTTTTTGATATTTTCTTTTCCAAAAATACTGCGGCCTTTACGCAGGCAAATACGGTACTAGTATGAGATTTTTCTGCTCTTTTTTGCAATATTGAATGAAGGCAGTGTATGAATCAGACTTCCTATAGGAACAATGCGTGAGGTAGCTTTGGCAAAATGTATTTATCCACAAAGCCGCATCCAGCGACCTGTTTCGATGACAAATGACGGAAATCAGTGATAAATCGGTTGATAACCAATCAGAAGCAAGAATTTCACTAGCTTATAACAAAAACTGTCATTGATGATAAGTTTTGTGGAATGGGGTCTAGAAAACAGAATGCATACTTTCTTAAAATCATAATTCTATGGCAGATAGATAGAACCAAAACATCAGGATAGCATAGCCAGTAAATATCTGTACTAACATGATTGGGCTGAATGGTGCTAAAAGTGTCCCTCAAATACTGAAATTTAACAATATTACCAATACTCTTACTCAGAGTGTTCCAGATGCATCTTGACATGGTAAACTACCTGAGTTGACTTGGATTCATCCTGTCAATTCAATTACTGGATTACTTATAATTCCTGAATCTCTATGTATCAATTTAGATTATTATGGGCTTGTTATGTGCACTCTCTGTAAATTACTCTAATCATATAGTAAACGATGAGGATATATGAATAAAAAATGATTATATTTACATATTTGTACATTGCATCTTTAAATTTTTTTGTTATATTTGTATCAAGACTCTACAATTTATAGTTATGATGTAATATTGTGATCCTTCCCCTTAAACTAATTTGTTTTAGTCCATTTTGTAAACTAAATGAATATTCTCAATAACTGGTCATAGGGAAGACATTAATGATGTGTAGGCATTGCACACATAATTTTGTGGGACTGTACAATCACAAATGTACTATCACACATACTTTGTTTGTTTTGTCATGCAGGTTGACACACTAAAGCATGTTTGTGAAGCATCTCTCAAGACCAAACTCAATGAAGACACTGTGCTCTATCTGCTCGGACTCTCTGATCAATTCCATGCCGTAACACTCAGGGTGGGTATACAGTCTGCATGTACATACTATTATTAATATATCATTAAATTGATTTATTGCTAAATTAATTTGATTACTTCACCTAAATGTCTCCCTCTTCTTCCATTTCAAGCTTGATCTCTTCTGTACCTTTCACTTCCCTGTGTATGTCCATTTCCTTGTTGATCTATTTTTGTGCAATATTACTATTCCTATTTTGTGTATTGCTGTCTTGTATCGAGCCAATTTTCAATGTATTCTATTTTAATGTATTTTTGAAATCCTTTGTAAATTAATTCAATTTGTTTCTGCCTTTGACTGCTATTTTGAATGTATGTTTTAATCAATAAACCAGTTACATTCAATTCCATTCAAACCAATATCATTATACAAATGATGCATGCAAATGAGTTTGTTATACTATCTATCCGCATTTGAGTTGGGGCTCTATGCATCTACCTTACGAATCTGTGAGGGTTACAGTGAACCAATTAATTTATTTATTACAGCAAACTTCTCTCCAAGTGCTATTTTGCGCCAACTGCTTCCTTTCTCTGTAACCATCTACTTCATATTATCCAATCATGTTATTTAAGAACCGTTTAGAAGGTCTTACTTTCGACTTCTTTCCATAAAATTAACCTGGAAGTTACAGAGATTTGAAAATAGGTTTTTTGAACACAGAATATATCGATATAAATTTAAATGCCTTTGTTATTTTGATGTTTCTATTTGCTTAGGATGCTACTTTGGGTTATATAGAGAAGCACCCATTTATTACTAGCTCCGAGGTCTACAATGAACTCCCGGAACACCTTCAGGCAGAGGTCAAACATCGAGTTGAGAAGGATCCGTAAGTTGAAATAAGTGCTCACTAAAAGATTTTAGTTATGATACATCTTAGTACCGTTCACCTGGTTATGATAATGCATCTTTTTATCTTTTACATGTTCTGTCATGATGGAAATAATTAATTTTCAATCGCTTAAAATTGTTGTATATGTTGTATCTGTTCATTGATTTATGTACTGTACTGTAAAAAAAAAAATTCTGTATTTTTTTTACACGTAAAGTCATTGGGCTTTTTCATGAGAGGGTAATATGCTCTTATATTGACTGATTAGCTCTTTTAGGATTACAACAAGTGTAATTTGATTTTGTAAAACCACTGCTCAGATGTCTGATACGGATAATAATCCTGAATGCACAGGATATATGTTATTTTGTAATCTTCTTTAATATTTTTTTACCAGGAAAGTTGGAGATCTGGACCCAATGGCGCAGTACAAGGGAGAGCAGTATGATTCCAGCTCTAACTCCTCTTCAGAAGGCTTAGGCATGAAAGGTATAGAGGTACGTTTTGCATTGTTTGTAGAATGGGGGTTGCATGATAGCTATATAGTTAGATTCTCATTGTTTGTAGAAAAAAGGTTTGCATGGAATGTATAGAGGTATGTTTACATTGCTTGTAGAAAAAGGGTTCGCATGAAATGTATAGAGGTATGTTTACAGTGCTTCTAGAAAAAGGGTTTGCATAAGGTATGTTTACACTGCTTGTAGAAAAAGGGTTTGCATGAAATGTATAGATCAAGGTACATTCACATTGCTTGTAGAAGTGGTAGTTACACAAATTTATGTGATAAGAATAAAATAAATAAATAAATAAATAAATAATTTAAGATTTGTATAGCGCACATATCTGCCTATAATGGCACTCAAGGCGCACAAAAAAAATTCACTATTAACATTTCAAATACAAACAAACAAATTGAAATTAACAAACTAATAATAAATCAACAAATAAAAAAACAAATGCAAATTACAGATTCAGTAAGACATTGAAATGTTCATGTGAGTTAATCATATTTTTCCTTCATAAGGTAGGTCTTTAGATGCTTGTGGAATAGACGTAATGGACGTAATGTTGGCCGATTTTTCATTTTTTAATGTTATAAATGATATGCAGTACATCACAGTTTGATATAACTTGTGTGCTTATTCAAAGAGATTTATAATGTGAAATGAACTGTGACCAGGACAATGCTTCTCAAAACCATTATATGTACAGGTGCACCAATATCCCATTGAAACGTGCTTAATTTCAAAACACAAACATTACAATAGTACATCGGTCTACTTGTACTTATAACCGTTTTGTGAAATGCTTCCTTTAATGATATTTTTGGTGATCAGATATATTGCCCATGTGATAATTGGTTGTGGCTTTATTTCATCAACAGTGTATAGATAGGTTTGGGTATAGTGTTTGATCCATGGTTGAAGTTACTTGTAGTAGTAGTATTGGATATCTTGTTTAGCACCAGGATATTCTGCCACAAATTCCATAGGACTTGGGTTAGTGTCATAAATCAGTTAGAGGATTAGTTTTGGAAACTTTAGAGCCCATTTGTACTAATTTATAGGAGGAATAAGACCACCCTGCAAGGTCACTGGGCAGGTGGTTATCTCATCAAATCATCTCTCAATTAACATAAGAAAAAGAGGATCATGGGGGACCAATGGTCACCGATTAGGCATTGTTTACTATATAAAGGGTGCAAGTAGCTATAAGTAGTGCAGTGGGGCTTTAATACAGATTGTCTCGACAGCAAATATCGTACAACCCTGTTTTTTTTCTCGCATTGTTTTGTTTGAATTCAGGAAAGCCGAAGGGACAGTGATCACATGTTAGATGAGTCCGACCAGGAGAAGGAGATGGAATGTATTGAAAGGTTGAAGGAGATCCTTGGACCTGATGTAGCTCCTGATAGGCTTGTTGAACTGGCTCGAGTTGCAGACTATGACATCAATAGGGCTATGAACTATCATCTATCTTCAAAATGACCACGCCTCTAGGAAATCTATATTCTTTAATTTTGAATAGTTCCATGATTATCAAAATGTTTAGTTTATGTTTAACGGTCATAGTTCCATTTATATACTATTTGTCTTTATCCCATATATATACATCTACTTTTCATCTTGTACTCTGAGAGCAATTGGCTTTTATTTGCTGTTATCATTAGTAAAAAAAAATGTAATGTATGTGTTGGAGTTCAAGTGATGCATAACATGAATTTAGACAAATGGGACTATGAAAAGTAATCTCATATCAAATCAGCCTTAATCATGCACCTGGTAATCTTTTTAAAGGAAGCGTAATTGATGTTATCATATTAAAAATTGAGTATACAAGGCTGTTTAGGAGGTATTGGAACACAAAGTGTTTTTGCAGTGATGTTTTGAATCTGTGCCGAAATTGACCACAAATATGTTTGTCAATGAATGTGTTTTATTGTAGTATGTAAATGTGTATTAAATGGTATAACCATTGCTGTAATGTGAGAAATAGATGTGCATTATTTTAACTTATAAAGGATGTAAGATAATCATTCATTGAAATATTTTCTTTTTATAATAACCAAATGACGTATAATATGTTGATGTATTGTTATATGTATACCCTATAATTTAAAATTCTATGGAGATAGAAATACTCCTTCTTAATGGGATATATTAGCCCTTGACTGAGGATAAATAAAATGATAATAAATGTTATATTAACTGAATTATTATATGCCCACAACTCATCCATACTCTCTTTAGTTCTGTATACTGATCATGATGGTGTGTCCAAAATGAAACCCTATATTCTGTATGATGACTTGATGTATTTGCACTACTCTGTGACATATACAATAAGTGTATAGCTAGCTTAGTAGTTACGTGCCATATACTGGTTACTACCTTTTTCTTTTCCAATTATCATATTCATTCTTACATGTACCGTATACCATTGTCATGACTTGTCCATTTTGTGTATCATTTGAGACGTGAAATTTTAACCAATTTTGCAAGATAAAAGTTATTAAGAGGGATTTCTTTTAAGTCATCACGTTACATCAAATGCCTTATGTAAGTCACTCTCGTATTCTTAAACACTTGGTAGAACTATGTACTTTCTGCAGAAGAAAAAAAAAATCATATTTTGTATTTTTCAAACATACATTTGCTTGCCTCCTTCAAATTTTAAAGAATGTCTCAAAATCGTGTTGAATTGATGTTTCATTTTTATTTAATTACCTTTTAAGTCCAGGTCATGAATCAGCTTCTTTGATCCATTTACATTCGATGCAGATTATATATGACATGATGATTGTAGACAAATTTATCTCATTTGCATCATGTACAGAGTTAACAATTTTGTACATGTTCTTACATTTATCGATCTGAAATATGAGTAAACAGCTAGGGTGGTATTTACTAAGCATTCTGTTGGTGGAAACCTGTGTTAGGAATTATAGAGATATCAGTCATCATGTATTGAACCCCCCCCCCCCCCCCCACACACATATTTACAACAAAATAGATCCAACCAAAATGTGCCGTGAGCACACCTGTATTGCCCAAACAGCCTTTCATTTCATAACCTGAAATGTGATTGTACAGTTAAACCTGTTTATAAAGACCCCCCGGGGGGGGGGGGGGGGGGGTACTGACATATTTTGACATACATGGGTCCAACTTTTACCAAAAATATCATTAAAAATGGGTCTGTTTTTCAAAATTTGCTAAATTTTCGGGTGCTTGCAATGCAAACACCCGAAAACACCTGAAAAATGCCCCAAAAGGATCCGTAATAATGGGTAGGGGTTTCAAGGCTTGAGCGGCACACCCCCGTCCAAACCAAATCTGAGTATGCCCCCCGGTGAAGACCATTCACGGGAGACAAGAAAAGAGGCCTATGTAAGCAGGTGGTGTTTTTGTATATGTTCCATTTAATAGTACATGTTTCAATGACATATGCTAATGAAGGGAAACAGAAAATTTGGTCTTTATAAACAGGTGGTCTTTCTGTAGAGGTAGTTCAGAAAGCAGGTTTCACTTTATTTGTAATTGGTACATTATACATACATGTAGTGTTCCAAATACGGTACTGTATATAATCTTATATTTTTAACCTGCCTGATTATGTAATTATGGTTGTAAATATTGCAGTGATTTTTAAGCTTTTAAAAAATAATGGTAGTTTGGGAATTGTAATTGAATGACATTGGCATTTATCTTCAGGGTGTTTTTTTTTTGTAATAGGTTGCTTGCGAAATGTCTTTAATAAGGTATACTCATACGAAAATTGACTAGAGAATTGATATATCTTGCCACTAAATTTAAAAAGCACATTTCTTTGTATTCCTTGTATTACAAAGGTTTCTAATTTTTCTGCAAATGAATGGGAGTTTAAAGTCCTTTGTAACGGGGGAAAGATAATGATAAATGATCCGTAATGTTTGTGGGAACAGTGTGCCATTAAACAGGTCTTCAAAATGATGTCCACAGTACAACTCATATACTCTTCAAGTGTTACAAGTTCTCTTTCATGTGTTACCTACTCACAACTGAATAGACCTGTACCATTGAGCATAAATTGCCTTGTAAAAAAAAAAGTTTGATCAGTTAAAATAATAATCTTTATTTAAGTATGATTATATTTTTTGTACAATTTTTAAATGGTTTAATAAATGAAACGGAATGAAATCCTGATTTTTTTAAATAATTATATATAATATTGTGGTGATATGAATGATTGAGGATAAATATTGTGGTATTTTCTATTTATTTTTATTGAATTTATTTGATTTGTCAGTGTCATCAGCTATGATTGGATCACTGGGTATTTTTTTCTGCTTATGTATTGATCATGTAGTCATAAGCGTACGGGGAGGGGTCACAGAATGTTGATATAACCAATATAGGCAGCAAGGTGGTCTATTTGCATCGTTAAAAATATCTTTTCAGGTAGATTTTGATGATGAAATTACATTGCTTGTTCTTGCATGTTCACTTAATAGCTTGCTTTAATAAATCAAAACTAGAAAGAAGATGGCGCCCTCGTGGTGTTCTGCCCAGCCATGTATGTAGCACTTTGATGCAGTAGTCTAGAATGCACATGCATTATTTCTTGGGAATTTAGATCAAGAAAGCAATAAATTGTTTCTACTGGATGGATTTTGATGATCTTTTTCAAATCCATGCATATTAATTTGTAGATATTATATCAGTACTTTATTGAGTAAATGGTCTTGATTTGATGACCATGTTCAACTTGTGGTATCTATGTGGACATAGGGATATTTCTCTAGCATATCTATTACATTCATGTTTATGACTGATTTTGATTGGCACAGCTGTTAAATAAAAAGGTTATTTTGCACAGCAAGCCATTGCAGACTAAAAGGTACTTGATATTCTCATCCTATTAGAATATGGGAGGTTGAAGATAATTTCACTGTAGTGCAACTAACCTTAGACAAGGTTTGTTATGTATGTATATGTATGTTGTAAGTGTTAGATGAAATTTCAAGGCCAACCAATATATTAAAAGAAACCATAATAAACCAAACGCATATTAAATGTAACCAGGATTATGAAATCGGAGTTATTATGTGGTTTTGATGTTCATTTATTTCTTTTCTCTTCCTTGTAAATATAACTGTTTCAATTGATTTGATGTACTTATTATTTTAACTAATTGGAACTTATAAGCACACAGTTTTATAGATTTTATTTTAGACAATCAAGAGTTTTCAAAAGTAGAACAATGCCGTTTGTTGTGGTAACATCTTTTGATGATAAAGATAAATCTGTGATCAATTGGTCCAAATGGTTGGTATGTATGAACTGAATGATATTCATCATGAGCATTGTAAGCTCTGTAATCTGTTTGGTGGCTTTTTTATCTTCTACTTTAACTCTAAAAATCAGGGATATATAGATTCATCTTTCTTTAGGATTGGGGGAGGGGGAGGTTGGGGCAAATATATTAACCAGAAAGACATACACTCTATTATATACAGTGAATTAAGGTTTCATTGCCCTCCCCCCTCCCCCCCCCCCCCCCCCCCCCTCCCCTAGAATAAACATTCCTCCCTACAATTTGATCTTCTTCAAAGCTAGAGATGATCTTAACCATAATGATAAGAATTGTTCCAAATAGTTACCATTTTAGTTGACTTTAATTACACATAATTTATCAAACTTTTCAGTCATTTTTTTCTAAACTTTGGTTTTTATAGACATGAGCCTCTGTGAAGTTGGTATAATAATGACATTTCTATGCAGTTCAAATATTCAAGTGAAAGTCTCCCCCGTTTGCCTCTGGAGATCTTTCTACGATTTGATTTTCTTTTATGAGTATTTTGGGGGTAAGTGGGGTGTCATTTATATTATTTTTCATCTCAAACTGCAGTTCAAATTTGTATCTGTAAAAGTATTCCACATTATTTTATCCATTAAAATAAATCTTTGTCAAATACAATTTCTGTATCAGTGCTTATTTTTTTCTTTCTTTAATAATTCACAAGTTTTAACTTAAAATAAGTGTAATTACTTTGTGAGAGATAGAGTAGTTAGCTGTGTGTATATATAGATATACTTTGAAATAAAGGTGAAATATAAAATCTAGAGAGGAGAGAGAGGGAAAGAGAGAGAAGGAGAGGGGGAGCCTACCAAGACATTCTATAATGATCATATATCTATTAAACAAACCACCCTTTTGTCTGTTAACATTCTGCACATTAAACGTACCGTTCATCCCGACTTTCTTTATCATCCCTCCCCCTCCCCCACTCTCTCCCTCTCTTGCAAATGTGCACGTCTTTCTTTAAAACTGTCCTCATATCTCTCTCTCTCTGTGTCTCACTCACTCTCTGTCTGTCTCTGTCTGTCTCCCCTCTCCTTTTCCTATCAATGCTCTTCCTTGTTTGGATATATCATAACACAATTTCCACAAGTACTATCATAGAAAACCATTAGGAATCATTGTTATCTTACATAAACAATGAAATGAAAATGAATAGTTGGCCCGTTTTGGATAGCATGCATAACTGGCTCCAAAGAAAGGAATTCATTAAAACTTCATGGATGGCTGAATTATTGGAGGACACAAATTTATTGTTACTGACACTTCTTGTGTTTTCTTTACAGTGGTTCAGATATAGAGCATACACACATACTAGTCTCTGTGACAAACTGATACATGTGATTTCATACAGGAATGTCTCTTAATTGGTATTGTGTACTATATGTACATGTACATAATGAACAAATTAGTTGAATTTCTGAAGGGGGAATGTGATGATGCAAAAGTTAAAGTTACCAGCTGGTCACAAGAAGGTTGTTACACTGTACTGCCTTTGACAAAACATAGCTCTTACAGCCTTATTGGAGGTAGCCAATGAAATATACCTGTAGCTATATTAAATACTATAGTACCTTTCAAGTGACACTTGCTTTAATACAAGCTGGGATGAATCCAATATACAATGTACACCTGTAGATCAATCTATATTGTATGTAAATCTGTTGATTTACCTCACACAATACGCTATAAAATATGCATGCACCCACAGTAATGGGTTATTTAACTATTTCTATCTATTCAATGAATCTAGGCCTTCATTCCATATTTGAAGTAAGAGCAAACAAGCTATGAATACATACATAACATGGGACATTAATACTTCTACAGGCCTGTAATGAATACATTAAATTATTCAATTTATTAAAGCTACCCGGACCTGGCAACCACTTATACACCTCTTGTTCTAAACAACGAATACTCATTAAGTACTATACATTGAATACATAAACAACGACTACCTTTTTTAATGATAATAAAGCTAGTCAAAAGTTAGTACGGATTTCATAGTACTCTTAAGAATACAGATTTTCTCATAAATACTTTTTGTGTAATCCAAATGTGCACAAAATTCAGAAAAGGCAAAACCATTTTTCAAGTATGTAAAGCAAAAATATGTACAAAGGCATAATAAATACAAAAACAAATTCAATAGAAAAAATATTTACATACGAAACAAACGTATTTCCTGGAATTCATCTCTTTTAATTTATACATGGAAATTTATAGTTAAATATTGGTTAAATATTGGTAGGGCATGCACCATCTCTGTAGTGTTTTATGGTATACCCTTCCTCATAAAATTATTACATGTACTGTACGTCATGTACAAATAAAATATCTGTAATGAATTTACATGTTTCTTAAATATAAATTTATTCTTTAACAGGTCTTCAAATTACTATTTTCTCCAAAAATTTATTTATCTTGCGTTTCAAAATACACAAAGAGATATTTTCAAACAAGTACTCTAGTACTTCCGAAATGTCAAAATCAATTTTGATAATCTTTAAAACCTTCCCAAAGATATATGTCATAGTATTTTCCAGTACAGATTACATATATATGTTTTTTTAATGGATATTGTGTGAGGTCACTCTGTGAATGCTTTTAAATCATTTTTCAGAAATCCATATATTTCTTCATATAACAATGCTGAGAGGAAGACCAAAGCAGAACAGCATTTTATTTCTGACCATCTTACTTTCCCCTCACTCATATACATGAGATGATTATGTAATCTACAGGGCATAAACTTGTAGACCAGTCACTATGAACATTTCCAAACTGTGACAGCCATATTACCACCAAAGAACATATAGAGTAGATTCTTAACCTCATGGGTGATCTCAAATCCATATCCCTCGCCAACGATCGCGTGCCATGATGAACCAAACTTCTTGTCCATCGCATCTTTGATCATCTTAGCTGCCGTCTAAAACATTAAAGAAAAAATAAGAATAAAGTCCTTTGATGTCAATATCTATATTTAAAAAACAACAACCAAGATTACAGATTCATTTGATCTTTTATTACATAGAGTTAGAAATTCTTCATATTTTACCCAGAGGCTGTATTTCGAAAACGAAGTTATCTTTTATATGTTAGGGAAAATGATGTCAATTGTCATAACAAAATCTAATTGCACAGAACTAACACTTACCATTGGTAATTAAGCAAATGTCTATTTTAACTTCAAGTTGGCTCAGCCAGCTTTGCACAGACATGATCCAATGTCTTGTCCAGATTTTGATTTCTTATGACAATTAACATCATTATACTAACATAAAAGACAAAGTCATTTTGAGAATAACACCCCATTAAATTACAGAAAGCCTATCAAAGCTACACAAATTATAACCAAATTACATCATACCCACTCTGTAACAGTATTCATTGAAAAGGTCTGGAGCTTTTCATACTATTACCAAAAAAGTGAACTTAAAAAAAGCAAAAGAGAGGGGGAAAATTATATTTTTTGTAATTCATTTACTTTTGCATCAGGAGTTTCTAAAAGTTAGTTATAACAAGGCACTTATGAAATTGGAAATATACCATCATCTACATGTGTCAGAAATTCATTGTATAATTGATCTGGTAAAGTGGTTTTATTCCTATGTCAAAATGATACAGACCTCATTGTTTGAAGAGAACTTTTCACAAGCTGTCACACATAACTCCATAGCCTCTGTCCTCATTTCTTCATTCATATCTGAGTGCTGAAAAGATAGAAAAATAGCAGAATGCAGTTACAATTATGTGTCCCTTGATGTTTGGACTTGGTACCTAGCACCAGGCACACTCTGGATCTGAATCTATACCATGCAGGGCCCTGCTCAGCCTGCTGGGCATTAACGCATCGGTTGAGAGAGGGCACAGGGATACTGAGAAGGCTCTATCAATGGCCTTCCTGAATGTGCTGGTTGATGTGGAATTGATGATGTTGGCACCTGAATGGTTCCACTCAAATCTTAAGACTAAGGATACATACATTGCTTTCATTCTCTTTTGGTAAGGTCTATTTGCACTTTTGCAGGAGATGGTCTCAAGCATTCCATTTATAACAACAGTTTATCAATCTCAATCTTCAACCTTGATCAAGGAACTGGAAACCTTACTAAAGAAAAATATCTACATGTCATGACTTATGATGTACATGTACATGTAGATTTGACCATATTTTTAACCATACACATTTTCAAAAAGTAATACCATTTTTGTAAATGAAAATGAATATCATTTTACTGTCACTATTGTCATTGTGTGTTGTATCGAAATTTAATTTTTCCTATTAACATAATTAATACTTTCTTGATTTTAGTGTGCACCTTGGCCTTGGGTATATTCATTTGGCAGATGAATGGGCTTTACAAACCAGAACTATAACATTATTATTATTAGGTCTTATTATTGTTATCATTATACTTATTATCATTAGTCAATTACTGTCATTATTATTATTGTTAATAGTTTTTCCCCTTCATGAGTGTAAAAAGGCGCGGGAGTTAGCTGAATTTAGACAATTTAGAGTGCATGCACCTTAGGCTTAAACTAATCGCTATTATTGTAAAGTAATTATCAAATTGGCAATGCGAAAACAGCCATTATTGTGTACAACGCTGGTATTTGCATTTCCGGCAGAACCCACATAGCAAAATATCGTGAGTAGAATTTGTGAGAGGTCAGCGTGTTTTTAAGGTAAATCGCCCGTTAGTTCATTTTCACAAACATATAGAAGATATAAGCGAATCACTCTCACTCAGGTATCAAATTTTCACATTTTTGGTAAAATTCTTGACAGTTTTCTCACTTTGAACTTTGAAGTACTTCGTATATGAAAAAAAAAGACACAAGCGAACTCTGAAGCTCAATATCAAGCCAATCAATCATGATGTACATGTACAGTAGTCAATAGATAGGTGATGGAACGGGCGATGACCATGACAAACGCATTTCGCTTAGATTTATGTTTTGTTTACATCATTCTTCATGCAGCGCAGGGGTCAAAACATATGGGTCAAAACAAAGTCTGGATAGACTTCTGAACTAGCGCCATGCATATTGTCCTAGCAGAGTAGCAGTTACTTTCAGTCAGCTGGCCAGTCACCAAGCTTAGCCTTAAGTAACTTTATAGCTTCGGGCCGGGCTCGCTCTCGCTCTCTTATAATAGTCATGTAGTGACTTGACCTTTGGAGAACTTTGCGTTTGTAAATATTATTGTCTTGTCTTTATTGTGTGGCTTGAAGTCTAGCCTTTTATTCCATTGTCACTCATTTCTTTAGTGACACCTGTTGCATTACTAGAGTGCCACAAATACTTACTCTGGCAAGCACATTCCATACCCTATGGGTTGGGATGTGCAACCACCTAATGTACTGGTATAGCTTATACTGTACAGGGACATTACACTTGCTTGCTTTATTTTGCCACACCTATTTTCATCACTTCTCCTGAGCTGTTCATATAGAGCACACCTATTCTAGAGAGTCGATCGATCAACAGCAAAGCTAATTCAGCTTCATCTTAATTCTTGTCCTATTTCTTCGCTTGTTTCTCTACTCGGTTCTGAGGCCTTATTATAGAGATTATAAGTTTCTTCTTCTTTACTTAATTCGCTAAGAAGCGTCATTACTTTGTACATGGTCTTACATATTCTTTCTACGGGTGCTGTGCAATATTTGAACTACTACTTGTGATATATATGTTCCAAGTATCTGTACTCAACAGGTGTTTCTACGAGACAAGGTAGGAAAGAAATCTATTTCTATTTCTTTTATTTAGGTGATTAAATTCCCTAAAGTCATGAGTCAGTCAACACATGCAAAGGCTCTAGCCTCATCTTCTTAATTCTCAATCTTAGTTGATCCCTCCACTATTTTGGAGATTCCTGGAGTCCAAATAAAGCAAATGTTTAAAATCCGACCGGTTAGATCTAGGTGTTTGGATAGTATTAGAACGAGAAGCATCAATTTTGTGTAGGAAAAAGAGCGATAGTAGAAGTGGGCTATTATGAATTTCTGAAGGCAGGCATCATGGGCATGGATGAAGGGGTAACAGAGTAGCAGGGGTAAATTGCTGTGGGTCATCATCATTCATAACAGTAACACAGTCAACTCACACTCACACTGCAGCTGCACTCACAGAATTAGAAGTCAGTTCACTTACCCGAATGAGCGGATAACTTTGCAGTCTTCTGTAGTCGGTTTCCTTTTCATCTTTCTTTCCTTCCTGCTCTCCTTCCATTTTTGTAATTTTATGCGATTATTCTTCAATCAAAAGAAGTATCTTAGACTGTAAAATCTGTATTTAATCGTAGAAATTACGACAATCGACGAACTGAACCAAGTTTGTTGTGGTAACCAATCATCGAATCCGCGCATGCTCATTACACTACCTTTAGGCTCATTCGAGACTTTCCACATCATTCTAATTAACAGCATTGTCATACGACTGGATCTCAAGCATAAAACGTATGGGAAAACTCCTGGAAAAAAGTATAAGTTATCCAATATGGCGGCGTACATGGTCAAGAAAAAAAGAAGATTATGGTTGTGAACTGCTAATTTCCTAGGAATTCGGTACGTCAAACAGTATATAAATGACATTTAGATATTTTGTATATAATTCAAAACACTTTGATGGCTTATAGATGTATATTTCAACCATTAATTCAACTTCAATTAATTTCAACATCAATGACCAGTCCGATATGTTGAAAATGACGTGTTGGTATTAATAAGTGAAAGATGATGCAACCCTGTAGAAATTCTATCTGAATTATTATGTGCAAAGTCTAGATAGATGATCTGATGGTCGTATGATGTAAGAACATTGACATATGTAGACTCTACTTGAGTCCAGACAATTAGGTCTGAAGTTATTGAGTTGGAGTTTGACACTTTCAAAGACCTAGCTGCCATAATTTTTAGTCGCCAGTCTCTAGTGACTAGTGCATGAGAACTGATCCCAAGCCAAGGCAGGTGAGAAAAGTAGATCTTTCAAAGTTAGAGTGAATAATCTAGTTGTCATTTAGTTCTTCTACTTTTAGTTAGGATTTATCATTTGTATTTTGGGGTTGTATTAGATTTCAATCCCTAAAGGCTTAACTAAAGGTAAAGTTTTGATTTTGATTTTTAGTTCATCATGATGAGGAAGGTGATGATTGACGAGGAGGATGGTAGATGATGATGATGAATTGATGATCTTACTTTCGCTGTTGTTGTTGATAATTATTATTAGTATCAAATTATAATTATTATTATCATTGATTTTATCATTATCATTGTTAGTCTATTATTATTAATGTTATTTTTTTGCTGTTATTATTATTGTTAATAATTAGTATAATTACCATTATCCTATTTATTTCTATGAAATACTGTGATTTGTGAAATAATAAAGTAGAACTAGAAGATGCAGGCATGTGAAATACAATTCATATTGAGGTATTGGTGGTTGGATCGATGATCGAAATTGTTCACTAAATCAGTCATGTCATTCAAAAGTGAGAATGTAAATATAGAATATAGAGCTTAAATTAGGAGTGTGCTGATATGAGTAATATGGGCCTGCAAGTTCTACTTCTAGTTACCGGTACTTTAAAAAAAAATAAAAGGAACAGTAGATCTATATCAAAATTTGGTAGAATCTTGAGTTGTTGTCGGTCAAAAAGTCTGAAATTTATCAAGAGAAATAATCAGGGCTGTGTGTAGTGTAAATTATATTTGTGCTCCTTTTTTTCCTTCAGAACAGATTGGAAAGGAACTCAGAAAATAAAAATGGCAGAATCTGTAAAGGGCAATGACTTGATCGATGAAAAGACAGCTAGATCATGGGAGAGGTAATGGCTTTTAAATTTACTGCATTGTTATTGAAAAAGAGTCTATATGGATTATTTGATTTATTGCGACAATACAATAATGTACATTTAATCGTTATTGACTAGAACATAACCAAGCAAGGAACTTACCAAGTGGAATATTTCTTTACAGATATAAGTGTGAATCATAAATTGAAGAAGAAAAAAAGACAAATAAAACAATGAAATATCCTAAAAGAAACATATTCTCATATAACACAATTAATGCATATAAATACTGTTAATTTTGTTGTTGTTGTTGACGTTTTATTATAGGAACATGATTGATCTTCTTTCAGCCGTTCGTGAAATCTTTGATAATGACTTTATTGCTTTATATTCATTTCTAATTTGCTTTACCCGGAACTCTGAATTAAAACTGCACCTAATGGGGCAAGCTAATTGATTCATGGTACCTTAATTAACTTGCTCATACATGCATTATTTGGTAATGTGAAATTTTACAGTCACATGCTTTTTTTTTAAAGAAAATTCTGTGACAGTTTTTACTGGTGGGAATGAGGAATGGTGATTATTTATTTTCTTTCTTTTTTCATCACAGGGCAAAAAGTTATTGAATATTAAAGTATGAAAATATTTATCAAAATCAAGAATTTAATGTAATTTTACCTTAAATGTCCATATTTTTAGTGAACAAAGAAAGCTAAAGGAGGAGCTCGTAGACCATGATACAGAAACCTGGCAGTCTGATGGACCTCCTTTCTCTGACCTTCATTACATTGGAGGAGTGGATATCTCCTTTGTGAAAACAAGTACCAGTCTTGCTTGCGTCTCTCTCATTGTGTGCAGTTTTCCTGATCTTGAGGTACCGTATACATACAGTGCTTAAAATCATATTTGCCTGCAATTCTTCACTATTCATAACAGTGGAGCGATGAAGGGTCCTTCTAGGGGCATTAAAGTTATGGATAAAGAATCGAGTATCATTATGACAATCAATGAAAGAAGATGAATATTATAAAGACACAAAGTTAATAATGTAAACAAGATAAGTACACAACTCCTTATAATATTATACCCCTCAATTGTCAAGTAAGGGCCATTATCAGTAACGCAGTGTTTCTTTCCTGTATAATGATTTTGATCTAACTTGGATATAAGTGTTTGGGTCAAGAAATAAAGAAAAATATTACATTTTTGCACTGAAATTTATTTTCTGTATGTGATTAAGTGGAGCATGTACATGAATTTTTGAAAGAAATCGATATACAAATGGACCCCCCCCCCCCCCCCCCCCTGTGACCCATTTCATTTCAGAAATTTGCTGTGGACTATTGAGAAAACAAACTTTATAGAAGCAATATTTGTATGGGTGTTGATAATTGTATGGAATTCTTTTGAATTGATTTCAAATACTCCTCAAATGATAATAAATAGAATTTTAGTTATTGTCAGTAACTAAATGCTGATCAGTTTTTGTTTGATATTTCTGTTCACTTTCCAGCAGATTAATGAGCAAATCAATTTCTTTTATGACCATGTTAAAATGTCAAATCCGACCTTAAACCATAGAGCTGTCTTCTAAACCATGCATTCATTCATTGTAGGTGGTGTATGAAGACTGCCAGACTATTCACATGACCCAGCCATACATCTCAGGTTTCTTAGCTTTCAGAGAAGTGCCTTTCTTCATGGAACGCCTTGATAGGTTACGTGACACCAAGCCTGAACTCCTTCCTCAGGTACATATCAAGTGCTCTTCATTTGTGATGAACAATTTCTAGTTATTGTAAACATTGCTATTGAAGCAGGACTCTGTACCTGTATAGTTGCTTTCCTATTGTGGTGAAATGATTCCTATGTTTTAGCCTTTCGAAAACTAATTAATGCTCTCTCCTTTCTCCCCCTGGAATCTTCATTAAAATAGCATACAAACTTCGTTGTATTCCTAATTTCGTTTTAAGATTTTCCTCAGCTATTTCATATTTTGCCGTAGAAGGTTGGCAGCTTTGATTAAACATTCAAGCATAACTTGCCATTAATGTATTTTTACATTTCACAATTTCACATTTTAATACTTTTATTAATGAAATAAGTCATAAGACAACTCCCTTTGCTTTATACTTACTTTCAGATGCCCCTTCCCTATGTTAAAGTGATGTTCTAGCCCTATTAGTGGACCTTGTGGCAGATTAGTATTTTGCCAAACAAGGGATCTTATAAAGTCTGCTATCACTACTACTACTACTACTGCTACTTCTGCCACCGCTAAATACTAAATATAAACTACATTTTCCATGCATATTTGTGTTTGATTTGTTGTCATCTTTTCAACCTTCAGATAATTTTTGTGGATGGAAACGGCATACTACATCCAAGAGGTGAGATCTCAAGTGAAATTTTTGTCTTGCCCTTTTTTCGTACTGCCGTGTAAATGAATACTGTATGTTGAACTGTATTGTTGTTCTATTTTAGTTTCCAAAGTTTCCTTGAGAATTTTTTCGTCTTTGTGCTGGATGTAAATTATATATGTTATATATATCATCTGTTGAGTGTTAAAATGGCATTAATTACATGTAAAACATAAACAAAGTAAAGTAAAGTACATGACTAAATAATGCTCTTTTGGCTCTCAGTAGATATGATATGCTTAGCATGTATGTAATGATTTATCTATCTATCTATATATTTATTATTCAATTTCCAGGAACATATTACAACAAATGAAAACATACATAAGCATTGTTACAAAAATTAAAGTTTAACAAGCACAGAAACTTATATCATTGCAAAACTCTCAAGAAGCCACATAATGTACAAAGCCCTATGACAAAAGAGCGTCCTCATTACATGTATGTAATGAGGACGCTCTTTTGTCATAGGGCTTTAATTACTGAGATTGAGACGTAACATTTTTAATCACATGGACAGGAAATACCACCAAGATTTAAAGGAATAGTTGAGTTCTGTTTTCAGACCGCAAATGCCTTCAAAGTGCATGGTTATTGCTCTTATTCTTATCTATGACATTTCTAGTGCCCTTTTATAACCTAAAGTTTGCTATGAAGGTAATTTTAGACCCCAAAATGTGTTGAATTTAGTCAATACGATCATACCAATTCAGCTCCACTTTAAAAAAAAATATATTGTGACCGTTAATTAATTATTTAATTAAAAATAACAATACATTGGTCGGCTGATTGTGCGTAATATAACCAACACGAAAATGCCAAAGAAACAAAAAAACATCGGTATTGGCTGAAATACGACATAAAAGGCATTATTTTGTTTTTTCAATGGCTTTTTCAAATTATCTAATATTTTTGGTGGTACACAAGTATTAGAAATCGTTACATTTATGGATATTTCAGCCTTTTCTTGAACTGATTTTGATTAAACAAAGATGATTTTGTCATTTAAATTGTTTGTTCTTTCAAATTTGACACTAAGTTTTTCATTATCTCACAAAAAAAAATTATTTTGTGTAGCGCCCTCTGCAACAGAACTCAACTATCCATTTAAAAGTTTAAGTGCCATGTTTGCTGTTTGCAGAAGCCAGGTTTTCTTTGTTGAGTCCCCTTTTAGAACTCATTAGTGAATCTGCTTGTGAACTGACCTATGTAAAACCATAAAGTTTTTAATACAGATTGCAAAATTCATTGTATTTTAATAATAATGATAATAAAAACAATGCTTATAAAGCCCTTACTATCAAAGTCTCTAAGCGCTGTTACAACAAACAAAATACAACGGTAAACAATTACATATTAAACAAAACAAATAAGTGCAAATAAACCTACAAATTACAATACATATGAAATATACATTAATGGGAACAGAGTAAGTTTTAGCATGGGTAAAGCATTAAGGGGGCAACTAGTGTGATGGAAGGAGGGGGGGGGGGCATTGCTCTTGTTCAGTGCTCTTACTCGGTGAATGAAATATAAAGAACAAGTCTGTTGAGGAGGTGGGTGGGTGGAGGAGTGTTCAAAGGGGTGCAATCATCTTCTTTTGACATCTTCTTCCTGTCTTTTCTGTCTTTTCTGTCTTTTCTGTCTTTTCTCTTGTTCTTTATGGGTTTTTTTCTCTATATGATTTGGAGAAAAATACATCAGGCAAACCTTTAAAATCGAGGCATCAAGCTCTGCTTATCTTGGAGCCCTGGCCTTTGTCTTTAAATGTACATTGATTTCTTATGTATTCAGAACTGAATAAATAAATGAAATAAAGTAGGAATGTTCAGGATTTATATACAGGTATACTGTAATTCTTGTTAAAAAAAACATTGTGTTACATTATGAATATTTGTTCACTTTATTTTGTTTGAAATAAAAATAGATAAGTAAATGAGCATTATCAACTAAAGTAACAAATACTAACATATTTGATCTTAAGTATGATACGATCTTCATTTCTCTCTGTTTCTTCAGGTTTTGGTACAGCCTGTCATCTTGGTGTGCTTTCAGGGATTCCTACCGTAGGAATAGCAAAGAAACTCACTCAAATCGACAACATACAGAAAGATGAAGAACATGCACATAAGGTGAGAGACAAAGAAGATTTTCTATGCTATGTTCATTTCTTATTCATTATTTAAAGGTACTATGTACCATTTGAAGGCCCACAAATGAAAAGGTTAAATTCCAACGGCATTTGAAAGATAATACTTTTTTAGAACATCCCTCAAAACGAAAGGGCTTGAAAATGTCTTTTAGTGTGAAAATAACGAGCATTAGTTGTAAAATCGAATTCAGTGATTGCAATCAATTTAGTAATTGTCTGATTTTCACAGATAGAACATACGTGATATATGCATAATTCCTGCAAAGTTCTACAGAATTTGATGTTGGCTGCAAGTGGGACATAGTACCTTTAAGGGGGGGGGGGAGCAGATTTTTGAAGTTGGATATTATAGAAAGATGTTTGGGCCAAGAGAAACAGAAGGGCACTCTGCTTGATGATACATCTCACAAACTTTTGAGTGTGATTCGGGGGTTGTAATTGTGATGGATGGCTTAGAGTGAACTTCAAAACCCCTACCCTCAAGTTCCACACACACACACACACACACACACACCATTCCTGGCATTTTCTGTAAGGTCTTATCATTGCTCTTTGCTATTATCAGAAGAGTTCTGGTTAAGGGTATCCATAGAATGGAGAATGTGATTGATGAGTTAAAACATAATCAAATTGATTGCTATGAATAAAGAGAAGAGATTGATTGATGGTTGGTCTGTTGGCTGACACCAGGGTCTACAGTCCCGACCTTTCACCGTGGGTCAATGATTGTAGGGGGGGGGGAGGGGGGGGGGGAGGGGGGGGGGGAGGGTGGGGTTTAAAAGGCAATTACAATGTGTCATACATCTAAATGTAGACTTGGGGTAGGACCCTGAAATTCTTGAAAGGTATACCGGTAACTCTAATCAAGGTAGTGCCTTTACAGATAAATCCATTTCAACTACCCATAAATCAATGAAAAGAAAAATTGATCATGAAATATATCTTGTAATTTTGTAATCATGCTATCTCCTGTGACAGTGCTTATCATAGGGTTGATTGATATTTGGAGTCCAACCTAAGTTTGATCAGAAAAAAAGTTGTGGGTAGGAGACAATCTTGTAATTGTAGTGTAAGAAATGCTGCCCTCTAGTGCTATCCAGGTGTGTGAGAGATGACTTTGTCAGATCTATACAATTTTGTATACTGTGTCCTGATTTTAAAGGTTAGAATTTGTTTAAACGGAACTAAAGATGTCTTAAAGCCTTTCTGCACTACTGGTAGTTTGGCCAGGAGGGATTAGACCTCCCTGCATGGTCACTGACAGGGGATTATTTCATCAAATCAGCTCTCAATTAACATTAGAAAATAATAAATAAGAATAATATTTAATTTTTATATAGCGCTTAATACAAATGTCTCGAGGTGCTTTACAAGGGGATCAACAGGTACTGCTTACAATGTAGGTATTGTTTGCTGTATAGTGGGCGTAAGTAGCTACAAGTAGAGCAGTCCCGCTTTAAGAAGAGCCATGCACGTCACATTTTGCTATATGTAGGGGAAGTTTATTGTAAGGCTTCATTTGGAGGACATGTGACGATTAGTCTGGACCCATTTATAAGTCTAGGAATTCTTTGTTACCTTTAAAAAGTTGGATCAGTGAAACTTAGTCCATTTTATGGCTTTATTATTTTTAATGAGCATTCTATCGTAATAGGGTGGAGTCACTATTGACAGCTCCCTCACCAATAAGTCGTGACACAACAATTTTGTTGCTAGCAGGTTGACATTTTTTGGCCAGTGCAGCGCGGCAAAATGATTGAAATGACAAAATGACCGAAGTTGTCTGAACTGTGTACTAATTTCAATGAGATTGATTGTTCTGATATTATCGCACATTTTTATATTGAATTTGGATAAGGCAAAACCCACCCTCCAATTTATTCGGACTGAAAGTTTGGCCTGATTTTGGACAAAAATCAATAGAAATTGTTAATTTTGGGCCAAAAAGTGACCGAAATGACCATATTGTTGTTTGGGGTCAATTTGACCACTTTTTCTACCATCAGGGCACATAGAATAGGCCTATCAAATCTCCTTTGCTTATAAATAATACTGATTGAAAAATTTACCACTGACCAAAAGTGACCAGAATGGACAGTTTGGGCCAAAAAGTGGCCAAAACATCACGAGAAGGGTCAATAACACTACATAAACCAGCAACTGTACATTCATAATTTCCTTGTGCAGGCTGAACCCATGATGCTAGGCTTCATTTGAGCAAAGTAAGAGGGTTAAAGCTTGTTCAGATATAACATGGCAAAACTGTGGCGTTTTATTTTATGATGACATAAAGTGTCATACGCATCGACTTCTACATTACACAGAGCTCAGTGAATACACGCAAGTCTTCTGTACCACACATACTTGCCATTTATTAATATTAAAAAAGAGCAGCAGCTTTTTTGCAGCGGTTTACCGTGCCAAATTTGAACAAGCTTTAAAGCCCCACTGCACTACGTATAGCTACTTGCGCCCTCTATATAGCAAACAATGCCTAATTGGTGACCATTGGTCCCCCATGGTCCGGCTCTATTTCTTATATTTAAGTGAGAGCTGATTTGATGAGATAACCACCTGTCAGTGACCATGCAGGGAGGTCTAATCCCTACTGGCCAAACTAGTGCAGAGGGGCTTTAAAGTGACTCAGTAATATTGCCTCAGATTCTGAAACAGAGTCCTGGATTTAGCTCATGTTGCAATCATAATTATAAATCTTTAGGTCAGTCAGGAATCCCATGAATTTTACAGGCTGATCGCCTGTCTGATTATCAAGATAATTATGATTGGAAAATCGAAATTCCATTTTTCGATTCCCAAACGTTTTTTATAACAACCGGTCACTCAAAGATTTTAATTTTTTTGAGGCACTACATGATCATTTTGACGCGCAATTTTATTAAGGCTTCAATATTACACCATATATCATAGACATTTTAGGGCCATGGATCTTAGATTTAATATTGTTAAATGATGCCATTAAAGCCCCACTGTACTACTTATAGCTACTTGCGCCCTCTATAGCAAACAATGTCAAAGAATCGGTGACCAATCTTAGAATTTCTCACACCTTCACTTTCCTGTAACCATTTTCTCTGGACTTTCCCTTCTTTGTTTTTATTAAAATACACTTGATTTCAGAGGGATTTTCCCTTTAGAGAGTAGTTGACACCTGTAGGCATACAATCAAATAAAACAAGCCACTTCTGCTGAATTACCTCAGGACTGCATTAACAGATGATGCAAGAGGCGCGCAAGCAAGAAATCAAGAGAAGGATTACACTTGCAAAAACAACTTTCTCCAGGTTATAAAACATCTTAAAGAATAAGAAGCTGAAGATGAAAACAAGACTCTGCATATATATACTCAATTGAAATGTATCTAGTTCTGATGTATGGATGTGCAGCTTGGACCCTGACATCAGACCTAAGAAAGCGACTGGAAAGTTGTGAAGTTTGGTTCCTGAGAAGGATGCGAAGAATTTCATAGACAGAAAGAGTTTCTGATAATAAGGTATTTGCCATGGCAGGAACAAGACGAAAGCTTCTGAATAATATAAGAGGTCGAGGACCCTTTTTGTCAGGTAATTGAGTAAAGCCAACAGGTATCCCAGTTGATCATTAAGTGAGTAGACTGTGAATGACTTTAGAATCATCTTAATAGCCCCGTTCGCACTTGACTCAGTAAAACTGCCGAAAGAAAACCAGCTAAGGCAAATGAAAGATTCATACACTAAAGCCCTGTATGCAAAGTTGCAAAATCTCTCATCTGTGTGCTGTAATTGTAAAAAATCATGACCTGTAATCGTCTGTAATCGTCTGGTGCACAAGGATGTGGGAAGCACTGAGGTCTCTTTCCCAAAAATTTAGTTTCCAGTTTCTTTCAAGTTGGAAAACAATGAAGAGAGCAGTACAAAAATGACACTTATACTAGTAATCATGTTATTTCTTCATTTAAGTACACAAGGATAAGAAAAAAAAGAGGTACATTGAATTTGACATCCCTCTGCCTGCAATTGAGGTGTTCCAAATATTGGTGTTTAAAGAATTGGTGAACTGAAGCCCCCAGCCCCAGCCCCACATCCTCACCTCATATGCCCATTCCTGCACTTCCCCGATGTCCTTTTATTTTGCCACTGCTTTTTTTTTTTTGTTAGCTCAGTTTGTGGGTGATGTGTGAAGAAGGCAATAGTGTGTAACATCTGAACACAGTAAGAATGTACATGTCGGATGTGAAGATCACTGAATCAAGAAAAAGGGAAGATTGCGTGTTAGTAGCAATTGGGGCAGGTTTATTTTATCAATTGGTTCATTAATGTTGCTTCATTGCCAATCCAAATATATTCTGTTTCTTGGGACTCAAATGGATGAGAAAGGACATATGACACCAGGGGGGTGTTTCATAAAGAATTTATGTCTAGACATAAACCCCAAAGTCTCTCTTAAGTGTCCTACTTATGAGAGACTTTCCATGATTTACACTAAGAGAGACTTTTAAGAGAGACTGTTTATGAAACCCCCCCCCCCCCCCCCAGTACAGGAGACATTCATTGGCTCACCAAACACAAATCAGTGATTGCAATCAGAAAGGTCGTTAAGGCCACAGCAGCTCTAGACATATGTATTATGGGCAAATAATGAAATTAGTGGTTCTGCCTTCAGTGGAAGTTACGCAGCCACGCAAGTATGTTCTGGATAAGCCTTTTCCTGTGGAATGATCTGCAAATAATCAGTGAGTTCAGATAACGCACCAATTCCAAATTGAATCCAGGAGCACACCAAATAATTCATCTGATACCTCAGTCACTCTAAGTGCTAACTATCATCAAACAATATCTTCTTGCTAGATATTTCCTATTTACTAACATGGTTCAAGAAAGAAAGAAAATTAAGAAAGGAAGAAGCAAACAATTTCATGAAAAGCGTATTGCAAATCCTTAAGTTATGCTTCACTGAACACCGAGATGGGGTCTGCATGATGATGGATTGAAATTAGGAGGATTAATTATTCAATCAAAATTGATTATTTGATACTTTTAAGTAGACAAAACTTGAGGATTAGTTTCAGTGTGGAATTCCCTTGGTCCTCATCAATTAGTTTTCCATTATATTCAATGACACTGTTTGACTAAGATGTCTCCAAAGTAGCATTCTCAGTATTTTAAAGCTCAGCATGAGAGTTGAGACTATACTCCTGAGTCCTGAATATTTAAGGTTTTTGAATTATCTCTTACATGTTGCATGATTTTGTGCTGCTTCCTGGTTGACCAATTCAAAGAGGCTATATGAATTGACAGCAGATGTTATAAATATCCTTGGAGACTAAAATGTTTGTTAAAAACTCTTAAACTACTTTAATTAGTACTCTTCAAGAAATGGATGATCCTGGTATTCAGTAGCGTATTGTCAAAATAAAAGAAAACAACATTCCATACATTCCTAGTGCCTTTCTTTACTTCTAGTGCTTCCACATAGTAGATAGCTAATCCAAACATGATTTCTTAACAAATCTTTGCGATTGTGTCACTCTTACATGTCTATTCGATAGGAATTTTGTTTTTATTTCTGAGGTAAGACTAAGAGCAAAGCTCAGATATTAGTTGTAGTTCTAAAGGTAGTAGCAGATCTTTACAGGCTTTACTCTCTCAATATCTCACCCATTTGTAGATTTGTTTGGGTCCACCCTTGGCTATATGATAGCAAGTATCACATCATCATGCATCCCTTGTAATTTTGAAGGGAAGGTTGAGTTCTTGGAAGAGGTGAAAAATAATTTGTGAGCATTATCATTGTGTTATGCAAGTGTGGAAGTACATCAGATGAAAAAAAAATCCTTGAAAAGCATGGCTCTTCAAATGCCTTTATATTCTAAATATGGCATGAAAAATCATAAAAATTAGGACATATTTTTATTTCACATGTTCGTGTAGTCCCATACCGTATATATGATCTTTCTGTGTACAGTGCTTGTAACTTTACCAAGACTGGGCCAAATTTCTTATCATTTTGATGATTCCAGAACCTTGCAGTAAACACCAATATACTTATATATGCTAGATGATCAACCTTTTCTGATCGATTCCACAACGTTTCTGTCGCAATGCAATCGCATGACCAGGGGCGGTATTCTGAACCCTGTGTTATCTCTGATATTGTTGTATCTTTGAAGATAAGATAAAGTTGGTATTCTGAACATTGTTGTAACTTTTGTGTTATCTTTTGTTGTATATCTTTTCTCTCATCTTATTGGCCGCGCCTGCGCTCATACTTTGGTGCTCTTGTAATTGTGCGTATCATTAATAAAGTGGCGTTTAATCCTCATTTGCATATGCGCACGGGAGATAATATGTCGAGATAATTGGTATTCTGAAAGTTGTTGTATCTTTTATCTTATCTTATCTTCCATGGTATTTACAACAATATTTACAACAGGTAGGGGGTCGTTGTATCTTTCGTGTTGATATAATGGCGGCAATATTTTTTGCCCAGAACCAACTTCGTGCCAATAGACGAGTTAGAAGAAGATTGTGTGTTGACCGGAAACATCAAAGATGAGAACTTTCTAAGAAATTACATGCTAGGATATGACGATTTTAATGCTCTCATCTTAACCAATATAGTAAAAGCGTGATTTGTCTTCATGATCCACATTCAACAGCGCATAATGATGACGCGCGTGATAAGTGCTCAAATAACTAATTACGCCCAAGATTAGTATGCGCTAGGCGCATCTTCAGATATGGCATAAAGTATTCCTATTGGTTGACCTACTTATCATGCTTATATAAAATAGATTTTGATTGGTAGGGTCCATACAAATTGGCGTGTCATCAATGGTCAAAGATAAGATAGAGGCGGTCCATCAAGAGATAACACAGGGATAAAACAATGTTCAGAATACCAACTTACAATATTAATGCTGTGTTATCTCTGGAAGATATAACAAAAGATAACACAAAACTTACAACAATGTTCAGAATACCGCCCCAGAACTCAACTTTATCTTTTAAGGGAAACCCATTAAGATTTAGATCTGGTATGATAGTAGATCTCTTCCAATGATCTATAGACTAATTGAACCAATTCATCCCTCTTCTCTTTGATAGTACAATCATTTGTGTCTGCTAATTAATTATACTCTCTACAATGCACTTTAAAATTATATTGAAATGTACATGTAAAATATTAATTCATGGCTTCAAAGATAAGAATCTAGTTTTGCTTATTTCTGTTGTTCTCTACTCCTCAGGTTTCTGTGTTGAGAGGAGGAGAGTCTTTTGATCTGATTGGGGAGTCGGGTAAAACATGGGGCAAGGTGAGTTCTTCATTTCTGGGTACTGTACTAGGGAATCCATAGCGGATTAAAGGCCACTGCACTACTTGTAACTACTTGCGCCCTCTATATAACAAACAATGCCTACCGGTAATCGGTGACCATTGGTCCCCCATGATCCTCTTTTTCTTATGTTAACTGAGAGCTGAGTTAATGAGATAACCACCTGTCCAGTGGCATTGCAGTGCGGTCTAATCCCTTCTGTAAACTATGGCAAATAAGCTTTAAAGGAAGTATTTATTTTTGTAATGATAATTAATGATAATTACAAAAACTCTGAAAAACATATGTTCGGGACATAGAGGGTGTATGGCCCCGGCGAAACCCGTAATGTTGTACCTTAATTGCACGAAAGGAAATAATTATGCACACATTTTTTGTTTGTGTGCCATATCGTAGTTAATTTCATCAATTTATATTAATAAAAAGCCTGCTTGCTGTTAGATTGTGTTCTCTTTAGACTACCGGTAGCTCTAAATGTGAATGAAAAAAGCATGACATATCTTTCCTTGTTGCTTTACTTTTGTTTGTGCAAAGAAGCACTTCCAGTTATTTTTCATGAATTGTGACATTCTATGAGTTTTTTCTTCTTATTTGTCTGGTTAGTGTTGGTTTCTTTAATTATACGCTTTATGGGATACTTAAAGTTAGAGGAATTTGATTAATGTTTTATGTTTTTTTACAAAGAACAATTACCTATCCAATCAAACAAGATTGTTTCTGTTGTTGTCTGTGCATACAAGCCTGGCACTGATCTGTTTCTTAAGTAGTTAGGAAGGATCCAGTACTGATTGATTGTTTTTTATTCTTTGTATGGACTGGCATTGCATCCGCAGAGTTTCCTTTTGTCAATTTTAGTTAAAAAATAACAAGTTTTGCTTTGTTTGTCAAGACTAGCAGTGACTGTATTAGTTTCCTAAAAGTAGAAGATTTGATCATTAAAAGGTGATTGATTGCCTTGTTTGTGTGTTTATAGGTTGGCTTTGCATCTTTAGGGTTTTCTTGTTTTGTACGGTTGACATCAAGCAGCTTTTTTGTTGCTTCTTTCTTGAGAGTGGCACTCTAAAATTTCGTCTTGGGAAAGATTTTTCATCATTATTCTTTTCCTTTGAATAGACATTTTTTATTAAGAGCTTCCCTTTTTCAATCGGAGAAACCATAACTTTAAAAGTGTTTTGTTTGTCAAAACCAGTTTGTTTGTTAAAAACAAGTTCTGACATCACTTTTTATTTTGTGGTGTCATGTGCATGAACTGGCATAGAATCTTTAGATGGAGTTTCCTTCATTATTTCTAGTAGCCAAGTTGCCAACGATATATCGGATCATTTATAAACTAATTCAGAAAATCTGCATGATGCGTATGGAAACTTCATCAGAGAAAGAAAGGATTGAGAATAACACAAATAATCAAGGCTGTTCAAAGTAACTTCCTTTACAAATAGTAATACCGGTAAACAATTAATGGGTGTAGTTCATCATCTGCATGGAAACTTCATAAGAGAAAGAAAGAATTAAGAATAACACAAATAATCAAGGCAGTTCAAAGTAACTTCCTTTACAAATAGTGATACCGGTAAACAATAATATTAATGGGTGTGGCTCATCATCTGCATGGAAACTTCATAAGAGAAAGAAAGAATTAAGAATAACACAAATAATCAAGGCTGTTCAAAGTAACTTATTGATTCTAAAAGTCTTTCGAACTATAGCTTGGCGCATGATACATGTACAACTTCAACTGGTACGTCACATTTTTGAGGAAATGGCTGCGCCCACGACACGCTCCATGGAAAAGGCTTCACATTATGCCAAGAATATCTTCATTTATATCTCTCTTGTACATTTTCGTCCAGGAATAATATTGTACATCATAAGGCAGGAATACATCTCAGTTTTCAGAATACCTACAATTATTCTTTGGGGTGAGGTTTCCTTTAAGGCTTTTCAAAATAACTTCTTTCAAAAGTAGTTATAAACAATTTAAAGGGTGTGGTTTAACTTAGTGTGGTTCATTGTCTGCTAGGAAAGGAAAAGAAGATCACAGATAAACAGATTGTGTTGATTAATGAGGTGGGTGAAAAGAGGTTACCACTGACTGGTTTGCTTACAATGATCGACACAGTGATTTGCTGGAATAATCAACACTGTATGATTGGGGGCTTTAAAGATATGCAAACTAGACAGGGAAAAAAACAGATATGACATTTGAGACCCAAGTTGATGTAATTTCAATCTTCAAAGTGTTTGGAATTGCTAAATGACACAGTTAAAAGTCTAGAAGCACTGGTCAGGAGAATTAGCTTATTGCATTAAAGTCCCTTAACTCAATTTAGAGCCGTTGGCCGTTTATTATGAAAGTTTGACCAGCTATATCAATTTTATAAGTAAATACTCTCTTAGGAATCTCAATCTGAGCAAAATAGCCAAGTTGCAAAGAAAACACCATCTCCCAATCTTATAAACAAGACAAAATAAGAATCCCTGATTCACTCAATTTAGGGAGTAAGTGGTTTTAGACAAACATTACAAAATATTCAAAAAGAAAGAAATATTTAAAATGAGAGAGGTAAACAAGTTAGGCAGACTACTAAAATGGGGTAGCGCTAAAACCCAAGGGTAATGAAAGTTGTAATTTTATATAAGAATAATGTCTATGAGGCGATGAGGAAATACGTAATATGACACTATTGGGACTGAAGTGGAATGAGCAGTGACACCTACGTTAAGCCTTGTGAGCTTTGTAATTGATATCTTAATAATACACACATATCTCACCATCTTACTCTTTCTAAATGAAAATAAACTTGAAGAAGGTCGTGTGGTAGTGAGTCTAGTGACGTATTAGAGATGAGCCACTCCATACATGCAATGTGCAATAGAATGTTATTCTATATACCCCAGTCATGTCACCACTCTCATGGTAACCCCAATCAGTGTTAAAAACATTCTTATGTTTACGGGACCTCGTTTAGGATTTTGTGTTCTTTAAAGTAGCCACACAAAGAATCAAAAGTGTTTTGAATAATTGCAAAACTCATATCATTGCGAAGGGGAAGCCTTGCTGATCAAATACAACAACCCCAATCAGTGTTAAAAACATTCTTATGTTTACGGGACCTCGTTTAGGATTTTGTGTTCTTTAAAGTAGCCACACGAAGAATCAAAAGTGTTTTGAAAAATTGCAAAACTCATATCATTGCGAAGGGGAATTAAGCCTTGCTGATCAAATACAACAACTCTTTTCTTCAAAATATGTTTGGGGCCTGCAGTAGTCAACCCTAAAAAAATGTTAGTTTTGAGATCCAGATTTTCTGCCTTAATCAGCGGTCCTTTATAGAGCGTCAATATTTGTGATGTCACATATGGGACAGGGCTGGCTAGCTGCAGACTGCTACTCAGCACTGAGCTGTTTGTCCAGTGTGTGACATCACTATTCAGAGCTCGCTACGCTCGTGTGTTTGGCTTACGTTCGGGGGCACTTGGGGGTCAAAGAAGGGTCTTGAAAAATTGCATTTTACGCCTTTCCATGTCTATATGATTTCTCAGCAAATTATTCATGTTTTTCAAGATTAAATCTTTTCATCCATATGTAATTATCAGTTGTTAGTGAATTTTCTTTGTGTAGCTCCTTCATGTGTGATTTACTCACAATGATATTGAAAGGGAAGTCCAACCCAAATAGACAACTACTCTAAAAGAAAGCAGAAAAATCAGAGAAGCAAACTGATGAAAGTTTCAATTAAATGTGACTTAATATAAGAAAATTATGAATTTGTTAAAGTTGTAATAAACTATACCTATCGGCACTTTAAGTTAGCTAAAGCGGTAATGTCAATGTGATGTTGTGCCGGACTACTTTTTCATTTGTTCCAACATATAAAACGACCAACAACAACAACAACAACAAAAATAAAAAATGAATTGCTCAGGAGGGTCTACTCTTTTTAGAGGACCTGCTATAATGATCTGCAATCTATGATATCTTTTGAATAGTGCCCCAAGGGAGAAGGAACTTGTGCCAAGTGAATGATTTTTTTTGTACACAGAAAATGGGAGAGTTATCCATGTCCTACTTCACAATCCACTGACCGAACTACCAATTTGAGATTTGCATAGACTTAGTGATCTCATATTTCAAACATTCATAACTTCCTTACTATTGGTCCGATTAATTTCAAACTTTTGTCATTCTGTTTCTGTTATTTTTCTGCTTTTATACAAATCAACTTATTACAAGGGTTACAATGTAGATTGCCCTTTAAGTATTATTTTTATTTTTTTACCAGAGCTTATTTTTAATCTGCCAGAGCTCTTTCAAGTCTCAGGGCTTACTGAAGCTTAAATGCTCACCACACCCATGTAGTCCTGTTGCTGCCCCAATCATTTATATCGAGCCAAGTCTATTGTTGCAAAAGAAGAAGCCTTATAATGCTGTGAAACTTCCTGTGCGGTGGGAAACAAATTATCCTGTAATTTCATATATATGTCTTCCCTCTCACAAAACCTATAGAATATGCGTACCAATTTGATACGTGACTGGACATCATTATGTTAGTCAATTAGGAAAAGTGTTAGCAGTAAAAGCTTGATGTTTCTATGAGGCACTATAAGACAGAGAAAAATGCCCCAAATTTCTTGGACTTCAGATGTTTCATGCCATATTCATTCCAAACACATGTATCAGTATTTTCTATTTGCATTTTAAAGATTCTAAATAAGCCTCTTTCAGACATGATATATCATACATAACCTATGCAAAACCCCCAACTACATGCCTCAGCAAAAAAGTTGAATAGAAAACCCCAAATAAGTAAAACATTCAACGACAACCCCTCCCCCCCAAAAAAAAATAATAAAAAAATAAATAAATAAAAATTAATGGCGTTTTTTTAAAGGATAGCTGTGTGTAACAATAAAAAGTGCTGCACACACTCTGTTATCTAATGTATGAAAGCAATGGGGCATATATATGATTTGTATCT